TATATTGTATTGTGAGGTTGTTGGTTGATTAATGATTAGTCAAGTGTATGATATTATCAGAGTTTAGAGTTTCAAGAATCAGCAGGGAAAAAAGTTCATTTCCATTCATCAGATGGGAAGAAAGCCTCAAAATATTTCAACAATTATCATCAACATATTGTTTCAATCATGATAATTATCATCATTAACAGGATGACAATAATTAATATTATCAACTCAATCAAATGTTGATAAGTATCAACATTGCAAATACTATTTTCCCCATAAGGATAAAGTTCATCAAAAACTCTGAATCATCAAGAACTCTGTGAATAAGTTGATTTTTATCAATTTTAAATCATCTTCTCAGACATGGTGTGTATTAATATAAGATGGTTATAATGAGGATGAGGAAGATAAGTCTTCCTTTACCCACTGATAAACTTCCTGTCACATGAAGTTTTCATCTTCCTGATGAACCCACTCTTCAGTGAGCACCATTAGTTTACTGGAAATAAAAAAAAGAGAGAAAATTATGCTAACATGATGATAATGATGATGAGCAAAATCATCATGTAAACTCTGGAAATACAGTATCTTGCACAAAAAGTGACAGTAGCGTTTATCGTCCTAATTTGAAAACGAGTCGAAGTTATGATCTGATTTTTCTCAGATAGATTGATTAGTAACTAATGCACATACGAAAAAAATTTCGTGAAATTATCATGATCTCTTGAAAAGTTATATAATTTTATTTTCACTGAAATCGAACTTTTCCAAACAAAGTCAGCTTTTTTGAGCATTCGAATCTGAATAAAATGAGAACCATAAGAGTTACAATAATGAGCGAATTATAAATTTTGTTGAGCTTCGCTCATAGATAATGAAAATTCTTTGAAAAATTCAAAAAAGATAATTTTGAAAATTTTTAGTCTATGGAGTTTCAAAAATAACAATTTTTCTGATGAAAAAATCGATAATGATTTTTAATTATAATTAAGATAAAAAAACCTCTTTAAAATTTTGCAAGAATTTTTCAAGGTATAATTTTTACATGATACTTGAACTAACTGTTGAAAAAATTTCGGACATAAACTTTTTGTTGTTTGAGTTTTAAGGCCAAAAAACGCGACTTATATCGAGAAAATCATATTTTTGCTCGCTAGAATCTTTATAGTTCGTTATTCGATTCAGATTTTTGCATGAAATTTTTTTCATGATCAGTCCAGAGACCTGATTACAACATAGTGAAAAAATTTCAACTCAATAGTTGAATCGATCTTAGTAACAAATAAAAACGCTACTGTCACTTTTTGTGCAAGATACTGTATGTAACTAGAAAGATGAAAAATTCATTGAGTTTCAGGGTAAAAGTTTTTAATAAGATGCTCACTGATCCATATTGTCTACATGTAGAAAAGTTGAATTTCATGCAAGATAATATTTTCCTCTTAATATTTTTAGAATTTATGAATTCTGTATATTTATAACTTCCACTCATCAACAACAACAACAACATCATCATCATCATCATCATTGTGTTCATGATAATCAGGGTAAGTTGTTATTGGAAAATTTCATTCGGATTTAAAGAAGAAGCTTAAGAAAAGTTTATCTTCCTCTCTCATATAATCAAACAATTCTGATAATGATCATGATGATACTCAAAAATTAATCACGATAATCATCATTATCAATAGTTGATGATGATGATCATGATGATGTAGATATACTCAGATACTGAACTTGATTCATTTTATTTTCTTCTCTTTGAAAAAATTTTCCATCTCCATTGAGTATTAGATTCATTATTATATCATGATAACATTGACTCTCTCCCATGAGATATTTACCTTTACTTTGATTCTCAATCATGATATCATCATGTTCAAAAATGAATTTTCTTCTTCTCATCATTGATCCTTTCATCTTCTACCCACTCACACCCAATCCCCATGAATGTAGCTCCTTATCCAATGTTAGAAAACATTATTATTATCTTCATCATACTTATCATCCTCTTCCTAATCATTTAGTGTACCAATAAGTTGAACAAGATGAATTTTTCTCTCTCTCTCGATTGAATGAAAAATTTGTCTCATCAACTTCTCTGATTACAGAAAAATTTACAATCCTGTTCACCATCAACATGAACTTTTCCTGATGGTGGGTGAACATGAGCATGAACAGCAAAATATTCACAGAAACATGTAAATTATTTGAACGAAAGTGTTTTTTAAGATTCAAATTTTTACTCTTTTTTCTCATTCTTGGTGGATTTTTCCTCTTCTCCTCATTCTATTATTTGTGTACTTTCACCATGATTATGTTCATGATATTTTCTCATCATCATGGGGAAAAAAATTTGGAACTCAATCTTCTCCATCATCCTCTTTGTACTTTACTGTATTTATTACATTCACTTTATTAAATTGACTTTTTACAGGTTCAACTTTCCAGAACTTTTTCCACCTTCCACCAAGATAATTCAGTCTTCTATTCAATTGACATGGAATTAGAAATTAACACACAACCAGATAGTAATATCACCACTGACATTATTAGAATTTTAGAGAAAAATTCAAATAAATGCTAATCAATCTATCCAATTCATTTATCGATAAATATTTCTCTCTTTCTCATGGTGAAAATTTCATTACCAAAGAATCAATTCTTTTAGAAAAAATTTTCCTTCTACTCAAATAAAAATCTTCTAAATCTAATTCAAAGATCATCATGAACATGATGATGATGATGAGTCTTCATAGTCTGATTTTTAAGAGGAAAACAATAAGGTGAGAAAAACGATTGATGGAAAAAGTTAATTGATTTTTTTTGTTTCAACTTCTGAAAATAGAAAAGGTAAGAAAATCTGATTGGTTACATCATATTCTCAATTCAATATCATTATCAGGTTATTGTTTCTTTACTTTGAGTAACTTGAAACTTTCATCTATTCTGAAAACAGATACAATTGTGATGATCAAGTTATCATCATGATTGAAATGAGCTTCAATCTAAAAGTAAAGGAGATTATCTTTCATGGTAAATTCTGGTTAACATTCAATACCCTCAGGGTGAAGATATTTTACCAATTCCAAGTAACATTGAATATATTTTCATCTCTATTAATACTCTACATGTATTCACATAAGGATATCATGTATACTTGCTAGATAAGAGAGAAAATAAATTCGAAAATTAAATTTTTTTCTATTCTCTAATTCATCTATTGATACGTTCGTTGGTGATACCGATGAGAAATGGGAATAGGAATTAGATTCAATTTTGAGCCAATATTATCTCTCCCCTGATGTCGAGCTGAGTATCATTTTGATATCTAATGAAATTCTCATTAATTAATCAGCTTTTTTCCTCAAGATGAAGATTAAGTCCTTAATATTGAGAAGGCGGTAAGTGGGCGGTGGGAACGTTGTAGGTTCGAGGTTGAGTTTCAAGTGAATAAAATAACACAGAAAAATAAGATAAATGTTCACTAGTCGGGGAAAAAAATCTAATGAATATTATCAAGAGATTTGAGATCGACTCAGAATTGATGATAATCTTGATTAAGAATTTTTTTTCCTTCCCTTCCAGCTAATTAATTAATTAAAAGACAATCACATTCTAAAAAAGTGATTAGCTTCAACTCAACATTTACAGTAAACAAAAAGGTAAGGTTATCCGTGAAAATGAATCTTGATTATCTCTTGGTGTTTATATAAATATTAGAACCATGAACATGACTGAACAATCAATTACACGAAATAATGTCCATGTAAAAAGTAAATGGAAAGAAAAAAAAATTCGAATCGTTTCTCTCTCTCTCTATTAGAACTTTTTTCACTCTCTTTTGTTTGGTCAATCGTCCACCCCCACCCTGCACTCTACTACTATCCCACCCTGATATACTCATTTCATTCACAATATTGTCAACTGGTTAGATTGAAGATTACAAATGATTGATTATTATTACTATTTTCATGGTTATAATAATTGATGATTATCATTTCAATACAATAATGATAAAAATTGTTCATTCAATTTTCATCATTATCATCACCATGGTGAACATGATACAAAAACTAATCTCATCATCATTTAATCAATATTTTCATATTAATATTTATTCAATTTCCCCTATTTTTAAACTTGTATTAATCATTTAAATGTATTTAATTCATTAATTTGATATTATTTAAAGCTAAATCATTAAAGGGATTTTTTTGTAATTTAACTTTGACAATTTTCAAATGAATTTCATGATTAAACATTGAATCTTAATTCTTGAGTTTATCATGATTATCGTCATTGTTTTTCAGTAATTATGATTCTTGAGCCTTACAAGAGGATGGGGAATGATTCATAGCCTAAAGATTATCATGTAAATTTATTAATATATATTCACCTTGGAAATTACAATTTCAATTGTAATGGGAAATATTATTTTACCCTGAGGTGTGTTTTCAATTGTCAACAATTTAGTTGAAATCACAATGAATATAATTATTAGTTGAATGCGAATATATAATGGAAGTTATTAATTAGAAAATAAATCAAATCCAATCAGTAAATTGTTGTAACAGATGATCAGACTAAAAGTATAATAACAATACTTTGTTTCTGTTGATGACAATTATTAATTGTCTTCTATTGTTAATCATTTTGTTGATAATCAAAGTTGTTCATTCAAATTCAGATTTCTCATGTTTCAATCATTATGATTAATTTGATACTCTGTTTATGATGGAAGTTAATTGTTTCTCGATAATTAATTGATCAGGCAAAAAGTTTCATTCTAATAAAAATTGACAGAATCAACAATCAACAAAAATAATGAGAGCAAAAGTTTTTAATCAACTCAAAGTTAGTTAACTAAAGATTCAATTCAAGTTAATCAGATTGGATTGGATTGAAGCTTGTTGATTATTCTGGTAATTTAATCTGATTGTGTGAAAGGATTAAGTTTAAGGTGGTCAACATGATGGGAGAGGATTAAGATTAGTAAATTAAGTAATTACCTTGAGCTGTTGTTGTTGAACCGTTTTGATGTTGTTGGTCACCTTGAGTTGACCTTTGGTTAACTGGAGCTGGATCAAAGTTGAAACGATTGTTACCTAATCTTGTGGCTGGATCACGAGTTGAGCCCATTTTACCGTTACCACCGATTCGATCTGAATCATCATTTGTTGTAGTACCACTTCGTCCTCTTAATCTATTAATACCACCCATGGTATGACCTCCACCCTCTCTACTGGCACTTTTGGTATGATGTTCACTACTTGCTCCTGATCTACCGCCACTGCCCATTCCACTTCCTCCTCCTACTCCCCCGGGTCCACCAGGCCCACCACCGGTTCCTGGACGTCTTTCAGGAAACCGAGCCGCACGGGGTTGTTCAATGGGCAGTATACGGCGGCGTTTCTTTGGTAATTTGGCTCTGGCTTGAGTGTGAGAGTAAAACATTGCAAAATTTGAGACAATAACGGGAACCGGAAGCGCAATAGTAAGTACACCGGCAATGGCACAAAGAGCACCAACAAACATGCCAGCATAAGTTTTGGGAGCCATGTCACCATAACCAACGGTTGTCATGGTGACCAGTGCCCACCAAAGTCCAAGAGGTATTGAATTAAAATCATTATCCGGATTATCTTGTATCCTTTCAGCATAATATACAAGAGAGGCAAAGATAACAATACCCAGAACCAGGAAGAAAACAAGTAAAAGCAGCTCACCGGCGGAAGCCTTAAAGGTTTGTATTAAAATTTTCAATCCCGCCGAGTGACGGGTTAACTTGAATAGCCTCATGATACGAATGATTGAAAAAAATTCAAGTATATCCGCATTATCAAGGTGAGAGGCAAAATTTTGAAGTGCAAGGTCGAGATAAAATGAAAGGGTTGCAGTGAAATCGATAATGTTAATCGCCCCATGGGAAAAGTCCAATTTAGAAGGAGCGGAAAAAAATCGAACCAAAATCTCGATTGTAAACCAAGCATTGCAAACACATTCTATGTAGAAGAAGGCATCATGTGGGTTGGTATGGTGTTTATCGAGTACCCAGGCTTCCGTATTAACTGAGGTTCGAACTGTAATATTGTGGAAAACGGGTACTCTCATGTTGGGATGAGTTTTAAGACAAAACGATAAAATAGAAACACAAATGAACAGAACGGAAGCAATTCCAATGACCTGAAAATTTGGGGAGAAATTTTGGAAATTGAAAGAGAGAAGAGAAATGTCAACTCAGGTCAATAATATTATCGATTTTGGGTTAGTAGTCTTTTCGTACCTTTGCTGGAAATGATGAATAAGGTTCGTCAAAAAGTGACCATATCTTTGGCTTGACCCGCTGCCACCAGCTCATTGTACCATTAAGATAATCGTCTTCGAATCCAAATTTGGCCGCAATCTCTTCGTCCGTTGGTTTATCCGTGTCCAGGTCAAGTCGATCCAAAACCGCTAATGTATCTTGAGTATCTCTATGTGAAGTATAAGTCATCCAGCAACAAGGTTCAACCTTTCAAGATTAATTGATAATCATTATTAGTTAGCTAATCCGATTGGATAATATTCACAATTAAGAGTAAAAGTTTTCCTTTTTTCTAATGATTAAATTAATTGTTTGTTTATAAAATCAATGTCGTTGTAATACAATCAAATTAACTGGTCAACAATTGATTAGTAAATAAAATACAACAACTTAACAGTTGAACAATTAACTTAATCTTGAATTCATTTCCTTTTCCTTGTTGAGAAACAACAATTAAGTTAATGATATAAATGAAAAAAAAAGCAAATCAAGATTCACAATCAATTGTCTCTTATTTGATGGTAATCATTTTATTGATTGATTAACAACAATTTCTTATTATCAACAAACAAATTAATCCAATATGATTAGTTAAAGTTAATGATGATTTACAAATGTAATGATAAGCAATTTATACAATCACAATATGTTGATAACTGTTATTTACAATTTGATGGTCATCATCATGTTATTTGTCTTGATTGTTTGATCACAATTTACTAATCACATTAATTGTAATGATAATAAATACTCAGAGCGAGAGAGATGGTGGCAGGATCATGATGATAATCATCATCATGGTGAAAGGTCAATGAGTTTTATTTTTATCATAAATGAACAGAAACAAATAATCAGAATTAACTGTTATCATTAAATAGAAAGTGAAGATTTTTACTTTCTGTTTCATGATCCTTGAAATTCAGATAATTCAGTAGACAATCATGTTCATGGTAATTCGTTGATCAGATCATTAAACCGAACGATTCATTTCGAAGATTTTCAATTTTTGCCGCCTTATAACATTTTCGATTTAAAATGAGACAAATATTCATCTTCGAATATTTTCGAATATAACTTTTCGAATTCGATTGACTTTTTTTTCTATTCTTTCTTAAAATATCTATATGATTATACTTAATTCTCATTAAATTCAATTGTTGTTTGGAAATAATTTCAACTTTACACCTCTTAATCTACTTTAATTCACTTCGATACTTAATTGTTCAAAAGAAACAAGAAGAAAATAACTAATTTAATCTCGTAATTCTTAATGTATTTTCATTCTCATCTCATCTTTACACTGGAAGAGGAAGAATGAGAAAAAGTTAAACGATAATCATGAAACGTTGAGTTTTCTGAATCAGGGAAGGGTGAAATAACAAAGTTCTAGAACAGTTCAAGTTGAACTTCGAGTTTGTTGATTGGTTTACATCAACTTTTGCTTATTTTCCTCGTTCCTTCCCTGGTCTCTTTGTACTTTTTATAATATCTTTCAGATGAATTTTCATCTTTTGATGTTATCAAAAGACAATCACCATTATCATTATGACAAACAATCAGCTCATCTTCAGTTGCTTTTATCATACAATACAAGTACAAACTGTGGTAAGGTTATCATCTTATGTATAAATAAGATGATTATCATGCCTGAGGCGAGATCTTTTGTTTTCTGATGAATTTTCATTTTGGTTAGATGAATGTTTCTCAAGGCGATTCTCATATAAACAATACCTGAAATGATGGCGATGATATTTCATGTTAGCATTGAATAGTTGTAGTAACAAAAAGCTAAGACCTAAACTCATAAGACAAATATTAATACATTGATTATAACCATTGAGGCAAAGTCAAAGTGTTACCAAAGATCTGAAAAGCTTAACACTTATCATCATTATCATCATGGTCTCATTGTCTGAATTGATTTATTTTCATGGTTACAAATACGAAACCTCATCATCATCCTCATCCTCATTATCCTTTTCTTTTCACCTACAAAAGATGAAAGATTCATTTTCTATCAGTTTCAGTTCCATCCTGATGTTTTTTCTTCCTCTCACTCTCATCAAGCTTTGAGTAAAATCCTTCTTAGAGAAGACAAAACAAAACAAAAAAAGTTCCAAATTCATGTTCTAAGCTCAAATTAATCTCTTCCTCCATTTCACCGAAATTCACTTTCAAAGGTTGAAAAGATGGAAAAATTTCCACCATTAACAACTTAACCTTTTAAAATTTTCATCGAAATTCTTAATTTACTTTAATAGTTCAACACTCTAAACAATCAGAACTTATCACAAAGAAAACAACTGAGAAAATATCACAATTTAAGCTTCATGAATGTTTGATTATCCTTAGAATTAATCTTTCACAATTCATGATTTCCATTGTTCAATAAATAAAATTAATACAATCAACTAATTTGAATATAATCACATTCAGGTTACGATTTAATATTAATAGATTAAGTCATCCAATCATCCTAGAAATGGCTTTAACTACACACTGGTCAGTATGAGCTTTTATGTTACTCTCTATGGTCATTAAAGGATGTTCATATTATATGATATCCTAATGGTCATCATCAAAACATTGCTTAGTTGACCAGAGAGAGAGAGAGAGAGAGAGAGAGAGAAAAATCAGATTGACCAAATGTAGTAAATGGGAAATTAAGTTTACTTGACCAACCCCTATCCCTATCTAATACCCCACCCATTGTCCAGCTAAACACTTAGTTTACCTCCTCCAATTGTAATCTAACGGTATATTTGTTCAGGTAAATCAATAAACAACCAAATCAACAGCCACACACAGAGTTTGTGTGCATTTGAATAATCAGCAAGATGAGATTAAAAAATTAGCTTAACCATTTAATACAATGAAAACTTAATCTAATTACAAATAACTGTTATTATTATTAATGGTCAACAGTAGCAACAAGCAGAAAACTGACCAATCAAAGTTACTCTCTAATAATCAAATTGCTTGTTTTATGATTAAGTAATTACGGTTGTTATTACCTGATTACTGGTCAGTTAAGTAAAACAAACTAATATCAACACAGAAACATTTGATTATGTTGTTGTTGTGGTCAACTGTTTAGTTAACAGATTTAGTTGAGAGCTTGTGTGTCCAGTAACAATTGAAAAGATTATTTTTGATTAACCAAACTGACCACTAACTACCTTTACATTTATATATATTGAATACAAATTCTAATGGTCAGTAAGAAAATTATTATTGATCTGAAAATTTTCACCTTGATATCTGTATGGGTCAGTTTGCCTTCCCTGTTTACCTTCAATTGTATCATGGATTCTGGTTACTGACCATTTGTATATATAACATGATAATATTGTTACGGTAACATGTTGATTATCTTGACCATGCTCAGAGGTTTATTATTGATTATATTTACTATTATTATGATTTAGTTTTTACAAGGGAATCAAATTTGACCAACAACAATTGACCATTAACAATAAGAGATGAGAAACATTTCTCACATTAACTTATCATTTTGTGATGATAATAATAACTGACCATTGGTTTCTAATCCTATTGAATAAAATTAACATTAATTAATTGGATAACCAAAAGATTGAACAATCAGATTATCTTGTTGATTATCTCATTTAATTAACAGAGTTAATTGATTCTGTTAATCTTTTCATCGATTAAATTTTTCTTTTTACTCTCAAACCCAAGATTAAATATCATAGAGATATAGTTAATCGACCATTAAATCAACTTTTACCTCTCAAATTATTCTAATAATTAGCTAATTGTCAAAATCTATTCCAAGTTATTGTTGTTAATCAAACTGGACATTCGTTTGCTTGTAACTACCGTTACAACTAATCAATAGTTGTAACAGTTATCAAGTTGATCTAATCAACAGTTGATTAATTGGTTACATCAATTGATTGGATTTTCTTTGTTTGGATCAATCAATCACTCACCTGATTTGAATCTAATCCCCAAAATTCAAGTTCCTCTTCAAACAATGGTCCACAAACGTCCGTTGGGTAATGAAGTTTTCCTGTTCGATAATAATTCAGAATCTGACCAAAGACTCCTGGGTGACGATCAAAAAAGTATTCATTTAAAACTGGATCATAATTGGCTAAGGCATCCGTTAATCTGGATAACCGGGTTGCAGGAATTTTTTTCAGAGTCGCCTGAAAGGATTAGGATTAAAAGGATTAGCAGATTAATTTTGAAAGTTGCAAAAAAAAAATTCAACTTGTTCATTTCTCTCACTTTTCCTCCTTCTTCATTTGATACACAAAGATGACCATTGAATTGTAACTAAGTGAATTAATTTATCTCTGAAATCATTTCAATTCTTATTCATTGAGTGAGTTACTTCCGCTTTCCGGTTTTCCTTAATCATGTTAACCATCACCACACACAAACACACAAACAAATGATTGTATTCACTTGATTTAATTTTAATCATCTTCATTATCACAATACTGTAAATGATTTACTTTTATTTGCAAAGATGATCAACATTATTATGACAGTTTAATCACCTTAATGATTTACCAATAGGGTTATTATTATATATCAAAGGTAATCATCTAATCTGATTATTTATCCTTTGGGTTAAATTGTTGATATAATGATGATAACAACAATAAAATGATCAACTTGAAGGTGAAATACAAAATCACCAAGTAATAAAAATAAAGGTAATCATTTAACTTGGAAACTTTTTGTTTCTCTCTCTCTCAATGTTATTATTATTTTCTTGGGTGTGGATCTGTATTGTTTTAAGATGATAAAGAAGAAGAAGAAGAAAAAAAAGTTTTAATGTTGTGATGAAATTACCTGGTTGATGGGCCATTTGAGGTTCTTGTTTACCTTTAAATTACCTTTTTAAATAATTGGTAAATTGTTGGTACTTTTTTTTTATTCTTCTCTGTTTATTATCTTCACCAACATGGAAAAGTTTCATTTTCATGGTGCTTTAAATCTGAGAACTCTTGAGTTTATGCAAAAATCTAATGAATCTCAGGTAAATTTTGAGGGTTATCAGAATGATAGATGAACTTTTACCTGAGTAAATTATCATCTTCTGATGAGGTGAGAGTGGCATGTTATCACTCACCCACCGCTGAAAATTTCCACTTTCACTTTCGAGGTATTTTATTACCTCGAAAGCTTTTCCATCTTTGTCATCATGGTCTCTCTCTCTCTCTCACTGTTATCTTCATCTGATAATGTTTCCTTCTCTCACTCATTTTCTTCATGATTTTTCAGATGAAAACATGAACTTTCATCTGCATCATGTTTTATTTGTTTCTTTTTTTTCTGCTGATTCTCAATCTGTTTACCAATTCCATGAGCATTCAGAGTTTTTCCTACTTATTCCTATTACTTTACTTTTTAGGATTCTTTTTTTTTCTCACTCCCACCAACCGAGGTCATAGAATTTTTTTCCCTCTCCCCTGATTCACCTAAATTCAATATGTATGCATGTATAAATCCATATGATTGAGACCAGAATTTGAAGATTGAAATTTGCTGGGTATTCAAAATTATCTAATTCATGAAGACTCAGGTTACATGTAATGAAATAAACATTCACATGGAAACTTTATCACATACAAAACACACAGACAGAATCAACAATCAACATTATTCAGAGGAAATAAATTCATTCAACATTCCCTTTCCCATGAATCATGATGGTGATGATGATTATACAATGAACCAAGAAAACATCAAATGATTATTATCATCACACTTTTTACCAGACAAATGAAATTTTATTATTATAATTCTTATGATAATTATATTCATGATGATAGATAATTTCACCATTGGTGTGACAATAACCTCAGGTATATAATCATGATAATGTAAAAGGTGAATCCTGGTAAAGAAAAGGGTGTCAGGTAAGTAAAAAGTTCACACCGATTGAAAAGTGGGAAAAATTGTCTACATGAATTTTGAAAGATTTTTTTTCAATTGTCAGGTAAACGAATAGGAAATTGTAGGACAAGAAAATTTATTTATAATATGATGAACATGAGAACCATGATGATGAATATAATGATCAGGAGATGAGAGAGAGAGAGAGAGAGAGAGAGAGAGAGAGAGAGAGAATGAGTTTTTTTTCCTCTTCTTTTTTTTATAATGATGATGGAGAAGAAAAAAGTTCCGTTATTTTCTATGGTTATATTATTTACCTTTAGGGTTACCTAGACAAAGAAAATTTGAACAAAGATGGAGGTTGAGTAAGAGTAAATGGTAAGAATGCTTCAGGGTTTATTCTGAACTTTTGGTCGGAACTTGATATAAGTATTCATTTTGTTCAGTTCTGTTCAGTAGTAACCTTTTTTTCCTCCTTCCTCCATAAATAAGATTGAGAAAGAAGACAAAAAGAAAGAGAATAACTTTCACTCTTATTCTCTTCCATATTATTAGTTTACATTCATCAGACTCATGAACCTGAATTTCTATGAACTTCATGATAATCATTATCAGAGACTTATGGTTGATATGAGTGTGTGTTTGTAATGTTAAGTATCGAAGAGGAAACAAAATATATATTTGATTTTCTTATTCTTTCTGTCAGATCGTAGTGATTCTGATCATGATGATGACAAAAAAAAAGAAGATGAACTTAATCCGAATGATGGATTCATGGAAAACGGAAATAAGATTGAAAAGAGAACGAGAAAAAAACGGAAAATATTATTATTACATCTCGACTCAATTGTAATCATCATCATGTAAGTATGTTAGTTGATGTGAACATAATTTTCATTATCATCAGAACTTTTTTTTATTAAATCAATCAAAAAATTTGACTGTCACTCTGATTAACATTATCTTGTTTACTGATTTCTGATTATTATATTATAGTAATTTGAATTGTCTAGATTTTGATGATAAATATAATCAAGAATCAGAATCTAAATGAAATGTTAATATTAATATAAGATGATGGTGACTAGATAATCATGATAATGAATCCGTTGAGTATTTACATCTATCATTGTTATGATATATTTCAACACATTCACCAATCAGAATGTCAATAAAATGAATGGTGTTGATGATTATGTTGATTGTATGGATGATGTATTGTCAATGATCAAACTGATGAATATCATCATCTTCATTTTCATCTTCTTCTTCATCTAATCTTTGTTCATCCTCATCCTTTTGCTGACACACTGTGTGTGAGTCTCTCTCTCTCTCTCTCTCTCTGTAATATTATTGATTGGTGATTGGGATGTTTCATGCTGAAAGGTGGTAACCAAGAAGATGAGGATGCTGATGATAGAAATGGAGGAAAAGGTTGTGATGGAAAAAGTAAACAAGAAGGTGTATCAACATAGTAATAGTATCTATGGAAAATTCAATGAGGAGCAAAGAAGATTTTTCTTCATCATCTTCCTCGAACTATTTTTCACTCTTCTCTAGTGTATTTGTAGTCAAAAAGGGGATGAAGACTTTGATGGAAATTCAACTAAGTTTGGGTGATAATAGTAACAGTAAAGGATGAGGATGAAAAAGGTAAGAGCTGCATAGAAATAGTTAGAGAAAAAATTGATGAAGTTAAACTTATGTTAAAAGTTTATATACTTTGGGCTCATGTGGTTGAGGTAAAAGATGAATGAAGGAAAAAGATGAGATTGAATGATGATGGAAAGTAAATCAGGTAGGAAAAGATGGGATAATTGGAAGCCTTGGAGGTGATGATGAAGAAGAGAATGAAGATTGAACGTGAAAATTGATGAAGAAAAATAAAAGTATATCAACCAAAGTGATGGACATGTTATTATATTTAACCAATTTTGTTTTTCTATCATCAAAATAACAATCAGTGGAAAAAAGTCTAAGGAAAACTATTGAGATAAATTCTGATTGTTCATCGATTGGATATGACCATTCAAGATTCTCATGTTGATGAACTTGTTGGTGAAAGCAAGAATCTGCATCTTGTCACAATTTTCGAGTCCATTTACAATGGTAATGGTCAATTCAATTGGATATAATTACTAATTCGAAATTCTTTATCCAGTTACTACTTATGAATTTCAAGGTCATGTTTTCTTTCATAGAGAGATCATTAAATGACCTCTAAATGTGCTCTTCGGGGAATGACCACAATCGCCTTGAAATCATAAGGTAAAAAGCTTCATTTCTGTTAGTTCACTGGTCAAGTCTGACCTTCATATGACTTTTTGTTTTTGGGATATTCAGGGGGACAGTAGAGTGAATAAAGAACATCCTGTATTTCCTATCCTGGTCGAGTTTCAAGGGATAAATTGGGAGTAAAACATGAAATTCTACTGAACAAATTTTTGGAAAATCCAAAGTGATTCTGTTCTTTTTTCACCTAATGATTAAAGTAACCTCTTCATCTTTCTTCCACTGACCCAACCCTCTATTCTTCTCTTATTCTTGACCATTGTTTCCTTTTTTTCTGTTTCATTTCAACATCATCAGTCTCTCATCATTAATCTTTCCCTATTCCCAAGTCAATATGTAACTATCATTATTGTTGTTGTTTTGACTCGATTCATGAAAATATGAACTTACTCTTTGATGTCATTTCATCATCATCATTGACATCAAACAAACAACATGGAACTCAGAACAACACCCAAAAAGCTCATCATCACCATTATCATCATTTCATTTTCTTCTTCATTTGATCATCTTGGAAAAGCTCTTCCATCATCCTACTCATCTTCTTTCTCATCATAACCAGTGGAAGATGTAAAAAACGAGTCCATTGTTGGTTTCCCATTATATTCATTCATCTTGACCATTCATGGTGAAGGTGGAAAGAGGAGATAAGAAAAGAGAGAGAGAGAGAGAGAGAGAGAGAATCTTAATACTCACTCAGTCTATTGACCAAATCATCATTATCATTATTTAGGTGATAATCATGATGAAAAACAAGGTAACATGAACAGAAAAAGTAAAAGGATTGAAATGAAACTCAATAGGAGTGGAAAAACTCACCCACCAACATGATCCACTTTCCCATAGATTTCATTACTCAAAATAAGATGAAAACTTTTCCATCATCATTCAACTCTATTCATTATTAACTTTCTCATCATTTTCTTCATATCTTCATCTTTACTTTTCTTACTCCAGGCTAATTTTATCAAATGAAAAAAAGAGTTCAATATTATCGTAACAAAACTTTTTCTTCCTCTCATCATAATCACTTTCCATCACCACCACCACCATCATCATCATCATCATCTTCACAATTATTGTTAACGAACCTGTCATTTACTACCATCATCTTCATCATTTTATCTTCATCTTCATTGATGATCAACCTTATTTTTTGGGTTCATCTGTTATTGTGTGTCTATCCACAATAAGCTAGTCTCATTTCAGAATCTTGTCATCTTCATGATGATGATAATGGTGATGATGGTGAACAGAAAAAAAAGAGAATGAATAAGATGATGATGATAAAGGATATTGATGTTTCTAGAATTCTCAGATTTCTGTGAGTTTACACTGACCAATGGGATATAATTGGTTCTCTCGGAATCATGGAATTGGTAAGGGATGAGGAACAATTTTTCTCTCTCTGATTGGGAAAGGGAAAAGGATCTTCCATCATCATTTTCTTCTTCTTTATCATCATCACCATCTTGAAAATATCGTTCTGTATCCTTTTCTAACCATTTGTCTTCCATCTTCACTCTTGATTCACATTCATACACATTTTCAAGATCAATTGTTGACTCTCAACGTTTCAAGTGATCGGATTTACAGATAATCACAATTCTGGTTCAATAAGTAATATCATCATCATCATCATCATCGTCATGAAGACAAGGATGGAAGACGAAATGTTGAAATATATCAAAGTGATAACAAGACGATGTGATCATCATTATTCAAGATGATTATTAAACTTTATCATGTATTTTCAGAGCCAAAATCATGAGTCTTGAGATAACAAGATTTCATTGACATGGTAAATATTATATTAATGATTTCATGATGACGATGATAACTATTGAATTGATGAAAATAAAATGAGAAATATTTTCCTACCCTTAAGGGATTTAAGTTATGAACAGTTTAAGTTACACAACAAAAGAGGATGATGAAGATGAAGATGATGATGGAGATAATTAGCTTAAGGATGTTGACAGATAAACATAGAAATCAAAATGACAGAATCAATGAGAACATTTTGACTAGAACTTTTTTTTCCGAACTGATATCATGATAATATTTCCAAGAACCCTTGAGATGATGATGATTTATCATCATGAAAATCACATGATAATCAAATTAATCAGAATCTACTTGTGATGATTATGATGATAGCCATTAAGTTAACCCGTTGATTGTTTCATGTTAATTATTTTTGCCTTTTTCCTTAATTTAAATTGAGCATATGAAATGATTAGCTTAATTATCTTAATTGTTGTGTTTAATTCACTCAGACAAAATTAAATTCATTACCATGATAATTATAATTCTTGAACAATGTTAATTATTTTTAATACTTTCAATAAGAATATCATTAAAAGCATCATCATAATTAACTAATTGTTGGTCAAAATTTTTTGTTTTCATTTTTATTCAAAAAAAAAGTAGCGGAAAAAAAGACAATTAAGATTAATATTAATTGTTTTCAATTATTCAAAGTTATGGTTTCTTATGAAAAGGTCAAAACCATTAAGTTAAAGGATACATGGTAATTATTAATGGTCAAACAATTAGAACAATTTAAACTTTTTATCCATCATTAAGTAAATGAAATCAACAATTAAAGTGTTTCTCTAGCATCATAATCAAGATTAATTTTGTATTCACTTCCAGCTTGGGCAACAAAAAGTTCTAGTTTCGACTTGTTCGAGTTCTAATGAAGATTTCTCATCCATTAGTAAGTGAATACTCATCATCATGAATCTTTGTTATCTCTCTCTCTCTCTCTCTCTCTTCTGGTGTTTAACATTAGCTGAGTGAAACTTTTTCTCTATTCAGGGAAAATGAACCTTCCTCAGGTGAAAACATGGAAAGTATCTCATTAGTTGCTATTAGATGGACACAATTTATGGAGGTTTATATAATAATAACCTTGAAGGGAAGGGAGGGAAAAGTGATAAATGTAACTCAAGGTAGAGATGAGATTTGATGAAATTAAAACGATCGCAATGTAACAGTAAAAATCACCTGAGTGGGTTCATAAGATTATCATGAAATTTTACAGGAAATTGTTGGGAAAATACTGTATTGTAATATATACAATGTTTTACTCTTAAATATTTGATAATTGTTTCCAATGAGACGTTTAATCATCTTCATCTTCATTGGTCTTTAAGATGATAAACTTTGTTGTTTACTCTTTTTGTTTCGTATATTGTTATTTTCACCTTGATAAACATTAATCATGTCACAATTGTTGACAACTTTGGGTAAACTATTAACGTTTCAATGTAAACATGGAAACTCAGACACAATATAACAAATGAATTACTTGTTTAACTATTAACAATAAATAATCATGAATAGGAATCAATATATCTAAGGTTTAAATGGAAAAGGTTTCATGTAATAGTTAATTTTCAATGGACATTTTTCTCCTTGTGTATCAGAACCAGTGATTAGTAATCACTGATTACAAATCGATTCAGTAGTAACAATCAAGAGAAATTTTTTCTCTATCATCAATTCAAATTCATTTCTATGGGTTCTCGTTGATTTGATTGTTGATTGTAAGAGTGTTTAAGAGAAAGATAGAATAATGAATCGAATAAATTGTTAATTGTTAGAACAATTAACTTAATTACTTACCTTGTAAGTCTCGTGTCTTATTCCTCCAACATTGAGCACTACCCGGTTCTCTGCATCCAAGTTCATATTTCATCTGGATCTTTTAATTGCAATTGAAACCTCGGGATTAACAATTTAACCCGTGGCCACACACACACACACGTTAATCTTAATCTTTACACAATTAATTAGTCACAATTTAACTTAATTTCCACTGATTAGTTTAGTTAAACAAAAGTCAAATGAGATTTAAAGTTTGATGGATGAACTTTGTTTGTTTATTTTTCTGATGAGTTGAATTAATCAATCCAAATTGGTGATGATTATTTTTGATGATTGAACCACAATTAAATTGTTGATCTGATGATTTAAGTTAATCCAATAACAATTGATATCCATTTTATATAAGCTTGAAAACTTAATGATGATCGTAATGGTTAACAATTAACTCCTTTAACTGATTTAATATATTTTTTTTGTTATTATAATCCAACAATTGATTAACTAAATTTTACTCTTGATTGGTTAAACTTAACTTTTAACAATTGAGTTAATTATCAATGATCAGCATTTTTTGTTTCAATTTAAAGGTATTAAGGCAATCAAATGATTCAATGTATTTATAAATTGCCAGTTGATCAACAATTAAAATCCAATTAACTGTTTATATGTTTTAATTTGATCCAGTTAAATATTTAATTTGAAAACTAGAAAAGCAACAAAACCCATTTCCCCTTTGGTCCAGTTTTACATTTTGATTTGATTACATTAATCAAGATTAATATTAATCCTTAATCACTGAATTGTTAACTTGATTATCTTTCATCATCTATTGATCATTGTTTTCCTTGATTAAAGTTAATATGTCAGCAATTAACGACGATCTCATGAAAGATGATTAGTCCAAATGCTATATGATAATGGGAAGAATTGAAAAAGAAAAGAAAAATTTAGAATTGAAATTCGATAAAAAAAAAGTTCTAATATTTATTTTTGTTTCACAAATGCAAAACAATACAACATTTACAAAGCTAATTAATCATCGCAATTGATTATGTCAACAAAGTCTATTAACTCAAACAATTTACCGACTATCATTGATGATGGAATCAAATAATTGCTCTCTCAACTATGAGGCTATTTCCTGTTTCCGTTGTCAAATAAATTTGGACAGAAGAAAAAATTTCATCAAGTGTGAATATGATAAAATTTCATCATCATGAATCTCGGTGAGTTCAATTAAGATGAGAATTCATTTTGAATAATCAACTTGAATCTGATAAGTAAACAATGAGTATTCTTGGTGATACATAATCAGTCGAAATATGATTCTAATAAGCTTGAAAGAGGAAAATTCTGATTTCATGATGGTTCCCATGGTAGAAATCAACAATCCACAAATGTAAATATTAATTAAAGGAGAGAGAGAGAGAGAGAAAATGTTTTCTGATTGCAATCAAATATTTGATAAGATTAACATTATGGAATCAATTTGTTGATTCCAATGAAAAGTTATCAAGATGAGATTAAGTTCATGGTGAATTCAGGGCGTTTTTTATTCACTAGCTACTCCACTGAATATCTCAGGGGTTAAAAGTCATATAAAATTATTAGAACTTGACAAGTTTCTTATGAACCAAAGCTCTTCAAATTTTTCATTAGAAGTTCGTTAGTGTCGTTACCTGAAGAATGCATTTGAAGGTCATTGGAAGGTTATTTGAGAAAGAGTCCATAAAATTACTCACCAGAAATGACCATTCGAAATGACCAATTTAGTAAGACAGAAAAGGACTAAACATAGTTTACTAGAAAAGGTTAAATGTTAATAGAATACAATTTCAACTGAAAAGATTGAAGAAAATCAAACTGTTAGAGGTGAAAACTTAACAATCAAGAAAATCAATTAATCGACACCCAGCAATAGGGATGGAGAAATAAACTGACCGATGAAAAAACTGGTCAACGGAGACTAAATGTTGATTATTCTGTGAATCGATTCATAGTAAAATAAGAAAAGTAGCAAAATGTCGAACAGGTATTGACCGAACTGCCACTGACCGGCTCTTGAAGCTTAATCGTTTTCGAGTAATTGTAAGAAGATGATGAGAAGAAAACGGAAAATTAGCTGAACTGCTCTGTACTTTGACCTCTAATGTGACATTTAGAGTGCTTTAATTGTGTGAAATATCCGCAAAGAATAAAAAACGCCCTGTAGATTCATTATTATTATGATTACCATGTAACCAGAAATTCAATAACAATGATAATAACATTTAATAACATTTATCAGATCAATTCTTCGGGTTTTAGAGTTCAATTTAGAGCTGGAAATATCAAATTTCCATCTCATGTAACTGAATGAAAAGACAATTTCATATCCAATAACTTGACCAGAACTTTTTTCTGACAAAATTTTCAATTCCAAAATTTTTTGTTTTTTTCTCTCATATGGTTTAGATTCTATTGGATTTTTTTCCTCATAGATATTACATGAAGCTCAATCTGAGAATTGGGAGTTTTTTTTTTCTCTCAGTTCTGATGGAAGCATTAAATTAATTCACTCATGAAATCATGATGAAAACTCATAATCATTGAAATGATTGTTGATTTTGCGAGGGGAGAAACTTGAAAGAAAATTCTGATTTCAACTTTATCTTTTCTTATTCATATTCATAACTTTCGTTTCCGGTTATAAAGAAGTTGAAATTTCCTCAAAGATGAAAAGAGAGAAAAACATGAAGAATTACATGGAAAATGTTTCATTTCGAATTTAGAACTTTTATCTCATTACTATTTCCGAGTTGTATCCATCCTTCTCCTCATGAACAGATAATCATCCTCATCACCACCACTAACAACTCGAGCAAAAGTAACTATAAAAAAGGTAAGAAAAAAATTCCCAGAATAATAATAATCATAATCATCTGAATTTAGAAACTGAATAAGTTCAGAACTTTTTTTGCTCTCACAAAATTTTTCTTCCTTTTGTTTCATGATACAAATGAATATCATTTCTTTACAGTTTCTCTTATCATTATCATCATTCTCACTCCCTGACTGAATTTTAATCAGTAAACTAACATGAAATGTTTGGTGAAAATAATTCAATGCCATGAAAAGTAAAAACAACCATTTGAAATGTTGAATTTGAATGTTAATCATGATTAAATTAACTTTTATCATGTTGATTTGAGATGAAAATATAATTTAATCAACTTTTTCTTTCAAACCATCAATTTGTATCTCAATTGACTTTTAATTCATTACCGATTTTAATTAATAAGTTTGATTGTTGATTATAGCGAGAGAATTGCAAAAAATCAAATTAGATTTTTGCTCTTCTCAACTCATCTAATCACTAGAACTTAATATTACATCAAGAGAGAGAGAGAGAGAGAGCAAATTAGATTAACAATCAACTAATTGGCTTAATTACTCTTAATTTATCCATTAGCACTTATTTCTTGATGATGATAATTGTTGTTTGCGTGTTGATATTGACTAATAAAAGTTTAATATAAAATTAATTGTTGCTTCCTAAATATCAACAACTTTCATCCTCTAATCATAATTAACTAATTGTCGATATCATGAGTAACATTTAATTATCTTAATTTAAACAGTAAATCAGTTTTCAATAATAATACAGAAAATCAATGTTACAGATAAAAAAAATTTAAGAAAATCAATAATAATCAATGATATTAGTTAATAAAAAAATTTCACCATAAATATATTGGTAAATAACAGCAAATGATTGACAATTAAATTGAAACTATTAATAATTTAATGACTCACTAAATTATGGTGTAGATTGTTAAGAGACAATTAAGTTAATAGCGATATTTGAAATTGTAAAGATGAAATAATTACTAAGTTTAATAATAGAATTGGTAATTAACTCGATGAGAAAAAAACTCGAAACAAAAATTTGCATCGATTTAACGACGAAATCATTAAATCAAGGAAGAGGAAGAAGAAGAAGATGATGATGATGATGATGATGACAAAGCCTGTTGAAGATGATAAAAAGAATATCAAGATTGAGATGATGAAATCGAAGCCAATAACTAATAACTTTTTGTTTCCTCGTTTTAATCTGAGACTCATCATATTTATCATCCTCATCTCTTCATGATGATAATTTGGTTGAATGATGAATAGACTCAAATGGATTAACATGAATCTCTGTTGAGAGAGAAAGACGAAAGATGATAAATAAAGTTATCATCATTTACCATTGTTATTATTACCATTGTCTCTCTCATTTCCATTCTCTCCCTCTGTTTCTCTTCCTTGGTCTATTTTTTTTTCTATCATCCTTGTCTTCCAGGTTTATTATCGAATAAGCTAGAACCTAAACTTCGATCGTACCTTTGCATGATTATTTTTTCTCCATCATCAAGGGTAATATTCAATTCTATCTGATATTTTGTTTTCTTCTTATTCTTCCAACATTGTAGTAAGTTGAGTTCTTTTTTCCTGAATTAATGTTATACGATATTAACTATTTACTATGAGACTTTTTTTACTTATTAATGTAAATGTTTGTTATTTGTTATATTGTTGTTCAATGTTGATGATAAGATAATAGAATTAGGAATTAATCAATCTTCAATTATCTTTATCCTTCCACCAGGTAAGTTGTGAATCAACGTGAAGAAAGTAAAACTCAATAAAACACAATTTGTTTGCCTTATTTCTTGTAGTAAATTATCATTAGTGAGAGAGCTTTCATCTTCCCTGTTCTCTCTCTCTCTCTCTCTCTCTTTCTCTCTCTTTCTCACTCCAATGTCTTCATCTTCTTAATCAATCCCTTAATTCAACTATTAATTTAACAATTAACAGTAATTAGGTTCTTTGCCTTCACTCTTTTTCCTTTCACTTTTTGTCTCTTGGTTTTCATTCACATTTTGAGACACATTTTCTTTGGTTAACTGATTCTCAACATGATGATAATCTTCATCATGAAATCAGTCACATGAAACACTGAGAAAAATTGAATTTTCTCATGTAAGTTATGGTAAAGAGGATCAATGTTACTCTTAAGCTCATGTCTTATTAAAATTGACTTTGGCTTCGTTGTAATTGTTCATGTTGTTGATTGTGTTTGTTTTTTATTCAATTGTTCAGTTAATTCCTTACCTTTTATCATTTAATCCATTTGATTAATTATCAATCGATTATCAGTTGTTGGATTTATATAAACAAAATCTTCCAATGGGAAAGTATCGGTTAAAGAGGAGAAGGTGATTAAGGATTAGGGAAATGGGATAATAAACACTTCTAACTTTAATTGCTGTTGTTGGTTAAGATTTTGTTAATCCTTTTGATTGATTATCTGTTTTTATCCAAACATTGAGTCTCAATAACCAAAAACACACTCACAATTTTCAATGAACACAATTAACGTTACTTTTTTTCTGTTGGTTTAATACTAATTGTTGAATGTTGATTGATGAACAATTTTGATCAATTTAGTTTCGTTGAAAGTGTAACACTATTTATCTTTCAGTTTAAGGTCAAGATGATGAGGTGAGTTAATTGTAGATGGTTAAAATTAAATTGTTTCTAATATATTTTCGCATAGTACAAAAAAATCAGGTAAATTGTTGTTACTCTCACTTAATTCACTTTACCTTAACCCGGCTTGGTTTGAATGAAGCCAGGGAAATGATGATAAGTAAAAACCTTGACAATTTTTGTTGATAAAAAGGTTTGGGTTATAGACTTTCTCACTCAAATATATCAGTATTATCATCATCATCATCATCATTATGAGATGAGTGAGAATGTAAAACTGGGAGTATATGAGAGAGAAGGCTAATCGACAAGTGCATGCGAATAGCTGTAAAAGAAAGTATAACTGAATAGATTCCATGTCAAATAATTGTGACCTGGAAATTGGGAATTTTATTCAAACTCGAGTTTCTATTAGATGTGTAGCCATCTATTGGATATTTACTTAGAACTTTTCTTTCGAATCTTTGTCTCTTTCGTATTTATCGATCGCCAATCAACTGGTCTACATTTCTTTAGTCTATCTTTTGGAACACCTTAGAAACCATCATCAATTAATTATCCTTTTCTCTGTCTTTTTCCATCTCTATTGTGGGATAATAATAACGGGATTATTTAGATTTTGTGTTCGTTTTCCGGTGGAAAAATAATTTACATCTTTTTGATCAAGTTAATTGTTTGTAATTTTTGATGATTGATAAATTAAATATATGACTGATTTGGAAAATATTGAATAGTGAGAGACTGAGAAAAGAGAGAGAGAAAAGGGAAATTGGATAAGTTTGCGTTTCGAAAGTGGGGATTATGGTGAAGAAAAGAAATGAGAGAGAGAGAGAGAGAGAGAGAAAACGAGAATGATAATAATTATATTCATGAAATTTTAGATCTTTTAGTATCACGGCCACTTCCGGAAAGATTTGGGGGTGGCATTAAATTACGATCATCTGAGGAATCACTAGGGTATGGACGCTTTTGTTGTTGGCGATTGTGTTGATTATGATTCTGGTGCTGTTGATGGTGATGTTGTTGTTGTTGATGATGATGATGATTATTAAACAGAGGAATTCGTTCAATAAAATCTAATAATCTATCTTTCGAAATTGGATTACGAATTGTTTCCATAACTGAATTAGCTGTTTCATAGGCATTAGGGAAAGACTTATCAGTTCTAATTCGCATAAATTTCCAACAATTTTTTCCATAATCCCAAGTACATTCAATTATCTTTCCGTCAAGATCTTTCATTGATCTGGTAAAGGGCATCGATGAATATGGTTCATTCATCCGGTTGACATAAAGGTAACACTCTTTACGATTAAGTTCACCAGGTTTAGAAATCGCAACTATTTTACACCTAAAATCAATTGAATTGTGAGTCTCTGGTTTCCATTTTAAACTTTCGGCACATTGTCCTGGTTTGTAGGGATCATCGTACGGTTGAAATATGAGGCCATCGATTTCGTGAGAAAGTTGCTGCGTAAAACTAGGACCAAAAATTGATTTGGTTTGTTTAATATCCCAAAAGTCTTTAATTCTAATACCAAAAGGTTCCTTGGATCTGTCAATTAATCCTGTTTGTTTGGCTTCTTCTCTTGGTCCAATTATCTCCTTTGTAATACAAGTTCGTCGTAAATTAAAATGGGTCCAACCAACGTCTATCCCTTCAAATTTGACAATATCATAGATTAGGTAACGTGGTGTTTTCTGTCCATTATGCTCATCGATGATCATTTCTCCATCTAATAGTGTATTGGAAAGGTGAGCATTAAGATCTTTACGTCTAGGAAAACGGACTTCTCGAGCTTGGAAAACTGAATTATCACGATCAATAAAATAAATTCTATCTGGTCCGTCGATTAACATCATGTAACGGGTTCCATCAGCTTTCCAGCTAACAGAATAGGGTTTACGATTAAATAATTGAATGTTCTTCCAGTCAAGGGAAACAGGTTGACTACCAGGGAAACCACGACCTGACCATTTGCACATTTCTTGACATTTACGTTGAATTTCAGACCAGATTCTGGAATCAGCTGGATAAACTTTATCAACACCTTCCATGAAGGTGGCAGTACGCTCACGTTTATTACTATTATTACTATTACTACTATTATTGGAGCTTGATGATGAAGAGTAACCACTTTCTACCTCATCATCTCCATCTTCTTCCTCATTACACCAATCAGGTAATTCTGGTGGAGGGGGGGCATCTTCAACATCACCAAAGCGAGAGAATAACGTTTCCAGATAATCTCCTTTATAAATACCTGGATGTCGACATTTTGCAAATTCTCGTACACTCGCTTCTATGGACCAATCTTGTCTTTCTACAAGATAAGCACTGATCAGAAAACCCGTCCTATTAAAACCATGAGTACAATGAACGAGTATTTTTTTCATTGGTTCTTTACAAAAAAATTGATGACATATATTGACAAAAGTTCTGGTTTGTTCGGGAGATGGACATTCACCATGTCTATGAAAAGATAAATGTAATCGAATTAGAAATAGAATATGCGAATTTGATGAAGCTGAAGGACAAATTTTTCCATTTAAACAGCTACTTACCCTCGACACTCAATTTTGACATATTTTATTTCCTTTTCGACAATCTCTTTGTTATAGAAACGATTTGTATTAGTTAGATCAATCCAAAGACCAATATTGACCTGATAATAGGGAAGAAGGAGGAAGAGAAATGGACTCTATTGTCAACAAAAGTTTTGTACCATTTTCCGACAAGAGGACAAGGGGATTCATACATTTTGACTTTTATATGCTTGCAGGGCCATTGTCGGTGTCCACAGTTGGCCGGGTTTCATTTTATCGGAATAATTTTTGTCCAAAGGAGTTTTAATGGCAACAAATTTGTCTAAGGTGAAAGAAAAGGTAAACCAAAGGTAAGAGTGATTAATTGAGAGCAATAAAAAGTATAATCAAGGTGATTATTGAGTTCAAAAGAGAGAGAAAAGAGTGAGAGAGAGAGAGAGAGAGGAAAATAAACACTCACCAGCTATCAGGCCACTTTTACGAGGACAGTTTAACCACCGAGGTGGTAAGACGTATCGACCCGACATGATGAGGTAAGTGAATTAAGTAAACAAGGTAAGATGGAGAAGATGGTTGATTAAGATGGAGCGATGAAGATGATGATTGTGATGATGGAATAAAAAAGAAAAACAAACAAGAGAAATTGGAGAAAAAATTGGAAAGAAAGAGAAGACAAAATGAATGGAACACAAAGACAATTGTCTATTCCTTTTTTAGGTGATGGTAGTGGTGAATTATTTGTGAACCAGCAACAATTTGATTAAGAACAAAAGGAGAAAAATATTAACAATTTGAAAAAGAATTTAAATCTTCATTCTATTTAATATTTAGATTGTCAACAATCACGATGTTGAAAAGCTAAAATCATATGTAGATATCGGCCTTAGATTGAGAGATGAATAGACTTATCCCTTTAAATAGTCAATCTAATGCTATTAACACGAAACCCGCTCTTTAATCATCAATTGTATCCAGAGCTTTACAAATCTTTCTTAATTAACGGTTGTAATTAAGTGTCCAAATTTGTTTTCCAACAATTTACAAAACAGATTCTCAAACAATCAAGTCTCACAATTGAAATTTTTTCCCGTGTTTATGTTGATTGAAAACAGTCAAAATCTATCATCAGATTTGCTTTTTTGTTTGCTCGGTGTCCAATTAGTCAACACAGACAAAGACCCAAATTCACAATTAATTCACCTTTAACAAAGATAATTAAAAAAGAATTAATAAATTGAAAGTAATTAATCAACAGGTTTCAACCACTTATTGGAATCAATTGTTGATCAAAATTAAAGAAAAAAATTTCAATACTATCAATCGAATTCGATACTATCGAACTTTGAATTATCGATATTTGATATCGGATATTATTCGATATTTTTGTGTGAATAGGAAAACATTTTGAGAGACAAAAAATGTTGTGACAATTTGATTGTTTTTAATTGTTAATTAATTCTGTAAATTATCTTGTCAATTTACCTTAAACTCTGTGTCGAAATTTAAACTATCAACTAAATTCCATTTCTTCGGTTTGGTGGGTCTCTACTAGTTGATTGTTTGTATTCTTTTTCTTTTGGTTCTTTTTTTGGTTTTCTCTTTTTTCCCCTTTCTTTTCTTTCTTTCTTTCTTGTTATCCCAAACTATGGACTCCACTTGTGGTAGATTGGACATTAATTCATTACAGTTGAAATTATATGCTGAATTTGACCAGTGGCAGGATTTTGTTGCTGCTGTTGATGAATTTCAAAGGAAAACTTCAATTAAATTAACGATAACAACAAGCAGAAAGTTAAAAAGTCGAATAAGATCAAGTAAAAAGAGGAAAACATTCAGAGGAATTAAGACAAATACTGGTCAAGATGAGGATGATCATGAAGAATCCATAGATTCAAGTGGTGATGGTGTTAACGATGATGATTCAAGATCACAAGAGAGTACAAATATATCAATTAAAGGCTTCGAATATCAATACCTTAAACTTACCTGTAAACATTATGGTGGTTACAGATCAACATCTAAAGGAGTAAGACCCAATCAACGAACTGCTAAATTAAACTGCCCGACTTATATTTACGCTTGTTTTGATCATTACAAGCAAAAATTTATCATCAAACAAATGGTTGTTGATTGTAACCATGAGTTAAAAGATGAACATGTTTTAATATCTAAACTGTTCAAAGAAAGAGAACCTGATCATATGTAAGTATTATCGTTCTTACTAATTTTTCACTCCCTGATTATTTTTGTTCTATTCTTTTTCCTTTACTGAGAATAATTTTCTTTACTTTGTTTCAATTCTCTTTCAGATCTGACACCAATGAAGCTACTCCAAAGAAAAAGTACATCAAAGTGCGAAATAGGAATGTACTGAAAATCCCTCTTGAATCACCCGCTGTATCCAACTATGTGCCCACTCCAACTGTTAGAATCCGATGTAACCATGAATTATCTGAATCATGTGAAGCTGCAAGTCTAACAACGGAAGATTTACATTCTATTCATGAACTTTTCGTATCAAAATCTAAGAAGGAGCAAAATGATCTGATACTTGAATGGATTCAAGTTCTTCCCTATGATAATGCTGCCAATACAGTTCAAGTTTTATTTAGATTACCTGCTTTCGACGGTTCGCTGGTTCGAGTTTGTTATAAAGCTTTTTCACAGGTATTAAAAGTAGCAATTAACCGTATCAATGACCTAATCATTGGTAATTATGATGAGATGGGCAATTTTCTGGACAAGAATAAGCAAACAGGTGACTCGCGAGAGATTGAAAATTGTATCGCCAATATATTGACATCATTTTCCAAGGAAGGAGATACAGAGGAAACTCATCAAGTCATTTATTGTGATACAGTTGATGTTCCTTATGCTGAAGATACTATTGAAGAAAGTTTCGTAGAGGAAAATATCACCAACATGATTGAATCATCAACCTCATCGTCTTCCCTGAAAAACGAAACTCGTGATACTGTTCAACTTTTAAATCCATTAAAACCACCAGTGATCAAAGTTAGTCCCGCTGGGGATAAATTTTCCCTTGAAATAAACTGCGAGTACAGTGTAACCCTTCAAAATGTTAGCATTGAAAATAATGGCAAGACAATTAAAGTCAGTTTCAGTGCTAAATAAAGAGTCACAACAACAACGAAATGCAGCAAAACCAACACCATCATCACCACCAAACACTTTGAAAAACAACAACAAAATCAATAGATCTCATCAATGTTTGCTCATCACAACAATTTAAATTTGCCATTACATTTTATGCGTGTCTAAATTATGCATGAATCAAATGCTCCTGCATTGGCACATAAAAGTAAACAATCAAAACAAATGCATGTTTAAATAATCATTTTCACTGTGTCACCTTAATCACCATCATCATCATCATCATCATCCACAATTAGCTAATTGTTAAACTCTCTCTTTTTTTTGTATCAACTTGGAAACCAATCGATTGTTTCACCTCATAAAAAGAAGAAACTATTAACTTGACTGTCAATTATGATTCTATTTAATTCTCACTGTCCATCCTCGAGATTTATGTCCACCCAGCGGAAAAGGAACTATTTTTTACTTGAGAAAATCTAATTCTCTTATAATTATTAATTTCTAATGAGAACTAATAATAGGAAATTATTACTTGTGTGTGTGTGTGTGTGTGTTTTGATTGCCATTCAAGAGGAAAAGATTATTACAATTTGAACTGAATTGTTCCAATTGATTGTGAATATCAAAATTGATTGATTTTGATGTTAAATTAAATATTTAAATCGCGTTGAAATACAAAAATAAAATTAATACGTTAATTGTTACACCGAGAAAGTTTAAATTGATAAGTTTGCATTTTTATCGTTTTTAAACCTGTACACAAAGGGTAGAGAATCATAATCTTTTAAGAAGATAATTATGATAATCAATTGATTAATTTGATAAGAATTAAATTTAAATAGAAAGAGAAAACAAAAAGGAATATATGGTAGAAAGGAAGAGATTAATTCTATTAGTTGAACAAATAAGATAATCATATTGGTCTGATTTTCTTATTCTGATTATAAGTTGTTTTTACAAATATTCGTAGTAAAATGTTCAACTGATTTTGCATTTTTGCCCAATTCTTGTTTCTGATGCGTTAATTGAGTTAACAGTTGACAGTTAATCGTCCATTGGGTTTAAAAGACTGTTAGAAGGGCAAATACTCCGTAAAGAAGTGCACATGGATATGCAATTAGTGGTTGTTGTCGCTGTAGGGCTAAGGCTGTGACGAAAAGTTTAGAGGCACTTAAAGCACACCAAAGAACTGCTGTGATGGCGAAAAATTTACCAATTACACCGGTGCTTAAATTGAATATAACAGATAATCCTGAAAGAACGACCATCGGAAGTAAACTGTAGCCTAGAACGGAAACCGTACAGATCAATGTGATCGATGTTGCACCGGGAGACATAAGATTGAGTAGAAAATAAACAGATAAACAACCAACAATTCCAATTCCATAAATATAACTAAAGTGAAGTTTTCCCGATAAAAGGAGAAACATTCCGAAGGCAAAGCAAAACACCAATGGACCTGTAAGATCACTTTCATGGAGAATACTTTGTTCCGTTTTCTTAAAGGGAATTATAACTGCTAATGTTTTCTGCATAATTTGATCGAAATTAATTCCTAATTCCTCTAATAGCGGAGGTTCACCGGCAAAAGGATCATCAATACCATCTGATGAGTAAAAGGGATCCGTGTTTATGTCACCGGTCGGTGTTGCTGGGGAGAAAACGGAAGAAGGTGATGGAGATGGTACCATTGGTGTCGGTGTTGGAACATAATAAGGATTATATTGTGAGGGTGTTGGATTGTAAATGTAAGGTGACATGTTCTCCTGGTTGTCCATTGGTGTCTGAATGGTGACAAAATCTTCTGCAGAAGGAAAATTTAAATATAGAAAAAGGAAAATTAGAAAATTAATTGGAAATCATCAAAAGAGAATAGAAAATGTCCAAGTGGCAAGAGAGAAGGAAAAAAAATCATATGAAACAGTTTCAGTGGAGAATTGAAAATGATTTAAACTCACCGGCTATTAGGTCATTTCTTGGTGGATAATTTGGCGGATAATTGTATCGATCGTCCATTTCTAATTAGTTAATTGTCAATTTAATGAGAAAACAAAACAATCAAAATAGAAACACAATCAATGTGATGTTACGTTGCTTTAGAATTCAATTAATCTGAGAAAATCGATAGTCCGATTAATTGGACTTACTCTCGATTATGAACGATCGATTTTTCATATAATCTTAATTAAGAAATTTTTTCAATTTTGATTGATTAACAATTAGCAGTTGTATTGGAAATCAGTTGAATAAAGCAACTGCAGTTTATTGTTACATCTTAATGTTGATTTATTGGAGCTCATTCGGGTTGATTGTATGTTTTTCACTTGACAATCAGTTAACTATTTTAGTTGATTGGATTAATTGATTCTAATTTTGATTTGTAACATTTTTATGAATAGTTTATTATATTAGTTAAGTAAAATTACAATAAAAAAATAATTTAATAGAATAAAAATAAAAGATAAAGTAAATAAAATGATTAAATAATTCAAGAGATTTTTTAAATTGATTTTCCTCTTAAATTTGAATTAAGTTAAATTACAAAATGTTAAGATTATGGTTCAACCACCTGATTAAGATCCGCAGAGTTTATAAAGTACGAGAAGGATTAGCTAAATTAGAAAATGAAAAAAAAACAATTAGTTAGATTGTCAGTGACCACTGGATTGGACATTGGATTGCTGATTGGATTACCGTTAATATTTCGAATCCAAGGATGACCTGAGTCGATGCTCGATAACCGATGGTTCCTAAAAGATAACCACCGACTGATGGTCCAAGAAATGCTCCAGCCGAACAGGATGAGAAATTTGTAGCCGAAACCAGAGCATAAGTTGATGTCTCGTTTGGATAACCTCTTCGGTTAATTGTGTCGTTCAGACAAGCGATGTAAGCGCTAACCTGCTTAGCAGCCATTCCAATTCCGACGATGATGAGAGAGACAATTACAAGCCAAAGTTGACTGAATGAAAGAAAAAGATCAATTAATCAAACAAATTGACGAATTTAGAGATAAACTTACGGTTCGATTGGTAGAAAATCAGCTGGTCCCATGAACAATAAACCGACAATGTTAATCGCCGTTCCAAGGATCGACATCCATCGAGCATCAAACTAAGTAAATGAAAGAAACACTCAACAGGTTGTTTGCTAATCACTTGTTATTTCTTGGGTACTGACCTTGTATTCACCCAATTTACCCCACAAAGGATTGGTCAAAGCGTAAACGGATCCCGTTATGATGAAAATAGACCCAATTTTTGTTGGCGAAAGGTTAAATTGTCTTAAATGGTGTTCAAGTGTCGCTGCGTTGAAACCGATCAAATTCAAACAACCAGCGATTGTCAGGACATCCAGAAGAGTACCAATGTCACAAAGAAAGGCAAACACACTCGGCGATTTACTTTGGGTGACACCACCTAAATTGTTGACAAACAATTAATGAGCTAAATTGACTAAAGAAATAAACAAAATAATTACCTGATTTGGGCAACAAGATTATGCTAACTAAACTGCCCAGAATCATACAGGTTCCCAACACAGCAAAGGGCGTAATGTAGCCACCGACCTCAAAAAGAGCTCCACCAACCGTTGGACCGACGATTAGTCCAAGACCAAAAAAGGTCTCCAAGAGAGCGAAAAGAAATGAAATATGATCAGGAAATTCTAATGGCATGATGGTGTAACATGAGGTGAGAAATGCCGCTGCTCCAGCACCTTCAAAGATTCTCAGAGAAAAAGCCAAAACGGTGAACTGCAGGGAATCGGCTATTCTGTCCAGAATTCTGAGAGAGAAGGAATTTAAAATTGAGTCAATTCACTGTGGTCGTGGTGCAAGTGGTTGTTAGATTCCTTACCCGAAAAGCACCGTGGTGATACCGGCGAGAAAAAGACCAGATTCGAGGAAGAAATTGGGAGAAACATAAGCGAACTGAAAGAGAAAAGACAAAAATCTCAGGTGGTTGGACTCGAATAAAACTGAATTTTAATTACCATTTTGCCGAAAATCGGACTTGCAGTCAATATGACCAACTCATAGATTCCAAAAATCAGGCCGTAGACTTGAGACGAAACACCTTTGTTGTCACATTCGGCGGGGAAAAACGGAGCTTGAAGGGAAACACACGCGGCGACACAAAAGTTACCATAGGCCAAGGCGATCAAACATAAAATCTGTCGCTTACTGATGGGCACTTTTCTGATCTCTTCCAGTGCATGTCGATGGCTGGAATGTAAACTACAAGCACCACAAGATCGGGTACTCATCAAGTGAGAATCCGCTGAATCAATAAAGCCCAACATAATTAAAGAGAAACAAAATTAAAGGTCAACTCAAAGGTGAACTAAAAAAATTAATACTATTGTTTTGATGTTGTTACTTTAAACACTGATCATCAAATGGATCAACAGGTTAGGCAATGATTAAACCACAATTTGGAAACAAATTAACTTAATTATGATCAACCAATGATATTGATCCTCTGGTGTGAACAAGATTAAACACCCAAGAGAGTCTTTGTAAGTGGTAATTAACCAATTGGATCATAAATTGATTAAACTTTTTTCGTTCACTTAATCACAATCGAATGTTAATTTTTTAATAATAAACAATTTGTCTTTTGTTGATTTTTGTTTATCAAAGTTAAAGTGAAAACACAAGAAAAAAATCAAGTACAAATTGTGATGATTATCATTGATGAAAAAATAACAACTAACCCAATTAATCAAATAGATTAATAAATTATTGAAAAATCTTAATTGATTGTAAACAAAAATAATATCTAATTGTGACTTCGTCATTATCTAATTGTCAAACTGATCTTCATTAAGATTCAGTCAAGAACATTATTGAAAGTTGAACAGATAATACGAAGTTAAGGAATTGAATGGATATGAACAATTAACTTATTTCCTACGTGGAATTAAATTTCGTTTCAATTATCACTGATTCTTAAATTTGATGGCAATGAATTTCAATGAACTTTTCTAATATCTATTTTCGCTCTTTTCTATTCTTTGTTGATTAATAATAATGATCACCTTGATTCGGAAGAACAGGGAGAAGAAGATAATGAACAATCTACTGAAATAATCATCATCTGAACAATTAATGTTTAGATTAACATTGGAATCCAATATCCTAAAGTTATTCTACAAGTTGATTGTTTTATTAGTCTAAGACAAACCCGAAGCTAAAACCCCATGAGAAATCGTAAATTCTTACTTTATTCAGTTGATAATGATTCTAACGGTTGAATTTCTTGGTCTGAATCATTCGTAACTTTGAAAATAGAAAATCGATCTGATCGATCAACTATTCGGATCTGAACAACTCTAAATATGCCCACTGGTTATTTACCAATATTTTGGTTGCGTTCTTCAGTTACATTAGTTTATTCCCGTTGAATTAGTTTGTGTCCCTATTGTGACATTAAGTTAATTTCTTCTCTTTCTCTTCGAGGTTTAACTCTCATCACTTGACTAGTGTATACTAATCAGGAAATACTTTTATTTGACTTCACTTTTCGAGGTAAGTGTCATTTGTAAACTCTTGTGGTGGCCAATCATCATTTGTAATACTTGTTGATATTAAAGATAAACTGAGATCACATCAAAAGTTCGTAAAATTTTAATCATATAAGGTGACTCGCTTAATATGATGTACTCTCCGTCACGGGTTATGGTCATCATGAGAGATGAGATATCTTTGGGTCGGGGAAAACTAATACATTTATGTAATTCACCTCGCAAATTGTAGGTAAACAAAAGTGCAGTTGGTTCACTTGGTGCTACGGTTGTTGTTGTTGCTGTTGAGGACGATGATGATGAGATTGTGTTGGGCATAATTGTTGACGTTAATGATGATAAGAGTGATGAACTTGATTTGGAAGAAGAGGGAGAAGATGATAATGGACGATCAACTGAACATGCAGTTCCTACAATAAATGCTAATTCTCTTGCAAGAACAAGATTATTGATGAAATAATCATCATCTCCACAATTATTGTTTAAATTAACATTGGAATCAGTTGAGTCACGATGCACCTTTGAATTGGTACTTCGAAATGAAGATTATTGGTTAGATATTCTTACCTTCAACGATTACATGTGGCTAAGATTTTCAGCTTTCACGGTAAACTCAATCTTCAATTCCCTGGCCTGATCTTGACACTGGTCACGAATAATGTCTCTTCTGATCTCCGCTCCATTCAATCACCAACGGTGATTGTATAACTGCGATTGATGTTCGCAAACGACATTTAAATGTTTCCGATGCTATTAGTTTATCATTTAAACCTTTCACCGATAATTGCGATGACCCAGTTGATCCAATGGATGAAGGAAACAATAAAAATGTTGAAGTTAAAGTAACAATGGAAGCGAGTATTACCGCCGGTGAAGGTTCAATTCAATATTCACCATCAAAGGAAAGGAAAACTTCTGGTTGCTCAGAAAAATCTTCATCTCGAAGTACCAATTCAAAGGTGCATCGTGACTCAACTGATTCCAATGTTAATTTAAATGCTAATTGTGGAGATGATGATTATTTCATCAATAATCTTGTTCTTGCAAGAGAATTAGCATTTATTGTAGGAACTGCATGTTCAGTTGATCGTCCACTATCATCTTCTCTTTCATCTTTATAATGGAGATAAATGACTTGAGTTAATTTTTTCGTTTCAGTTAAATAAATGAATAAGATTCTTTTTAAAAGAATTGTCATAAAACAGAGCCGCTATTTTGTATCTTGAGTCGATTGTATCGAAAATATATCGGGCAGAATAAGAAGCCGAAAATATGATAAACAGCGAAGAAAAGTTTTACCTAAAAGATTTCGCTTATTGAAAGTCGGAGTAGCAAAACAACAACAAGTTATTTTTCCTTGTAGCAAATTTTTTTATTGGTTCTTATAATTCATCTGAATAACCTTTTCCAACATGAATTCTCAATCTAATGATATGAAAGAAATGTTCAATGGTGTGAAATTTATCAAACTTGAAGACAATTCGATGTGCACATCCAATTCATTCAATCAAACACAAAACCAATCATTCAACCAGTATCAAGATCAGGCCACGGAATTGAAGACTGAGTTTACCGTGAAAGCTGAAAATCTGATCCAAATGCCATCGTTCAAGGTAAGAATATTCAACCATTTTCACAATTCCACGATTTTTCATTCTTTTATTAATTAACAGATTATCTGTTGTATATATTTTCTTTTGTCTATATGTTTATTACAGGAAATGACAATTCGAAAACCAAATGATCGTCAATTTGTTCAATTTAAAGATTATTTTTCCCGAATTGAACCTGAATCGAAACCAGAAAATCTTCTTCTGTCTATCAACATGAATCGAGACTTTAACGAGCCTGAGTGGACGTTACATCAAATTTATTCAACGTACGAGATTTTGGTGATTGGAATTAACTTATTGAGAAGTTCAAATACTCGTTTGATAGCAAAGCAAAAAAGAGCACAAAAAGAGATCGATTATTTTCGCAAAAGTCTACAATCTCAACCACTGACAGAATTCATGGATAGTAAATGCCAACTTTACTCCTCAAACGTAAGATTTTTTTCTGAAATCTTCTAGATAGAGAAATTCACTAAATTTGAGTTAATAATTACAGATGCATAATTATTTCACTTCTAATTCTTTGGATTCTTTAAATATAATTTTCAGGGTAATGTACATATTCGTATGCCTCTGTTTTCAGAATTGTACAATTTCACCGGATACTTTAACAGAGATTTTACTTTTACGAATGAAAAATTGCTCCAAGATTTGAATAGCTGGAACGAAGACGAGCCCAAGTGGACTATGGCTGAAGTGTTTACCACTTATGAGATGCTGGTAATGGGAACATTGATGTCACGAAAAGTTCGAATAACTAAAAAACAGAAAAGAGCACAAATAGATGTCAATAATTCATTGAAAATTCTTCATTAAATGTCCAAAAAATGGTGAAATGAATAAGGTTGAATAAAATGTTTGATTTATAAAGTTACTCAATGTTGATAAGACGATAGAATTGGGAATTAATCAATCTTCAATTATCTTTATCCTTCCACCAGGTAAGTTGTGAATCAACGTGAAGAAAGTAAAACTCAATTAAACACAATTTGTTTGCCTTATTTCTTGTAGTAAATTATCATTAGTGAGAGAGCTTTCATCTTCATTGTTCTCTCTCTCTCTCTCTTTTTCTCCCTCTCACTCCAATGTCTTCATCTTCTTAATCAATCCCTTAACTCGACTATTAATTTAACAATTAACAGTAATTAGGTTCTTTGCCTTCTCTCTTTTTCCTTTCACTCTTTGTCTCTTGGTTTTCATTCACATTTTGAGACACATTTTCTTTGGTTAACTGATTCTCAACATGATGATAATCTTCATCATAGAATCAGTCACATGAAACACTGAGAAAAATTGAATTTTCTCATGTAAGTTATGGTAAGGACACAGTTAACGTTGGTTTAATACTAATTGTTTAATGCTGATAGATGAACCATTTTGATCAATTTAGTTTCGTTGAAAGTGTAACACTATTTATCTTTCAGTTTAAGGTCAAGATGATGAGGTGAGTTAATTGTTGTTGGTTAAAATTAAATTGTTTCTAATATATTTTCGCATAGTACAAAAAAATCAGGTAAATTGTTGTTTCTCTCACTTAATTCACTGCACTTTAACCCAGCTTGGTTTGGATTATAGACTTTCTCACTCAAATATATGAGTATGATCATCATCATCATTATGAGTGAGAATGTAAAACTGGGAGTATAAGAGAGAGAAGGCTAATCGACAAGTGCATGCGAATAGCTGTAAAAGAAAGTATAACTGAATAGATTCCATAATATGACCGCCGGTGAAGGTTCAATTCAATATTCACCATCAAAGGAAAGGAAAACTTCTGGTTGCTCAGAAAAATCTTCATCTCGAAGTACCAATTCAAAGGTGCATCGTGACTCAACTGATTCCAATGTTAATTTAAATACTAATTGTGAAGATGATGATTATTTCATCAATAATCTTGTTCTTGCAAGAGAATTAGCATTTATTGTAGGAACTGCATGTTCAGTTGATCGTCCATTATCATCTTCTCCCTCTTCTTCCAAATCAAGTTCATCACTCGTATAAATCAACAAAAAACATCTATGGGGATAAATAACTTGAGTTAATTTTTTGTTTCAGTTAAATAAATAAAAAAGAATCTTTTTAAAAGAATTGTCATAAAACAGAGCCGCTATTTTGTATCTTGAGTCGATTGTATCGAAAATATATCGGGCAGAATAAGGAGCCGAAAATATGATAAACAGCGAAGAAAAGTTTTACCTAAAAGATTTCGCTTATTGGAAGTCGGAGTAACAAAACAACAACAAGTTATTTTTCCTTGTAGCAAATTTTTTTATTGGTTCTTATAATTCATCTGAACAACCTTTTCCAACATGAATTCTCAATCTAATGATATGAAAGAAATGTTCAATGGTGTGAAATGTGTCAAACTTGAAGACAATTCGATGTGCTCATCCAATTCATTCAATCAAACACAAAACCAATCATCCAACCAGTATCAAGATCTGGCCACGGAATTGAAGACTGAGTTTACCGTGAAAGGTGAAAATCTGATCCAAATGCCATCGTTTAAGGTAAGAATATTCAACCATTTTCACAATTCCACGATTTTTCACTCTTTTATTAATTAACAGATTATTTGTTGTATATATATTTTCTCTTGTCTATATGTTTATTACAGGAAATGACAATTCGAAAACCAAATGATCGTCAATTTGTTCAATTTAAAGATTATTTTTCCCGAATTGAACCTGAATCGAAACCAGAAAATCTTCTTCTGTCTATCAACATGAATCGAGACTTTAACGAGCCTGAGTGGACTTTACATCAAATTTATTCAACGTACGAGATTCTGGTATTCGGAACTAAATTACCAGGAGGATCAAAACCTCGCTTAGATAAAAAAATAAAAAGAGCTGAAACAGAAATCGATAAGTTTTTATACGATCTCCAATTTCAACTGAAGACAGAGAACATGGAGAGTCAATGTCAACTTTACTTCTCAATCGTAAGAATATTCAATCTAAGATCTAGACAGAGAAATTTGATAAACTTGTGTGAATTTCGTTAGTAATAATTTTCCATTTCTAATCTTTTGATATGAATTTCAGGATTATTCATTTATTCGCAAGCCTACTAGTTTCGAATTGGGTCTTTTTAAGCTTTATTATGGCACTAAATGTTATTTCCCGAAAGAATTATTGTTTGAGCATTTGAACAATCATGTGCTCTATGACGAGCAACAATGGACTATGGCTGAAATTTTTGCAACTCTCGAGATTCTGGTAATGGGAACTAGAATGTCACAGGAAAACAAAGTTCGCTTAACTGAAGAACAGAAAAGAGCGCAAATGAATATCAAAGAATTCAACCAAAATTATCCTCATCAGTTTTCACAACAGCAAACATTTCAATCATCCAACCAGTATCAAGATCAGGCCACGGAATTGAAGACTGAGTTTACCATGAAAACTGAAAATCCGATCCAAATGCCATCGTTTAAGGTAAGATTGTCCAACCATTTTCTCATTTTCATTTGCATGATTTTTTCCGCTTTCTCATATGAATGTGAACGACAAAAGTTTAGGAATTGAGTAAAATCTGGTCTAGTTTTTGGATGAGTCGGAATTTTAGTTTCAAACTTTTCATAAATGAAGATAATATAATTAATTAGATGAAAATTAATTACTTTCTGCATTAGATCATGTTGAATCTTAAATAAGTCCAAATAAAGGAAATGTGAAGTTTACGACAAAAGTTTAGGTTTTTCGTAAAAATTTGAATGTCAAGATTAATCATCATTTTGATTCATTCATGTTTTGATCAGCTTTAACACATAATTAATTTGCGATAATTTCTGCCGAAATCAGGCTATCAATAAAAAAGTTATAGAATTCGAGTTTAGCACGAGTATCAATTGAAAATTACGGGTTTCGGCCTAGTAATAAAAGACGATTCGTTCTAACTACGATTCATTCGAAAACCAGACAAGATTTTACACAATTCCTAAACTTTTGTCGTGCACTGTATTATTTGTTGTATATATTTTCTTTTGTCTATATGTTTTATTACAGGAAATGACAATTCGAAAACCAAATGATCGTCAAATTGTTCAATTTAAAGATTATTTTTCCCGAATTGAACCTGAAGCGGCACCAGAAAATCTTCTTCTGTCTATCAACATGAATCGAGACTTTAACGAGCCTGAGTGGACGTTACTTCAACTTTATTCAACTTACGAGATTTTGGTGATGGGAATTAACTTGTTGAGAAGTTCAAATACTTGTTTGATTGCAAAACAAAAAAGAGCACAAAAAGAGATCGATTATTTTCGCAAAAGTCTACAATCTCAACCACTGACAGAATTCATGGATAGTAAATGCCAACTTTTCTCCTCAATCGTAATATTTTTTTTATGAAATCTTCTAGATAGAGAAATTCACTAAATTTGAGTTAATAATTACAGTCGCATAATTATTTCACTTCTAATTCTTTGTATTCTTTGAATACTATTTTCAGGATAATATACATATTCGTAAACCCTCGCTTCCAGAATTAAGCAATTTTACTATATACTTTGGCAGAAATTATGCTTATCCAATCGAAAAATTGCTCCAAGATTTGAATAGCTGGAACGACGAAGAGCCCAAGTGGACTATGGCTGAAGTGTTTACCACTTATGAGATGCTGGTAATGGGAACATTGATGTCACGAAAAGTTCGAATAACTAAAGAACAGAAAAGAGCACAAATAGATGTCAATAATTCATTGAAAATTCTTTATTAAATGTCCAAAACATGGTGAAATGAATAAGGTTGAATAAAATGTTTCTTTTTTATAAAGTTACTCAATGTTGATAACACGATAGAATTAGGAATTAATCAATCTTCAATTATCTTTATCCTTCCACCAGGTAAGTTGTGAATCAACGTGAAGAAAGTAAAACTCAATAAAACACAATTTGTTTGCCTTATTTCTTGTAGTAAATTATCATTAGTGAGAGAGCTTTCATCTTCATTGTTCTCTCTCTCTCTCTCTTTTTCTCCCTCTCACTCCAATGTCTTCATCTTCTTAATCAATCCCTTAACTCGACTATTAATTTAACAATTAACAGTAATTAGGTTCTTTGCCATCTCTCTTTTTCCTTTCACTTTTTGTCTCTTGGTTTTCATTCACATTTTGAGACACATTTTCTTTGGTTAACTGATTCTCAACATGGTGATAATCTTCATCATGGAATCAGTCACATGAAACACTGAGAAAAATTGAATTTTCTCATGTAAGTTATGGTAAAGACACAGTTAACGTTACTTTTTTCTGTTGGTTTACTAATTGTTGAATGTTGATTGATGAACAATTTTGATCAATTTAGTTTCGTTGAAAGTGTAACACTATTTATCTTTCAGTTTAAGGTCAAGATGATGAGGTGAGTTAATTGTAGATGGTTAAAATTAAATTGTTTCTAATATATTTTCGCATAGTACAAAAAAATCAGGTAAATTGTTGTTACTCTCACTTAATTCACTTTACCTTAACCCGGCTTGGTTTGAATGAAGCCAGGGAAATGATGATAAGTAAAAACCTTGACAATTTTTGTTGATAAAAAGGTTTGGGTTATAGACTTTCTCACTCAAATATATCAGTATTATCATCATCATCATCATCATTATGAGATGAGTGAGAATGTAAAACTGGGAGTATAAGAGAGAGAAGGCTAATCGACAAGTGCATGCGAATAGCTGTAAAAGAAAGTATAACTGAATAGATTCCATAATATGACCGCCGGTGAAGGTTCAATTCAATATTCACCATCAAAGGAAAGGAAAACTTCTGGTTGCTCAGAAAAATCGTCATCTCGAAGTACCAATTCAAAGGTGCATCGTGACTCAAATGATTCCAATGTTAATTTAAATACTAATTGTGGAGATGATGATTATTTCATCAAACAGAGCCACTATTTTGTATCTTGAGTCGATTGTATCGAAAATATATCGGGCAGAATAAGAAGCCGAAAATATGATAAACAGCGAAGAAAAGTTTTACCTAAAAGATTTCGCTTATTGAAAGTCGGAGTAGCAAAACAACAACAAGATATTTTTCCTTGTAGCAAATCATTTTATTGGTTTTTATAATTCAACTGCACAACCTTTTCCAACATGAATTCTCAATCTAATGATATGAAAGAAATGATCAATGGTGTGAAATGTGTCAAACTTGAAGACAATTCGATGTGCACATCCAATTCATTCAATCAAACACAAAACCAATCATTCAACCAGTATCAAGATCAGGCCACGGAATTGAAGACTGAGTTTACCGTAAAAGCTGAAAGTCCGATCCAAATGCCATCGTTTAAGGTAAGAATATTCAACCATTTTCACAATTCCACGATTTTCCATTCTTTTATTAATTAACAGATTATTTGTTATATATATTTTTTTGTCTATATGTTTATTACAGGAAATGACAATTCGAAAGCCAAATGATCGTCAATTTGTTCAATTTAAAGATTATTTTTCCCGAATTGAACCTGAATCGAAACCAGAAAATCTTCTTCTGTCTATCAACATGAATCGAGACTTTAACGAGCCTGAGTGGACGTTACATCAAATTTATTCAACGTACGACATTCTGGTATTCGGAACTAAATTACCAAAAAGTTCAATTACAGGGTTAGCTAAAAAACAAAAAAGAGCTAAAACAGAAATCGATTATATGCTAAAAGGTCGTCAATTTCAATCAAAGACAGAGGATATTGAAAGTCAATGTCAACTTTACTCCTCAATCGTAAGAATATTCAATCTAAGATCCAGACAGAGAAATTTGATAAACTTGTGTGAATTTCGTTAGTAATAATTTTCCATTTCTAATCTTTAATATAATTTTCAGGATTATTCATTCATTCGCAAACCTTCGCATTTAGAAATCGGTTTATTCAGGGCGTACTATGATATTGAAGGTAATTGCTCGAAAGAGTTATTATTAAAGCTTTTAAACACCGCGAACCGTGGCGGGCGACAGTGGACTATGGCTGAAGTGTTTGCAACTCTCGAGATTCTGGTAATGGGAACAAGAATGTCAGATGCTAGGAGTGTTCGCATAACTAAAGAACAGAAAAGGGCACTAATGGATATCAAAGAGTTCATTGAAAATTATCCTCATCAAGTGTCCAAATCGTCGACTTTAAATTGAAATAAAATTTGATAGAAAATGTATCAATATTTGTCTTATTTTTGGTTATAAACAACGTGGGCCTGAGGCAGTGAGAGCGGTCAATGTTTTCTACTACCTAACATACGAGGGAAATATTGATTTAAGTACAATTTCTTGTAATGACCCTGCCCTTAAAGATGCTATCGAAGCTCAAATCCGACATTTCGGTCAAACACCATCACAGTTAAGCACCGAACCTCATCCTCCTCGATCATCGGCTCTCCATGTTTCACCTCTAATGTTTTCGCCGGTGATGGATGAGATTTGCATGTCGATAAAGTTCCCCTTTAATGCAGCCATTACCGCCATCGCTGCTTGTACAATGAACACTTCGTCCAACTCAACAGGCGGTTCTTCGACATCATCATTTCGAGCGAGAATGGACTATGCCTGAAGTGTTTGAAACTCTCGAGATTCTGGTAACGGGAACTTGAATGTCATAGGAAAAAAGAGTTCGAATGACTAAACATAACAGAAAAAGCTCTAATTTGGTCTATTCAAAGTTCTTTGATAGTTTCTCTTTTTTATTTAATCAACAAGTGTAAATAATTGTTTTTTTTTCAAGATAATTAGTAAATTGTTACAACAAAATGTTTTATTTCAATAACCATTTGTCCAAATATACCCTTATTTAATTTCGTAAAGTTAATCGAGGGAAACAGAAAAGAAGAAAAAAAAATTAAATTAATGTTATAATAATTATAATCGTAATTGGTAATAATCTGATTAATCAAACAGGTTGTTAATCAGGATTAATTTAGAAGAAGAGGAAAAGAAAAGTACAGATTAATTTCCAAGTTTCCAATTGTGATTTTGCTTTGTTGTCGTTAATTATTGATCATGATCACTTTTTCTCCAGGTGATTTAATTTGTTAGCCATTGAATGATTTGTAATTAATTCAAATTTCCTTGTAAATACTAATCAAAAAAATTACATAGTCTTATTTATACAGAAATTATTATTATAACGGGAATGCTCAGATGATCACCAAGTCCGAATCATCAAATACTTAATCATAAATGCTTCAATCAGGAATCAGTTAATCGTTAATCAATAAGAAAATTAAACAATTGCCATTTTCTTCATGGTAGCAAAAAACACGTTAATTATCATCAATGTACATTAACAATTTGATCCATTTGACTCAATTGGATAAGCATTGTTTTCTTTTGGGTGTATTCCTAAATAATTGATGAGTTTACAGGTTGTCGATTAATCTTCATCAATCAATCAGCTTTGAAACTTTCTAGACTAGAAATAAGATGTTAATTATTATATAATAGGCACTAAATACTATTAATATTTGTAATTTGTTTTTGACAAAATAATAATAAAAAAAATGCTGAGATGAAAAAAGAGAGACAATAATTGCATCGAGGTGGGAAATGGGAATTGAATTGTAAAGTGTCAAAGTTGATTTTCAATTTCATTGTGTAAATCCAGAAACATTGGCTAATCAATATCGAGAAGAGTACTCATGATGCCAACGATTAAAGTCTAATTTATAAATTATTAATCGACCATTTTCTGTTCCAACCAGAAGATATTTATAATCAACTAAAAGAATTGATTTGATCGCATTGGTTCCTTGGCCTGTTTCTCTAACGGCAAGATCGGGATTCGGACAAGCGGTTAAAAGGTCAGAAGTGTTGAGCGCGTAAAGTGGGGTCACATCAAAAGTTCGTAAAATTTTAATCATATAAGGTGACTCGCTTAATATGATGTACTCTCCGTCACGGGTTATGGTCATCATGAGAGATGAGATATCTTTGGGTCGGGGAAAACTAATACATTTATGTAATTCACCTCGCAAATTGTAGGTAAACAAAAGTGCTGTTGGTTCACTTGGTGCTACGGTTGTTGTTGTTGCTGTTGAGGACGATGATGATGAGATTGTGTTGGGCATAATTGTTGACGTTAATGATGATAAGAGTGATGAACTTGATTTGGAAGAAGAGGGAGAAGATGATAATGGACGATCAACTGAACATGCAGTTCCTACAATAAATGCTAATTCTCTTGCAAGAACAAGATTATTGATGAAATAATCATCATCTCCACAATTAGTATTTAAATTAACATTGGAATCAGTTGAGTCACGATGCACCTTTGAATTGGTACTTCGGGATGAAGATTTTTCTGAGCAACCAGAAGTTTTCCTTTCCTTTGATGGTGAATATTGAATTGAAACTTCACCGGCGGTCATACTCGCTTCCATTGTTACTTTAACTTCAACATTTTTATTGTTTCCTTCATCCATTGGATCAACTGGATCATCGCAATTATCGGCGAAAGGTTTAAATGATAAACTAATAGCATCGGAAACATTTAAATGTCGTTTGCGAACATCAATTGCAGTTATACAATCGCCATTGGTGATTGAATGGACAAGAATCAGATTTTTAGATCCACTTGAGATTAGACCCAATTCAGCGGAGATCAGGAGAGACATAATCATAGATTCGTGTCCAGTTAGGATTAATTTAGGTAAAGGATTTCCGGAAATAGCAGAGGCTCCATTGTTACCCTCTATTTGAGCATATTTGGCATTCCAAGTCCAAAATAGAACGGAACAATCAACTGAACCCGAAGCAACGTAAAAATCAACAGCAACATTACATTCGCTTCGAGCAAGACAGGTGACAAGTCCTCGGTGTCCATAAATGACTTGGGTTAATTTTCCTGTTTCAGTTGAATAAACACGAAAAGAGTTGTCATAAAATGGAGCCATTATTATATATTTTGAGTCGATTGTCACAATATATCGAGGAGAATAAGGAGCCGAGGATGATGATAGACAGCAAAGAGAAGTTGTATCTAAAAGATGTCGCTTATTGGAAGAGGAAGAGGACGAAGTTGATGAGGAAGTTGTCAAGGCCGAATCAAGGGTAAAGGGTTGATTAGACTCTTTTGGATTCCATTTATGGATGTGATAGTGTTGAGCACTGTTAATGGTAACAATGGACGACGGAATACTGGACAGTGAGGTTGAATTGGCAGAGGAGTTTGTTGATGATGTTGAAGAACCACCTGTTGAGTTGGACGAAGTGTTCATTGTACAAGCAGCGATGGCGGTAATGGCTGCATTAAAGGGGAACTTTATCGACATGCAAATCTCATCCATCACCGGAGAAAACATTAGAGGTGAAACATGGAGAGCTGATGATCGAGGAGGATGAGGTTCGGTGCTTAACTGTGATGGTGTTTGACCGAAATGTCGGATTTGAGCTTCGATAGCATCTTTAAGGGCAGGGTCATTACAAGAAATTGTACTTAAATCAATATTTCCCTCGTATGTTAGGTAGTAGAAAACATTGACCGCTCTCACTGCCTCAGGCCCACGTTGTTTATAACCAAAAATAAGATCAATCCATTGATGTAATTGACAGGAAACCAGATCAGATTCTAAGGCCATCCGATGGAGTCTTATAAAGTGTTCTGGTGAATCAGCCCATTTGGGCAGATCAACATTACGAAGTTTTTTAGTTGGTGCACCTCGAGGTGAGGTTCCAGAAAGCACTTCAGGTAAATAGAAAAGTTCAGGAATCAGTTCCTTGACATTCTGATGACCTCCCATCAATGACCCCAACCAGGCTTCACGAATTGATGTGAACAATCTTGATTCATTTTCAAGTCGACCATCTTGGAGAGCTAAATAGGCCGAATGAAAAGGTTCTAATCGGATAAGCCAACCAAGAGTAAAGGCAGCGGTGGAATAATGGGTTCCGTAATGGAAAGCGGGTATGTGACTATTATCCCAGGAATTGTATCTTTCAATGAATTCTGCTCTTCTCTCACTGTTTAAAGCTCCAATTGGTTTACTGAGATCACGGAAATTGGTGGGTTGAGATAGATCTAATTCAGGTGTATCATAGTTTGTTAATATCCATGGAAAAACGGGATATTGATTCAGATCTTGATAAGTTCGACCTGCGATTGTGTTTAAAAACATCAGATATTCAAAATTAGTAATCTCTCTCTTTTGCCATTTATGGGTCATATTGGAAGCTGCAAAGAGCTGCTTTGGTGTCATCAATGAAGCTCTTCTTGATTGAGGGATACCATATTTAACACCAACTCCAACGGCGGGTAAATATTTGACCACTTTTTTCACAGTCTCTGAATCAGGGAAAACAAACATGACTGATGTTCGTTGAGCAAGAAAGATTTCGAGAGCAACAGGTTGCAGTAAATAACGACGACTAAAAATCGCTCGAATCTCATTGAAAGGTACTTTTCCATTGTAGGTGATTAGGTCACAATAGCGAAGAACTCGAAGATCTAAATCACGAAAACCACCTCGACCCGGTTTAGAACTTGATGATCCCGCCAATCCTTTCAAATTTTCCTCTGGTAATTTGTCTCGTGAGCTTCCGGATGAAGGTCGAGATTTGACTTTGACACTTGTTCCTGATCCATCATTTGATTGTTTGGAAACACATGAACCATCAACCGAAAGAGTGTCATTGATGTTAATTGCTTCGAAGAAAATTTCATTCGCTGTAATTTGTAGCGTTCCTTCAATTGAATAAATGTTCCAAATAAGATTACACTCGACTGAGTATAAAACGGTTCCAACAAATTCAGCAGCTGAGGCTGGTCTATCGTCAACGTCGCCGTTAACAGATGAGCTCATATCTTCAGATTCCCAAAGGAAAAGTTCAGTTTCCTCATCAGATTCTGTTCGATTTGTGGCTGGTTGTTGCTGCTTTGGAACAATTAAATGAGTTGGAAGGGATTGACCATCTTTCTCTTCTTTGCCAGTTTTCGATTCATTAATGATGGCCTCCATCCTTGAAACATTCTCTTCTCCATAAGGATCGAGTAAAAATCGACGACGACGACGAGCATCATCTTCCCAGGTATCAAGTTTATAGAATAATTTTGAACGATCAATTTCCAGGCGCTTTTGCTGCTGTGAAAGTGATTCTCTGAATCGAGTGAAAATCATTCGATCTCGTCTTTTAGCCGAATTGATCAACGAATTAATCAGTGCTTCTTCGTGAGCACGAGCAGCAAGTGTCTCTAAACAGGCAAGTGAAAACTGTTCGTGTTTTGAAACATCATCAGCGCGAAGACGATTAAGGATGAATTCGGCTTCCATTGCAACTCTAACGATATGATCTTTCATAGCGTGGCTTAATAATCGTCCCTCGTTAATTAATTCGATGAATGCAAGACCGGCATTCTTTTGCAAAGTATTCTGCCACTCTTGAGAGCAGAGTAACATCACTAGCTCGACTGGACTGGCATTGGGACGGCGGAAAGTTCTGACCGCTTCCTTGGAAACTAAATCTTGTCCATGAGAGCCAAGCAAAGTTTTCGACAAGAATGAGGCAAAGTCGCACATGATCTCCCGAAGAAGTGGGCAGATAGATGAAAGTCGAGCCTCAAGCTTAGAGGTCAACATGTTACCAATATTTGTTGGATTAACTGTAATCGGGTTACTTAGATTACTTTTAATCTCAGATAGGCCTGAGGTTCCAATATCTTCATCGTGAGGCTCTTCACCTTCACCAGGTCCAGTGGTGACCTTTTTACCAGAATCTTTAGCACTGGAAGCACTTTTCGATTCAATAATATCACGATATTCTGAAACCATCAGAACACTAATGAAGTAAAGAGTCGCCAAGGCAAGAAATTGTGATTGTTTAGTATCAGCTTCAGCATCTCGATAAATGCAGGCTCGAAGACGGTTAACGTCCATTTCTTGGAGTAATTTACTTGGATCTTTGATGGGTAAATGATGAAAGGGCAGATAAGAGCCTGAAACTAGATCGGGATTAGCGCTTGGAGCCATGTCGGATAAGATAATGTCACTTGTATCTGGACCATGGCCAACACCTCGTCCACTATCATTACCATGATAACCACCAAAATCACCAAAAAGTTCAGCAGCAGCATTGATAGAGGTACCAAGAGAATAACCATCTTTACCTAAATTAAGTGGATCTAAAGAACCCACACCATTTTCTTCGTGATGTTTTTGAACAGCGAGACAATTTTTCACCGCAACTGTACACACTAAACGTAAACACTGTCTCAAAATACCACCTGATGACATATTTTTTTCACTCTCAAGTTCAGAGAAGGCGATATGAGTAGCAGCGAAACACAATATATCAGCCATGTTGACCAATCGATAGAGTAGTGCATTAGCTTGAGCTAAAGTTAACCCTTCACCACCGGTACCAGCGGGATTAACACCGTTAGCAGAGTTGCCAGAATTTGAATGATTACCACCTGTTGCTGTTGCCAAAAGTGGCAATAAACCCCCTGAAGCAATGATTATATTGTCACAAAGTTGTGAAAAAAGGTGAATCGAGTTAATTATGTAGATTTGATTATCAGGATGTTGAAGAATTTGATCTAATTGAGTTGCGGAAACAGTTAAAATGACACCTGATTTATTTTCAGGGTCTCGAGACGATCCACTGTTAACAGTATCTTTAGAGCTTTGACTTTTCCACATTTGAAGGTCACATTCGATGGAGTAGAATAGATCATTCAAAAGTTTAAGGTGAAGAGGAGACCAACGAAATTCCGGAATTCGAAATGCTGGAGTTGCTGATGCCGAACCAACTGATACCTTTTCACCTTGCACAGAATTCGCTGATGTCCTTTGACGACCACCTTGCAGTAGATTTGTATAAAATTCCTTCAAACTATTGGGATGATGTTTTCGATAAGCTCGACTTGGAGCAAGATCAGCTTCTGTTGTTCCGGAGTCTGAAGTATCTTCAGGTTGAGGCTTCTTTTCGTCTTCTTCATTTTCTAAAGATTTATTGTTAGTTTGACTCGAACTAATTGTACTGATCACTGGTTCACGAACTTCCTTTTCTTCCTTTTCTTCTTTTTCTTCCGTTTCCACTTCAGTTTCTTTAACTTTATCATCTTCTGTATCTAGTTTAGCTGTTGATGGTGAAGATGGAGTTGGTGATGATGATAACGAAGATGGTGATGTAATAACAGGTTGATTTGCTTCGTTGGATGGATCGTTTTTTTCCTCAGTCTCATCTTCTACCTTTGATCCATCTTCATCGTCTTTATCGACGATTACTTCACCTCCAGAGATACTTTCACTTTCCTTTTCTTTGATCTCTTCTGTTGAGCTTTTGTCTTTATTTTGAGCAACACTTTCATTTGATGATAAAAGTTCTGGCGATGAAACAAGTTGATTCGATCCTTTTGTTGAATCAATTTCTCCTTGTGATTTATCAATTTCTTCATTGTGAGTACTTTCAGTGTTTTTATTTATGACAGTTTCACCACCTGAGGAATTTAAATCTTCAATTTGTATTTCATCATCTTTTTCACCCTCGATTCCTTCATTGCTGAGTTCATCTTTATTTTGAGCAACACTTTCATTTATTGTTGTTGATGATGATGAAGATAATGATGGAGATGTAACAACAGGATCGATTGGTTCATTTACTGAATCACTTTTTCTTGCAAATCTTTATTATCGCAATTGGAGTCAATCAATTCAGCTTCCGTTTCAATGGGTTCTGAGGTAGTGGCAGCTAAAGTTGAGCTGATTTCCCGTTCATCTTCCGGTCTACTATCCTCTTCATCGGCAACCTCAGGAGTTGCAACGGTTACTGATGACTGACCTTTGTCAGAATCCTGATCCTTTGAATCAACCGTATCAGTTTGTTGTTGATTTGTTGACAATTTTGATTCTTTACCTAAATCATTAGAAATAAATCAATAGAAACACAATTAGTAAAATAATTGAATTACAAAGTGAAAGCTTTTCAGATTCCGATGAAAGTAAAAACCAATGAGCCTCAATCAACTAAAGACAAACAGTTAATCCAATTATCATGATAAATAAGTTAGGTAAGATTAACTATCATAAGAATGAAGGGAAAAAGGTATTTATCAAAAGTAGATTATAATAATGATACCAGACAAAAAAGGGGATAAGAACTACTTAGACACATAGAGAAAATATAAGACAAAATATGATCAAGATTCAGGAAAAGTAATCAAGTTAATTCTTGATTAGATTTTCAACTGACAAATCTAATAACAATATATTAGTTAACATTTTAATATAACACAATTAATAATGAGAGAAGAAGAGATCAGGAGAATTAATATCAAAGGAGAGAGATAATTTATCGAAAATAGTTGACTAAACAGTAGTTTAATTCAACAGATTATCATTCAAACTGCAAAGAAGTTGATTGTCATCAAAATTTTCTGCTAATCAATTGAATAACCAATAGAATATACTTTAAGAGGATTCAATGGTTCACCAGGGAAGAATTTGTTCTGAAAAAGTCAGAGAATCATGAAAGACCAAACAAAAATACCAAAAACATAATTATGGAGAAAAAAATCTAATCCTTACTGACCAGTTAACAATTAAGGTGTCAAGTGATCTACATCCAAATGAGAATGATGAAGATAAATTTAATAGAGCAAATGAAAAAAGAATAACAAAATTCCTAGAAACTGAATATTCTTCTTCATTCTCTTTCATCATCATCTTCCTTCTTCACATACAAACGATTGATTAGGTTAAACAATGGCAAATCCCTTAGTGATTACATTTACTATCAGTTGATTCATCTCATGTTAAAAGTTTTCGGATGAGGAGGATAATGATGAAGATAAAGATGATAGAGAAAAGTGAAGATACAAGGATCTTGGAGGAAAATGAGATGGATAAAAAACAGAGAATCTATTATATCGATCTAACGTTACCCCACCAAAAAAGAAAAAGAAACTAGTTAATGATATTTTTATTGGGAGAAGGTAAAGAAAAACTATTCGCACAAATACAACTGAATCCAGGGAATATATGAATAAACATGTCTCACCTCTCCCTTCAGGATATTTTCAGATAACAAGGAAAGAAGGAGAAGAAGAAGAAGAGGAAAAGGAAGAGAGAGAACCTTTTATGATAGAATAGACTTGCAACTATTAAATTCTATGTTGTATATGTATCAAAGTTAACGATCAATGAATTGAGTAAGATCGAGGTTTCTCTAACCTATTGTCATGAAAAATGGTGTAGAAAGTAACAATGAAGAAAAACAAAATCCAGATAAATATCAAGAATCTGGTACTAAATATGCTGATACAACGATATTATGTGAAAAGAGAGAGAGAGAGATAAATAGTACAAGTAACCACTGACATTATAAACAAGATCATCTTCATCTCTTTCATTTTTATCTTCTTCCACTAGATCAATAGACAGGAAAGAAGATGGTGATAAAAGAAAAAAAAGGAAATTGGAAGATGAGAAGGTGAAAAGAGAGATAATAATCTGATTCTGTCTAAGAGTATGTTGGTCACTGGAGACAATCATAACTGTGAAATCTAATTGTGATTGATTGGATTAGAAATTGTTAAAAAAAACTTACCTTGATTTGCATATGAATCAGCTGTTTGCTTATTATTTGACTTGTTAATTGAATCATTACCATTAACACCTGAGCTTTTATTATTCACTGTTGAAGAAGTGGTTGATGATGATGATGGTAAACCATTCGAGTTATTATTACTATTTAATTGATTACTGTTATTGCTTGATTTTTTATTGTCTCCACCGAATTGGCTCATGAAATCGTCGAAACTAACCTTAGCGTGGATAATTGCTAAAGTATCAATCCAAACCCTCCAACCACCGTATTCGTATTTGATGGCATGGTACAAGAGAACACGAAATATTGCAAGAATTTGATCTCGAACAACATGATCAGCACGATCTTCGACCAAATTAATTAGCCAATGTTGCCAGACGGACATTTGAAGGACTAAACGTCGATTCTCTCGATTGTTGACTAATAATCGCCATAAATCAGAGATAAATAATTTTTTAATCTTATTACGATCAGATCGACTTTCTCCATGTTGTTGATGATGATGGTGATGATGATGAGACCCTGATGAGGATTTAGTTGAATTTTGCAAATCACTGGTTGACTGTTTGATGACAATTGATGACTTTTTACCATCGGTAATCAGAGTTGCAATGACTTTTAATATCATTGGATTTTCAATCCGAAGGCCACCAAAAGCTCCGGCACCATTTGAACGAATTGTCTCAATCGGTGTTTCAACCAGAATTTCAAATAATGCATTATAAGTGTCGATGGAAAGTGGAGTAAATTTAATTAATCTCTCACGAAGAAGCATAAATAAATTGTTGGGACCCATGACATCTTGTTTTCGTTTAGATGTTGATCTTGATAGAAAATATCCCAGCAATTTAATTGATTGTATTCTTATTTCTTCATTTGGAGAATCCACAAGTTTGAAAACAGTTCGAACTCCATTTTTCATATCAAATGCTGGAATCATTGATGATGGATGTTCAACCATGAGAGTTTGTAACATTTGTAAAACATCAAGAAGATTTGCATCCTGGTGAACAGTGGACAGATAATTAAGGATTGCTTGAAGTTCATCATGATGAACACCATTTCCTTTTATGATTAATTGTTTGATAAACAATAAAATATATGAACGAATAGAGATAAGGTCATTTTTGGAGGGTCGATAACACGATTCACGAGCTTTCACTTGAACGGGTTGAGTTGAAATTGAATAAATTCCCAAGGTGGTTGTTGTCATATTACTTGTTGAAGGTAAACCATGGGAATCATGTGAACCACCAACATCTTCTGGAACAAGCCAATAATAATATTTAAGCGAATGAAGTAATTGTAGGACAGTTGAGATTCGCCGAACCTCACTGAAAATAACACCACCTCCGGGAGATGAGACACCACCATTTGGACCACCTGATGATGAACCAACACCGGTATTCATGGAGGAATAGCTTCCACTATTCAGTGAATCATTGCCACTGTCCCTGGTAACGGTTGAAGATATATCACAGTTTGATCCAGGTGATGATGATGATGAGGAAAGGGAGGTAGAAGATGAAGAGGCTGCAGCACCTACGGTAAGGAATTCGGTGGCCAGGTAACAATATAAACGAATTTGTAGTTTGGAATCAACGTAAATCCATAAAGATGAATTGAACAAAATGCTATCCATTAATTGTTTCAAAAGTATACTGTCTCCGGTTGAGCTTGTAAGAGAAGAGGTTGACATTGCGGACATAAGGGTTTTGGTTAGATTTAAAATTATCTCGAGAGTTTCCTCATTGATCAGGTATCTTGGGTTTTTGGCTAAAAGGGAGGAAATGATTACGAAACCATGAGATTGGACAACTTCATTACCAAACCAGAGAGGTGATGATTCAAGTAGATCACAGATAAAACCAATTAACGTTGAACAAGCCTCTGAATCAGCTGGATAAAGGGTACCATGTAAACCGGTAAACCGATTGAGAAGTGGCAGAAGAGCTTTAATACCACCGATTGATTGTAATGTATCACTAATTGATCGGGTTGTTATTGCTTTGGTATTACCCAATAAAGCTGCATGAGGACTTGATGCAAAATAGGAAACATTTCCTTTGGGTGCTGATTGAAGGCATAAAGTATCACCTTCAACAGCAACCGGTGTGTATAAACTGATCAAGGTGGTTGACAGTTTTTCCTCATATAAAACCTTTTTCATCATCATCGGCATATTATCAAATAGACCCATTTCATTTGGATAACGATATTGACCCATGTAACTTGGACCAAGACGATGAATCGCACAAATTTGGCTTGGATTTAGTGCTTCATGGAGTAAATATATTGCTGATAATTGACCACAGAAAAGATGCGATTCCGAAACAAGATCAGCAGTACCACCGATGAAACATTTATCGAAAATGTCTTGAGTCTGAACCTGCCAGGACATCTCAGTGTTTGCAGTCAATTGACCATTGACGAAAACTTTAATCTCACTTGATCTCCACTTGGCTACATAGGCGATTGCACAATGATACCATTTGAAAGGTACAAATTCGTATGGGATACAATGTTGATAACCTTTTCCTTTGATTTTCATACTCGTTAGAACCAAACAATTACCGGTAAAATGAGCTGAATAACCAACACCTGATTTCGATGTACGAAAAAAGTAAAGGTAAGGTTGGGAATTGATTGAATTGGGTTCCAATCTAAACCAGGAGATAAAAGTCCAACCATTTTGTATTGGCCATTTAACTAAAGGTGGAAGCGCTAAAACTGATCCTTTGGTACCAGGGAATGCAAAGAAAGACGATGGTCGACCCTTTTGATGACTATTAGCACTTCTTATTATGTGGAGAAGTCGAGAATCTTCTTGAGATGAGGCTAAGAGATATTTTAATTTTTCTACATCACAACTGTAACTTGATAGAAGGTTAATTATCTCTCGAAGAAAATGTTTTATCAAATTATCTGTACCACTGGTTGATGTTGACACCTTGTTTTCACCATTTGATGTTGTTGTTGATGATGATGAAGATATACACTTATTACAATAATGTTTCAGACAATCAATTAAAATTTCTTTCGCAGATTCTAAATTAAGAAGGCTTTTTTTGAGAACCGCGATCAATACACTTAATACTTCAGCTACACATTTAACAGGTAGTTGTTTAAGATAATCTCTAAAGAATAATTTTAAACAATCACCATCCAAGAGACGTTGCATATCATCACTGGTTAGAAGACGAAGGATGGAATCGGTTAAATTGTTTTCTGTTTCATCAATAATAGTCATCTTTTCACTATTATTGTTGCTCGGTGGTTCAGGTGGTTGTGGTGGTGATTCCGGTTGTTCTTGTTGTTGTTGATTATTATCACTAAGAGGGATGTCATCAGAGTTACCACCATTAGTGGAGTCTTCACCTGAAGGCTATAGGAGAAAGAAAAAGAGAAAATAAAATTGAAAGGAAGTAACAAATATGAGAGAGAAAAAAAGAGAAAGAAAGGAAAGAGAGAGAAAGAGAAAGAGAAAGAAAAAAAAATAAGAAAATACAAAATAATTTACATGAAATGGAAATTAAAAGTAAACAATTTACTTACCAATTCTTCAGGTAACGTGGACATTTTTAAATTAATCCTAATTAATTAGTTAATTGTCTAAATTAAAGGCCTAAAGATTAAATGTTTACAATGGATTTCAACGTATTCATTGCATAATTAGCGACCTCTACCCAATACATAATAAGAAAAAAATCCATTAACATTGAAAGGTTACAATGGAAAATAACAGGTGTCGCTTGTCATTTGCACCCAAATTCGAGTGAAAAAGTGCTACCATCTGGTGAGAAAATAACAAACCAAAATGGAGAGAAAGCTAAAAGTGCAAGTTAGCCGAAAATTATCGACTAAGCCGAGAATTGATGTTAGATTTACACTTGAGAGATTCGAAAGCCAATTTTGGCAGCTTAGAATTGATTGTAAATTGTTGGCTCATATGAACCGCTTTTGATCACAAGATTGTTTTATAGGACAAAACAGTTTCGCTTTATGTTTAATGCTGTGTGGATGAATTAATTCTTGGCTTTTTTTTTTCCTCTATTTTGATTAACAATTTAACCGGCGTTCAAATTTTAGGAATTAATTTAATTTAGTTATATTTTTGTTGGTGTGTCAACACTTGTTACCAACACCATGAGTTTCATTACGGACTCAAAGGCTCCTTTGAAGGAGGTTAAACGTATACAATTTGGTATACTTAGTCCGGAGGAAATCAAAAGGATGTCGGTTACAGAAGGTGGTATTAAATATCCTGAAATTTATGAAAATGGAAGACCAAAGCTTGGTGGTTTAATGGATCCAAGACAAGGTGTTATTGATAGACAATCAAGGTGTCAAAGTTGTGCTGGCAATATGACTGAATGTCCTGGTCATTTTGGTCACATTGAATTGGCAAAACCAGTGTTCCATTGTGGATTTTTGAACAAAATTCTCAAGGTTCTTAGATGTGTTTGCTTTTACTGTTCAAAACTTTTAGTCTCTCCAAATAATCCAAAAATCAAAGAGATTTTAAATGAAACCCGTGGTAATCCAAGGAAACGTTTAGCTCATGTTTATGATCTCTGTAAAAGTAAACATATTTGTGAGGGTGGTGATGATATTGATCTTAAATCTAAAGAGATGGATTATACTGAGGTTGCTGAAAATGAGTCTAAAAAACTTGGACATGGTGGTTGTGGTAGATATCAACCAACTTTACGTCGTGTTGGCCTTGAACTTTTTGCTGAATGGAAACATCTTAATGAAGATAGTCAAGAGAAAAAGATTAACCTTACCGCTGAAAGGGTACACGAAATTTTCAAACACATATCAGATGAAGAGTGTATCATCATTGGTATGGATCCAAAATACGCTAGACCTGATTGGATGTGTATCACCGTTCTTCCTGTGCCACCATTAGCCGTTAGACCAGCAGTTGTTATGTTTGGTTCTGCTCGTAATCAAGACGATCTTACTCACAAATGTTCTGATATAGTTAAAGCTAATAATGAACTTCTTAGGAATGAGCAAACTGGTGCTCCTGCATCAATCATTACCGATATAACCAATTTACTCCAATATCATGTTGCAACCCTGATAGACAATGAACTTCCTGGTATACCAAGGGCTATGCAAAAATCTGGTAGACCTTTAAAATCAATTAAACAACGATTGAAATCAAAGGAAGGTCGTATTAGAGGTAATTTAATGGGTAAACGTGTTGACTTTTCTGCTCGTACCGTAATCACACCAGATCCAAATTTACGTATTGATGAAGTTGGTGTTCCTCGTTCAATTGCACAAAATTTAACTTTCCCCGAAATAGTAACACCTTTTAACATAGACACAATGTATGATTTGGTTCAGCGTGGTAATAATCAGTACCCAGGAGCAAAATATATCATTCGAGATAATGGTGAAAGAATCGATCTTAGATTTCACCCTAAATCAAGTGATCTTCATTTGCAATATGGTTACAAAGTTGAAAGACATATTCGAAATGGTGATATAATTGTTTTCAATCGACAGCCAACTTTGCATAAAATGTCTATGATGGGCCATAGGATTCGTGTCCTTCCCTGGTCAACCTTCAGACTTAATCTCTCTGTAACAACTCCCTACAATGCTGATTTTGATGGTGATGAAATGAACATGCATGTACCCCAAAGTTTAGAAACCAAAGCCGAGATTGAACAATTAGCCATGGTACCAAGAATGATTGTTACCCCTCAATCAAATAAACCAGTAATGGGTATTGTGCAAGACACTTTAACTGCTGTTAGAAAAATGACCAAAAGAGATGTTTTCTTGACCGAGGAACAGTTCATGAATCTATTATGTTTCTTGCCCACTTGGGACGGTAAAATGCCGATGCCAGCAATCATTAAACCTCAGCCTCTTTGGACTGGCAAGCAAATTTTTAGTCTTATTATTCCTGGTAATGTAAATTTAATTCGTCATCATGATACACATCCTGATGATGAAGATGATGGCCCATATCGTTGGATATCTCCAGGGGATACCAAAGTTTTAATTGAACAAGGAGCACTTCTTTCGGGTATTGTTTGCGCCAAGACCGTTGGAAAATCTTCCGGTTCATTGATGCACGTTGTCTTTAATGAACATGGTCACGAAATCGCTGGTGCTTTCTATGGTCATATTCAAACTGTGGTAAATAATTGGCTTTTACTGGAAGGACATACAATCGGTATTGGTGACACTTTCGCTGATCCAGCAACTTACTCTGATATCCAAGGTACCATTCGAAAAGCTAAACAAGATGTGATAGAAGTAATCGAAAAAGCTCACAACGATGAATTAGAACCAACTCCTGGTAATACTTTGCGACAAACATTTGAAAACCAAGTTAACCGTATTCTTAATGATGCTCGTGACAAAACTGGAGCTTCTGCCCAAAGATCACTTTCCGAGTATAATAATTTCAAAGCTATGGTCGTCGCGGGTTCCAAAGGATCAAAGATTAACATTTCTCAGGTTATCGCCTGTGTAGGTCAACAGAACGTTGAAGGTAAACGTATACCATTTGGTTTTAGGAAAAGAACATTACCTCATTTCATCAAAGACGATTACGGTCCAGAAAGTAGAGGTTTCGTTGAAAATTCTTACCTCGCTGGTTTAACTCCAAGTGAATTTTTCTTCCATTCAATGGGAGGTCGTGAAGGTCTTATTGATACCGCTGTAAAAACCGCTGAAACTGGTTACATCCAAAGAAGATTGATAAAAGCTATGGAGTCCATCATGGTTGCTTATGATGGAACCATTCGTAATTCAAATGGTCAAGTTATCCAATTCCGTTATGGTGAAGATGGTTTAGATGCTACTGCCGTTGAATCTCAATCATTACCCACTCTTAAACCGAACAATAAAGCATTCGAACAGCGTTTCAAATTTGATGGTGCCAATGAAAGATATTTAAGGAAACTATTCACTGAAGATGTGGTCTCGGAACTGCTTGGAAGTACCACTTCACTTTCAGAATTGGAAAAAGAGTGGGAACGTCTTCGTCGAGATCGTGAAACTTTACGTGAAATTTTCCCAACAGGTGATAGCAAAGTAGTTTTACCATGTAATTTACAGCGTATGATCTGGAATGCACAAAAAATATTTCATGTTAATCTACGTGGTCAAACTGATCTCAGTCCTTTACGAGTTGTCGAAGGAGTTGAAGATCTTGTCAAAAAATTAATTATTGTAACAGGAGATGATAGACTTTCCATTCAAGCAAATGACAATGCTACTATTTTATTCAGAGCTTTATTAAGATCAACATTATGTACCAAAAAAGTTGCAGAAGAATATCGATTAACAACCGAAGCGTTTGATTGGTTAGTTGGTGAAATTGAAACTCGTTTCCAACAAGCACAAGTACAACCTGGTGAAATGGTCGGCGCCTTAGCAGCTCAAAGTTTAGGAGAACCAGCTACTCAAATGACACTTAACACATTCCACTACGCTGGTGTGTCCGCTAAAAATGTCACCCTTGGTGTACCTCGACTTAAAGAAATTATCAACGTCTCAAAGAAACCAAAAACACCCTCGCTCACCGTTTTCTTGACTGGTGCGGCTGCAAGAGATGCCGAGAAAGCTAAAGATGTCCTTTGTCGCCTCGAACATACAACATTAAGAAAAGTGACCGCCAACACTGCCATTTACTACGATCCTGATCCTCAAAATTCAGTGATTGTTGAAGATCAAGAGTTCGTTAACGTTTATTACGAAATGCCTGATTTTGATACCTCAAGAATTTCTCCTTGGCTACTTCGTATTGAATTAGATCGTAAAAGAATGACCGATAAAAAGCTAACCATGGAACAAATTGCCGAGAAAATCAATGCAGGTTTTGGTGATGATCTTAATTGTATTTTCAATGATGACAACGCTGAAAAACTGGTTCTTCGTATCAGAATTATGAACGCAGATGAAAAGATGGAAGATGAAGAGCAAATTGACAAAATGGAAGATGATGTTTTCCTCAGATGTATTGAAGCTTCTATGCTTTCCGATATTACACTTCAAGGAATTGAATCAATCATAAAGGTCTACATGCATCTACCAACAACCGACAACAAAAAGCGAATCATTCTAACCGAAACTGGAGAGTATAAAGCGGTCGCTGAATGGCTTCTCGAAACCGATGGAACCTCTTTGATGAGAGTTTTATCCGAAAGAGACGTGGATCCAGTTCGTACTTATTCTAATGACATTTGTGAAATTTTCCAAGTTCTTGGTATTGAAGCTGTTCGAAAAGCTATCGAAAAGGAATTGAATCATGTAATTTCTTTCGATGGTTCTTATGTAAATTATCGTCACCTTGCTTTACTTTGTGATGTCATGACTGCTAAAGGTCATCTCATGGCCATCACTCGTCATGGGATCAATAGGCAAGATGTTGGTGCCTTAATGAGATGTTCTTTTGAAGAGACTGTCGATGTTTTAATTGAAGCAGCAGCACACGCTGAGGTTGATTATCTCAAGGGTGTTTCTGAGAACATTATGGTTGGACAATTGGCAAAAATGGGCACCGGTGCCTTCAGTATGTTGCTTGACCCCGAGAAATGTAAATACGGTATAGAGATTCCTATGCATCCAGTTGGATTGATGGCTGGACCGGGTATGTATGCAACAGCTGACAGTCCATCAGCTTCAATGACTCCCTGGATGCAAGGAGCTACTCCAGGTTACCAAACATCTTATGGTGGGGTTGGAGCATCAATGACTCCTGGTGGTGCAGCTTTCTCACCCTCGGCTGCGTCTGAAGTTAGTGGTATGAGCCCAGGATTCAGTCCTTCATGGCCATCGCCAAGTCGTGGTGGATCACCAAGTTCTCCGTCGCCTTATATGTATGTTATCTCTTTGATAATCTTCTTGTCATTTTTCTTTTCACGGATTTTCATTTTTCTTTATTTCTTTTATCTTTTACAGTCCAAGTCCCGCTGGTGCAAGTTCTCCCACATACTCACCATCTTCGCCAGCTTATGCTCCAATGTCTCCAGCAAGTCCTGGCTATTCACCTACAAGCCCTTCATATTCACCAACGAGTCCAAATTACTCGCCAACATCACCCAAATACTCTCCCACAAGTCCTAATTATAGTCCAACGTCTCCCAATTATTCACCCACTAGCCCATCTTATTCTCCCACGAGTCCAAATTACTCGCCAACAAGTCCCTCCTATTCACCTACAAGCCCTTCATACTCTCCAACGAGTCCATCTTACTCACCAACTTCTCCTTCCTATTCCCCCACCAGTCCCAGTTACTCACCCACTAGCCCTTCGTACTCCCCTACAAGTCCATCATATTCACCGACTTCTCCCTCATATTCACCAACTTCTCCTTCCTATTCCCCAACAAGTCCCAGCTACTCACCCACCAGCCCTTCATACTCTCCAACGAGTCCCTCCTATTCACCTACGAGTCCATCATACTCACCAACCAGTCCGTCTTATTCACCAACAAGCCCTTCATATGCTCCTACAAGCCCCTCTTACTCTCCCACTAGCCCTTCATACTCTCCAACAAGTCCATCATACTCTCCAACGAGTCCAAGCTACTCACCAACGAGTCCAGCTTACTCTCCAACCAGCCCGAGCTACTCACCTGGAAGTCCAAGCTACAGCCCTGGAAGTCCCAAATACACCCCCAGTAGCCCCAAATACAGTCCATCAAGTCCGAAATATAGCCCAACCAGTCCAAGCTATTCACCGGTGGCCAGTCCTCGGTATTCACCAACCAGCCCCAACTATTCACCAAGTTATTCACCATCATCTCTTAAATATAGTCCAACATCTCCAACTTATTCCCCCACAAGCCCAAAAAGCTCACAATTTTCACCAACAAGTCCATCATATTCACCATCATCACCTTCGTATGATCCAGGACAAGACGAAGATGCCGAGTAAATTTTGACTCAAGAAAACACTAAAAAAATGATTAAAACATTAAAATGATAGGATAAACAATTGCAAAAAAAAACTTTCAAACAAAACAAATTCTAAAAAAAATCAATCACAAACAAAATGATTAACAATTAAACCCTTTTACCAAATCCTGATCATCAACACAAACTTCGAGATGAAGCAACAATTGCCAATCTTTGTTTGATTTCTTCAATAATGAGACAAAAATAATTTACTACAATTAAATTTCATTAAGAAAAGAAAACAGAAAAAATGAAACAAAAAAACTTAACAATCTTCAACTTTAATTATCTTCATCAATTTTCACCTTAAATTCAATCAACACAATTAACTAATTGTATATATTAGTGTAATTTCATTGCTAACAATTAATTATCAATAAATGTTTTACTGTTTTCAACATTTAATCACAACTTGTAACTCGTTTACCGATTATTAAATCACATTGAAGATCTTTAATCACCGGAAGCTTTGATCGGAACAAATCAAAATGGTTAAACTTGATTCTAATCAAATTAATCTGATTAATTTACCGAAAATCTATCCAAAGAATCGGTGTAAATTGCGAATGTTGAAATTGGATCGAATCAAAGATTGGTTATTAATGGAAGAAGAATTTTTGAAGAGATTGAAAATCAATCGGAATATTAATCAAGATGAATTAAAGGTTAATTTAGTTAACAAATTACGAGGTAAATTGATTAGCGTTTTTTTGTTGTTTTCGTTAATTGCTAATCAACAATTTCTTTAGGATCCCCACTGATTGTTGCTAATTTACTTGAATTCATTGGCTCCGATCATGCAATCATCACCTTGGGTCTCAATGACATGGAATGGCTCGTGCCCATATTATCAATTGTTAATCGAAGTAAATTGAAGCCTAATTGTAACGTGTTAATTAGTCTCCGGAATTTCAGTGTCGTCGGTGTAATTGATGATTTCTCATCAAAAGCCGCTCTTGCAATGAAATTGACCAAAGCCCCACCAGAGACATTTAATGATGTTGGTCAGTAGTTTTTATTGGAAATTGTTTTCAGTTAATTGTTGTTTCTGATTGTCTATTTCTCTTTGTTATCATTTCTCAGGTGGAATGGATGAGCAAATTCAGGAAATTAAGGAAGCAGTTGAATTACCATTAACTCATCCCGAGTATTTTGAAGCAATTGGAATCAAACCACCGAAAGGTAAGTTTTAATTCAAAATCTAATCATTAAAGATAATCAATCAAACCAAATCAAATTGTAGGAGTGATTTTGTATGGCCCACCGGGAACAGGTAAAACATTATTAGCCAAAGCGGTGGCTAATTCAACTGCCGCTTCGTTTTTATATGTTGTCGCTTCTGAACTGGTCAAGAAGCACATTGGTGAAGGGGCGAAATTGGTTCGAGAAATGTTCAAATTAGCGGCCGAAAACGCACCCGCCATTATTTTCATCGATGAAATCGACGCTATTGGATCGAAAAGGTCTTTTTTATTCCACTCAAATAGTAACAATTTACTGATGATAAAATTTTCTCTCCCAAATTAACTTTAACCAGAGGTCAAAATTCAGAAACTGGGGGAGAGCGAGAGGTCCAACGAACTCTATTAGAACTTTTAAATCAACTGGATGGTTTTGACAATCGAGGAGAAGTTCGAATAATTTTGGCAACAAATTTAATCGACCGTCTTGATCCAGCACTAATCAGACCTGGAAGAATCGATCGTAAAATAGAGATACCATTACCTAATCACGAAGTAAGATTTTTCTCCGATTAAAACTTGATCACAATTAACGATTTTCTATTCAATATATACTGAAAAAAGGGTCGAAAGAAAATCTTTGAAATTCATTCACAAAATATGACGAAAGCCGAAGTGATCAATGTGGATGCAATTCTGGAGGGAAACGAATTAAGGTAATTAAAGTCTATCAAAAAGGGTTAATTGTGATTCTAATTGTCTTAATTTCAGTGGCGCTGATATAAAATCGGTCTGTATTGAGGCGGGTTATCAAGCGTTGAGGGATCGACGTCGAGGTGTAACTAATCGTGACTTTTTAAAGGCCAAGGACAAGGTCATTGGGAATCGTAATGTTGCCGCTGTCAAGGAAAACAAATACTTATCTTGATTGTTTTATTTAATCAATTTTGAATCGTTGTCATATTCATTGTTTTAAACATGATTAACATGTTGATTTGTTACAATCTGATTTATTTGTAAAATCGTCATTACCATTATTATTTATACATAATAATAAAGTAGTAGCAAAATATATTACAAAGTATAATCATGCAAATACATTGTTACAATTGTGATTATATTAATGTGATTTATATTATTTAAAGTTTTCTCGTTCGTAACAATTAAGCTGTCAAATTAATTGTTAGCCCTTGATTATATAAGATGTATTTTTGTAGTTATGGGTGATAATTTACATTAAGGATGTAAGTTTACAAAGGCATTAATTAAGTCTTCGGCAGCTTAATTGTTATTGTAATTAGAAAAAGAAATCAAAATGAAAAAAAAATGAAGCTGCTTAGGTTGACCAAAGGTTTAAATTGTTAATTTAAATCTTTAAATCAGCAACTGAGGTTGAATTTGTGTAATTTTTTGTTGCACCGAGGAATTGTTTCTGTGAGTCGCTTATTTCAACGTTCTTGGTGATGATCCAATCAATTGAATGAATGGATTGTGATGATGGGGAGTGGCGATTCTACTATGGTGACCATAGATATTTTGATGAGATGAATTGTCACTCATTGAGCCGGAACTGTTTTCCATTGGAACTGAGCTTTGAAGGGTTGATGAGTGGGCGAATGGCGCGTTTGGACCTGGATGGTGAGGTAGGACATTTGCTGGATGGTTAAATTTAATTGCAGAAAGTCCAGACATGGCAAAATTGTCATTTGGATTGATTGATTGAATTGACCCCATTTCGGCAAAAATGTTGGTCAAAGGGTTATTAAAGTTGTAAAGGAAAGATGATGAATGTCCAACAGGCGTCAGCCCATGGGTTGATGGTCCGGTTGAACGAGATGTTGCTGAGGTGGGTTGCATGTTTGTCGATGCGTTTGATTGGGATTGAGGTCGAAATAGAGATTCGTTAGTGTCAATAGAAGATCTTTCTGTAGAAGATGATGAGATATTTAATAAAGTCGATGAAGATGCCGAAGTGCCAGCGGATCGATTTCCACTGTGATTGGGAACAGCTGATGCTGTGGGTGGCGGTGGAGGAGGAGGTGCAAAGCTTGACATTGAAGAGTACGAGTTAGTCCCAGAAGGATTGGAAACATTAGTGTTTGTTGAACGGGAATTTTTAGCGCCTATGTTTGTACCTGAAGCTTTTTTAGCGGATTTACTTGAACTTCCACCTGTTGATTTTCCGGATTGTTTTGAATTAATAGATGAAGTACTCGGTGTATTACCGGTAGCCTTTACTGTACTGTTATTGGTGGTATTTGCAGTTGTCTTTCCTTGATTACTTGAGCCTAAATATAAGTAAAAAATAAATGCAAAAAATTAGTCAAATTTGTCAAATTCAAATGGAAATTGAATATAAGTGTTACCTGAATATGACGGCGATTCCGATGGCCTTCGGGCATTGTGCATAGATTGTATGGTTGTTACACCAGGTTCACTGTAAAATGTTGGATGATGATGGGAATGGTGATGATGAAGATTGGAATTGGAATTGGAATTGGAAAGTGTATTCGAAGTGGGCGAGATATTGGTCGTTGTGTTGATACTTGTAGCTGATGATCGAGATGGACAAGTAAGGTTATAACCGTTGTTATCGTAATTTGAATTACTAGAACCGGAGATTAGACTAGGAAACGATGAGCTGGTCGAGAAAATCGGTGGATTATTTGAATTAGGTAAAGATGAAGATGACACATGATGATTGTGAACCATGAAATAATTGTTGGTTGGATTATTTGAGGTTCCCGTTGCAGATGTGTGATCTACAAAGTGACCTGGGTTACCGATACGTCGATTACCATCGGCAAAATTGATCGCTGAATTACTAGCGTTTCCAGAGGCTCCGTGAGCTTGACGGTTGTATGGATCCGTTGTAAACGAAGGATCAGCAAAATTAAATGAGGATAACATTGCAGCCGATGAATTACTCGATCGACGATTATTAGGAGGACCAAATGGAGGTTGACAATTACTGTTGGGTGGAAAAGGCGCAAGGAAATTATTCTGCATTCCTGATGATGAATTATTCTCAATGAACCCTTCATTATGACCGTTACCAGAGTTGCTAAAGTTCATCAGGTTTGCGTTTCGTTCACTTGTTGAGCCTTCACTTGATCCATATGGATAGTGATGATTAAAAAGCTCACGTCCATTGTTATTTACTGGATTGTTGGTACTACTACTGGTTGGTGAACTGTTACTGGCGCTTGTTGAAGTTGTTTTTAAGTTAATTTGTCCTTGGGAACTTGAATTAGATTGATTTGGTTGAGTGGATTGGTGAGATTGACCACGAGGTTGTTGAGATGTTTGTTGTGTCGGCGGCGGCGGAGGAGGAGGTTGTTGCTGATGATGATGATTTTCTCTATTTTATTAACAGAGAGGAGAGAGAGAGAGAGAGACAAAAATAGAAATCAATTAAAAATATTGTAAAAACATTTTGTCACAAGATTGGTAAAGATGATCACATAAATTATGAAATGATTAGCAAATTAAACACTTGAGGGTTATACTTACGAGTAGGAGTTACGTTGTTGATTCATAATTTGTTGTTGATTTGATTGACTGTTAACATTTAAATTTGTATTACCAGTACGAGAGGAATGATCTTGATTAGCCCGCTGATCGTGAGCTTGAGGTGATGACCGGTACATGTTAGTTGCGTGTTGCTGCTGTTGCTGTTGTTGTTGATGTTGATGGTGGTGTTGATGATGATGAGCTGATTGAAGTCGAGATAAATCTGAATCTAAATCAGCACTTCCTCTGGCTGTTCGGATGATTGAATACTGTTCATTAAAAATATTTGATGCTTGATTATTCGAGGTAGAATTGTTATTACCAGGAATCGAATTGACTTTTCCAGGTTCATGAGATTTTTGCCTACTACTGTTGTTATTAGCGATCTGATTACTTTCTCCTGGAGGTGTATGGATCAGTCTTTCAGCTGAGTATGAAATAGTTGGTCGTGCACTAGTATTGTTGGCGGAATTACCTGAGGCAGAATTATCTCTTGAAGTAAATTCAATGTTGGAATCTACAGAAACATTGCTTTGAACATGATAGATTGAATTTATTGGCACTGAAGTTGGCATATTATTAGTGTTACTTTGTTGAGGTTGTTGTCGCAGGAGCGATTCAGCTGAATAAGGTAACAGTTGGTTTGTTGTTGTTGGATTGTTGGTCGATGATGACGAAGGTGGTGCACTAGAGTCTAGGTTAGTGTTACCTGTTGATGTTTGTTGAGCGGATGTAGATGATGATGAATCTCTACTTTGCTGAGTTTTTCTAACAACAGATTGTGGTGTTGTCGATTTATCCGAGGGATCAGAGCGTCTCCTGTCCTCTTGTGAATCGGTAGAGTAAAGTCGACCTTGTCCAGCATTATTCGAGTTAGATTGGTAACTATTTGATTCTAATTGCTCATTAGAATGATGTTGCTGGTGGTGATGGTGATGATGGTGTTGTTGGTCGATTGAATTGGCATAATCTTCACCATCATGACAATTTGATGATTCAGTGATTACATTGGAACTTTGATTTGACATAATAACGGAAGGTGTTTGCGAATTTGAAGTATTTGTGTTTATCCTATTCATTGGACTAGAATAACGAGGTGATCGAGTTGTACCATTACCATGATCAGAAGTTTTCGATAGAAAATCAGTTAAATGATCAGAGGGTGAAAGACTGAGGAATGTTGGTAAACTAGAATTGGAAACACTATGAACCGAATCAGTGGACATCTCATGATCTTCAGATAAACTTCCCAAAAGAAGTGGAAGTTGATCTTGTTCACATGTTGCATCACCGTTTTGTCGAAATGAATAATTCTCAGTTTCCAGATCAGTTTCCGTTAATTCATCTGTCAGTTCTTTAGTTGTTGTTCCTTTATTGGCCTTGCTCGTTGTTCTAATACATCTTTTAGACGGAGAATCGGCAACACGTTCAATCACTGTTGTTAACCTTTGCCTTTTATCATTTTCTTGTGCAATCGCTTCACCGTTTGGTGTCGGAGTAACTTCATTTAACGGCAATTTATCCGTAGTCTCTTTAGCTTGTTGAGTCACTTTTAAAGGTCTACCTCTCTTCTTCTTTGGTGGAAGTGAAATTGTTTCTTGTTGTTGTTGTGATGGAATAGTAGCTTGAACCTCTTCACCAGTGATACTATCATCAATATTAACGTTAGGTTTTTGATATGTTCTTGGCCGTTTAATTCGAGCCGTTTCTCCAGATTCAGTTGGACTTTTTTCCTGATCGCCAGTAGTTGATGAACGAACTTTTCTTTTACATTTTTCCGTCTGTTCGGTAGATTTAGCTTGTGTTGGTGGCACATTAATTGAAGTACTGTTGATAGGAGTTGATGAGGTTAAAACAAAACCCGAGCCAGGAGTATAAACAAAAGCGGGTTGAGGTTGATTAACTAACGATAACAATTGACCATTGTGCATAACCAGTGTTGTTGGTTGAGGTGGACTTAAAAGAGTTGAACCTAAAATGATCGGGCCCTGATTAAATCCTGAACTGTCGATGGCAAGAGCTCCATTGCCTAGAATTTGAACATTTGGTGAAGGACGGATTTGAAGTTGAGATCCATTTGATAAGCTTATCCTTGGAGCATTGTGATCCTGAGTTTGATTAACAACCAATAAAGGTATTTTGGTATTAGCTAAATTATTTGTGATCAATTTATCAGTTCCAAGTTGTATATTTGCAGAGTTAGTTTTATGATTATTGATATTGGTATTACTGTTGAATTTATTGTGATCAACATTAACAGAATCTTCATCTCTGATTACCTCCGTTGTGTCAGAATCACCATCAGATTGTTCATCTCCTGATATATTCGGGTCAAGGGTTGTTTTTTCACTATTTGAACTTTCTTGCGTAGATTTGGTGTTTTTAAGTGGATTAGGATTCATCACATCTAACGGGATATTAGTCGGTGTGATTCCAGACATTTTCAGTAATTTATAATAAACACCATTAGTATCTTCCAATTTTTTAATTCGTCTCTTAGCCAAACGTAGCTCTTCCCCTGTAGAATGAAATAAATAATAGGAAAGATTAATCAAACAGAGGAAAATATCAGTTAGTGTCTTAAAGCAAAATGGATAATCTTTTTTTCAATATCCTTTCCACTAATTATATTGATACCAGGACAAAATTTGTTGCAAATTTGCAAAGGCCTGAAGCTCATTTCGAATCCAATTTTAACAGCGAATCTCATGATTTCGTATTTACCTATAATTTGATCAGCATTTCCATAAATCAGTTTATCGTTCATCTCTTTAAGGTGAACCATATAGTGAAAGGCTTTCTCCAATATAGCATTTTTGCTCTCTTTCTTTGGATCTTTGGGTAGTAACTCGGAAATTTTATTTATCCAGATGGCGATTTTATCCTTCCTTTTCTTTTCAATAGTGTTGTGTGATTTGCGAGCATATTCAGCACGGAAAGAACGTCTAACCAAACAGGAAGAAAAAAATGACCAATAAGAGAGAGAGAGAGAGAGAAAGAAGAGAAAGCGAATTAGAAAACCAATAACAAGTAGTAAAGAAACACAAGCACAAAATGGGAAAGAAACAAGTGGGAGAAACAGTAAGAGAAAGAGAGAAAGTTTAAATTAAATTCGAATGAAAATAATATAAAAAAATGAATTAGACTAAATGACAAAACGGTAAACAAAGATTAAGAATAGGAAAGAGGAAAAAGAAATGCCACCAAAAAGGCAAACCACTTACTTAGGCTCATTCTCTTCGTGTTTTTCTTTATCATTGGTCTCCTTACTTCCATCAATAGGCTCTTCAGAAGTCATTTGCGTTGATGAAGAAAAAAAAGAACAGTCAATTTATCGTTAATCAAGAGAAAATATAATTAAAGTTAATTGTTTACATTTGTCAAAATTCAGTTTCTTAACAAATTTTAGGTTTCGTTTCATTCAAAGGTAAAAAAGAAATGGCGCCAACTTTGAAATGAAATTCTTTTCAAAAAAATAAGAACGATGATTAGTTTTCAATTAGAAAATTAAATAATTATCTTAATCCAAATGATTAGAATTATATTTTCGATTAATAAGGTAATGCCCATGGGGCTTACAGGAAGAAATTAAATGAAATTCGTAAGATATTAGATGATTGTGTTAGTCGAATTGCAGATTCTCATTTGTTTCATTTTCACAATTAATTTAGATTGTTAATTGGGCCAGTCGACAATTGAAAATTGAGTCTGTAATTAGTTTAACTGAGAATTATTGGTAAAAATTTGCTTCTTTTCCTTGTGTTGGAATTGAAAGATTTACAATTCTAAATTTTTTGAGTTTTCAATTGATTCTATGGTGATTAAATTGTTATAACCGATATTTTGAATGTGTAAATTAAATTGTGAGAAAAGGTGAAAGAGTTTTATCCAAAGAAAGTTAATTTATTTTCCCCAGGAGAAAAATGATAAAAAGAATCAAATACAATTTGATATTAATCATTGATGTTCAGCAAAAGGTTTTAATTGTTGAGAACAATTAAGATCTCAAGATGGTTGCATGGTGCTTGATATGATCACCAATGAAGGTTGAAACAAAGTAATAACCATGATCATAACCATCTCGGAAACGATAATCAATTGGAAATGAGGCTTCTTTACAGGCATCAGTTAATTTCTCGATCAAAATTTCACCTTGAGCACTAAATTCATCAGCGCTTCCCTAATTATAAAATAAAACAGATTTCAATCAATATGAGATGATAAATCAATGGAATCATCGTGAGGTTTACCAGAGACAAGCCCCCAGGCTCTCAGAGAGAAAGAAAGAGAGTAAGAGACAAAGTAATTACCTGTTCAACAATTAGATTGATGGGAGGTCCATTATATTTAGCGATCAGTTGACTGGCATCATAGTCTTTCCAAGTTTCAGGATCAGGGCCAAGATATTCAGTGAGACATCTGATTCCCACCGGTGTGTTCATGGCCGAGCCAATTGGAGCAAAAGCTGAAACCGATTTGTATAAACCAGGAGATCGAAGTGAACAAACAAGAGCACCATGTCCACCCATTGAATGGCCACTAATCGCTCTAACACCAGGTAGAACAAAATTGAAATTATCTTCAACCACTTTGATCAATTCCTTGGTAACGTAGGAAAACATTCGGTAATTTTTGGCCCATTTGGGTTGAGTAGCATCCACATAGAAACCGGCACCAGTTCCCAACTTCCAATCATCATCCTCACCCTCAACACCGGCGCCTCGAGGTGAAGTGTCAGGCCCAACGACGATAAGATTATGCTCCGAGGCATAACGTTGGAATCCCGATTTCACAATGAAATTTTGCTCAGTACAGGTTAACCCTAAAATGGAAACAAACAAAAAGGTAAAAAATAAAATCAACTAATCACAAAAAGCAAAAGATGAACAATAAACTTACCTGATAACCAATAGAGAACTGGACACTTGTTGCTCTCCGATGCACCGGGTGGGACGTAGATGGAAAATTTCATCTCACATTTTAATTCATCACTTTGGTGACTGAACACCTTTTGGAATCCATTGAAAGATTTTGATGAAGAAACTTGAGTAACACCAGACATGATTAATTACTGAACAAAGAAAATGAAACACTAAGATTGAGAGAGAATCAGAAAATGATGAGAAAAGTTGAAGGTCCACCAACTATTAATAAAGAAAGTAGACAGAGAGAAGCGAAAGAGACTGAAAAGTAAAGGGTGTCTCGTTTGGAAACAACCAAAGTAAACAAACTAATCAATAAGATGAAGATGAAAGTGAAGGTGAAAAACTTTGCTGATTAAAAGAAAAGTGTTGACCTTTTCTCTTTCATCACCTTTAATCATCTTTTTAGGTCAACTATTGGTCAGTTTGTCACCTTTGGCTAATCTTTGGTCATTTGAAAACGAAACACCCTTTAGGCTTTTTCTCGTTTTCCACAACGAGTTTATCCTTTGGGTGGAGTTTCAACAGCTGAACAAAATTAATTTTTCTCAACCAATAGTAATTAATTTACGTTCACGTGGACTTGTAACTATAATTAACAATCAATTGATTGCATTTGAAATCTCAACAATCAGTAACGAATCGACAATCAACAAAGAGCAAATAAATTGTCACAATATTACCAATGGAAATTAATTTCTCTTGTGTTTTCATTTTTTTAATTTATCTCTAATTGTAACTATTATCAAAAGGTTTGACTAATCATTTTGTGAGTTGTATGAATAGTTTTTCATGGTATGTTGATTTATATATAAATTGTAAATTGTTTTTAATTGTTTTTTTTGGTGGTGGTGGTGGTTGTTGTTGTTGTTGTTGTTGGTTGATTTTGGTTTGGTGTTTTTGTCAATTTGATTGTTTCAATTGGAAGCAAATCAAATTATATGATTATTTTTTTTAGATAAATTGTTGATTATTGTTGGCGAGTTAATTATTTTCTCCTCTCTTTCTCTTTCTCTCTCTCTCACTCCCTCTCTCATTTTACCAACTCATACATTACAACATCTAATTAGACTTTTGTTTTCAGTCTGCGTTATATTAACACGATCAGCGGCTTCCAGGCTTCCTCTTCCCGCTGTTCGCTTGATTAGAATGGCTTCAGCTAATTCCATGAAAGCTTGATTAATGTTCAAATTGGATTTAGCACTTGTCTCTAGAAAACGAATACCATGTTCTCGGGCAACCGTTTCAGCTTTTTCTCGGGGTATAACTCGTTTATCCTCCATGTCACATTTATTACCGAGTATCATTTTCTCAACATCCTCATTGGCATGTTCATCAATTGTTCTTAACCATTTAGCTACACTATCAAAGCTTTTGAGATTCGTTATATCGTAAACAAGCATAATTCCGGATGCACCTCGATAATAAGACGTCGTAATTGTGTGAAATCTTTCTTGTCCAGCAGTGTCCCATATTTGTAATTTAATCCGTTTACCTCTTAATTCAATTGTCTTTATTTTGAAATCTATTCCAATGGTTGAGATAAAGGTTGAATTGAAAGCATCATCACTGAATCTAAAAAGTATACACGTTTTACCTACACCAGAATCGCCAATTAAAAGTAATTTAAACAGATAATCATAATTTTGACGAGCCATTAAACAGTTTCAACTCTTTACAATGAGTATTAATTTTTTTTTTGTTTCTTTTCTTTTCCTTTTCTTCTCAATCTATTAATCAACAATAATATCAATGACTATTTCAGATTGTTGTTGTTATTATTATTGTTATGTGATGATGGATCGACGACAGATAGAGAGAGAGAGAGAGAGAGATGATGATGATGATGATGAAAATTATGATGATGTTGATGTTGATGTTGTGATATTATTGCTGTAAGTAAATGTTGTTGTTGAGATGATGAAGATTGTTGATTATGATGGGAGGTGATTTCAGCCACCTGAAAGAAAGAATCAAAGTAAATATAATTAATAATAAGGGGACTCACTGAGGCTCTTTTTTCACAATATAATTGATAACAAAATTAACATAAACACATAACAAGAGAGAGAGAGAGAAATACAAAACCAGTAAAATAGAAAACCACACCTATCATATACTACAACTGGTGTTATCTGTTGGAATGTAATAATACTATTGTTTTTTATAACAAAATTAGAAAATGACAAAGGATAAATTAATAAGAAATTGGAATTGTCATTAATTAATCAACAGCAAAAGGTAGTTAACAATTAATACGAAAAAAAAAGAAGAGAGAAAATTAGTAAACAAAAAGACTCACCTTAAAAATTTTGATTGATCCAAATTTGGAAAACAAAAGCAATTACATTTATCAATTTAGCGAATATAAAATGAAACTTTTTAATTTAAATGTGAAGAGAATAAATTAACAATTAGTAAATTAAACTAAATGAAATTAATTGAGAACCAGAGAGTAAATTAAGTTACCTTTTCTGTACAGACAAATTGATTATGAGAAAAAGGGTTTAGATAAACAAAAGGAGAACAACAAGAGTAGAAAAAAAAGACAGAAAATGCGAAAGAGAAAAAAAAAGAATTTTTTTGTTCTCTAATTTTGTTTTAATTGTTTTTTGTTGTTCTTTTTTTGCTTCGGTAAAAACAGAACCAAACAAAAGGTGATTAGTGATTTACTTTTCTAATTGTTACCGTAATACGATGTTATTATTAGAATTATAATTAATAGTAATCCAGGTTTGATTGTTACCGTTGAATTGCAATAATCTTGATTACAGAAACATTTATCCATTCGGGTTCCAAACACATATTCAGTTTTACACTTTGAGGTGAAATCGATCTCGGTTCCTGCGGTTGTACCTGAGGTGTCACATCCTCTTCTCCACTCTAGGACGATTCCTGTGTCATTAATTAAATGGAAATGATTAAAGGTAAGTGATTAACTGATCAACATGCAAATTCTCTGAATTCTCTTGGTTAGTTTTTTTCCTAAACGTTTTGTTTACTTCTGTGGACTGAACATCTTTGGGTTAACAATAATGTGATTGGTTTTTAGTGTCAGTATTTTGATTAGTTTAATTGTCGATTGATTTGGTTCTGATTGTTTTGATGTTTTAATATTATTTTCTTTCATTTTAGAATTGTTATAATTGGAATTACTGCTTCTTGTTTGGTTATATCTCCATTCTATGAGAATCTGATTTAACAACAAGATGAGATTGATTGATTGATTATGATGAGATTTTCTCACCTTTTCTTGATTAGATTTGATTAGTGATTTGATTGGAAAAATGGTAATGTTAATTGATTGTTTCATTTTAACATTTCTATTCAGTGTTTACTGTGATTGACATTAACCTTTTTTTGTTTCTATTCCTTTTGTTTTATATCTCCTTGATTAACCTTTCAATTTCGTCCCTTTTACTAATGTCTCAACTAATTTCTATCACAGTTAATGAACTACACCAATGATAATAAACTTTGATTCAATCAACTACTAATCACAATTTAATCTCTTACCGTTAGCATCCGATATGGAAAACATCTCACATCCTGCTGGACATTCACGATAAGGAACCACCGCGGCAGTGAAATACTTTGGACTACAAGCGTCTGGACTATTGTAACAATTTAAATCGGTACATCGATTGATTGTGAAATGACAAGTAAAACATTTAACCGATTCCACTATATGGCCAATGATCAACAATTGGTTCAAAAAATCATAAAACACAATGAAAAATTAATGGATCACAATTAAAGACGATGAGATAACGATTAACACAAGAAAGCAACAAATCTTACCTGTCGACTGAAAACTGATCAATGTAATCAAGAAGATTAGCAAAACAGTTAAATCCATTATGGCGATTTACTAATCCAAAGATAGAAAGAGATGAAGTGAAACGTTAATCATGAAAATCTTTAACAATTGGTTCCCAAATGATATCCCAATATTGTAACGATAAATTGTAAACTTTGCAAATCATTCTGTATTAATCACTAACCAATCAATTTGATTTCTTTTCCTGTTCCTTTTCCCCTGATCTTTTTTTCAGTCTCAACAATTACCGTTATTTTTCATTGGCATCAATACATTAATCGTGACTCGACATTTCCAAGGCAATATTTTGGCAGATTATCTTTCACTCTCTTGGGTCCATCATCATCACAGAGCAATTAAGATGCACAATCATTGTTACATGGAGATGTCCCATTTATTGATAATTAAATTAATCCAATTACCATGATAACAACGACAATAACAAAAGGTAAACTCATATTTCAATAATTTGTCTTTTCTCAATCTCCTCAACCCAATTAACTAATTAACTTACTAAATTAACTTAGAACTTTTTCCAATAACAATTAAAACTAAGTTCCAATGTTCATTACTAATTATTAAGTAATGTTTTTTAATCGTAAATAATTTACCTGCTCATTAGAATCATCAAAAGCCTAAAAACCAAAAGCCAAGATAATTAAAAATGAAAAAATCTCTCAACATGATGAATACATGAAACAGACACGTACTGACCCAAGCAATTAAATCACTCTAATTGATTTAATCAGAGATGCTCACCGAAAATTCATCACAATCAGATCTTTTCATCTTCTATCTCTCTCTCTCTCTCCAGGTATCCCCTCTTATTGTTTTATTTGTTTACCTCTCATCATCTGGGATACACGTGATTTAATCATGTAAATATGAAAATCAATCAACTTTTAATTGTATCGTTAATCTGGTACCATGAAATCAGAATTGCCAGCCAATTACCATAATGAACGTCAAGAAAAAGATGCTAACAGGTGAGAGATTAAATTGATTTTCTCAATAGAAAAACTTTGTTACAAGTTGTTAAATCAACAATTAAAATATCATATGAACACTCATGTATTTAAACTAATCAACCAATCAATTTAATATATATTTAAACATCTGAATCAATGAGTACCTCTAATGGTGAAGAGGATAAATCATGTTAATGAATTGGTTGTTAATTGAAAGGGAAAATAGTAAAGTCCAATTAAGACTAATTGTTAATTGTAGTGACTTTGATATTAGATTTTTTTTTGATGATGATGAACAATTGATTTATTAATAAGATAACTTAAATTCAAGTTTCATATTACAGTCAATCAGTTAACTACTATTGAATGAAACAAAAGGGTATCTAACAATTAATAATAGTCATATGATGATTAAGTTAATAACTACCAGCTAACTGATTCCAATTAACTAATCAAATTGATTATTGTTAATTCAAGAGTGCTTTAGGCTTTGATTAACTCTAATCAATCTAATTTATTATTATACAATGTAATTTTACCTCTTCTAACCACACCGATTCAATCGATTATTTTTAATTATTAGATTTGATTGTGTGTATTTGATATTGTGCAATAAGATACAAATCAAATGAAATGTATCAAATTATTATTATTAACAATTTAATTGTAATAAGTGATGATTAGCAAGAAATAGTCAGAATTTATTATTTTTCAATTGCTAAATCAGAAGACTAGAAATAATCTTGTTTTCTCAATTGGCCCATCTAATTAACTTATTATTATTGTGAAATTAATTCAACTGGTAAACAATTAATTCTCTCTCTCTCTCTCTATTTAATCTCATTAGATTGATTAAATAATCAATGAAATATTAATAGTAATCAAAACTAATCCTAAGAATAATATTATTTTTGTCACTAAAAATCATCTGATTTAGTGATAGGAATCAAAAGAAAACAACAATTTAACTCTAAATTAATCCACTGATTGTGATAAATATGAAAACATTGATCAACTTGTTTATTAACATTTAGATTTTTCTTATTTTATTTTTAGATTTTGAAAAAATTAACTAATTCGCATGATGATTAACATGAGGAAATGAAATATCAACAAAACAACAACAACCAGGAATCATAAGGAATCAACAAGGAGTTAGAGTCTTATGAAGCAAAGGATTATCAACTTTTGCATCTTCAACTCGATTCCCAACAATTAGTCAAATGGTTAATCATATAGTTGGTAAACTATGAAATTTTGGCAATCATTGACTGGTGAATCTATTAATAGATCACAATTTGTTTATCAACATGAAATAACTTCACCATTAGGATAATATCAACAAGTGGTTGCACCTCACAAGTTAAGTGTTAATCATTTTTACGAGGAAACAAAAAGTAAATGATACAAGTCACATACACAATTAACTAAATTGTAATCAGACTAAGATTTCTATTAATTGATCATTCAACTAAATTCAATGGTTCCCTCCGTCAAGGTTTCATATTTACCTTGTACATTTAATTGCTCATCTAATTTTACCTTGTACTGATTCAACCGTTAATTGTAAACAATTTAACATCTCGAGAAAAATATTAATTATAATAATTTGTTTATTACAATGTTATTAATTTTTTCTCATTTTCATTTTATCGTTGATATTTAATTTGATTTAGATTAAATTTATTTCTCCTATTCAAACAATAATGATTTACCTTTTTTTTGCTTCATACGTAAATTAAACGTAACAATTAACTAAATATGGTGATAAGCTCATCGCCCATGATTTAGTACCATGATTTTGATTAATCAATCATGAGCAATTAATATGATTCCTTAATGATGAACAATTTGTTAACCATCATTTTAATTGCATCATGAAAGTTAATCAAATTGTTAAATAACAATTGATCATAATTGTGATAGTTAACTTTCAAGTGAATTTTTTTTTATTGTGAGTAGATTTTTTTTTTCAATTAAAATTAATAATAATACAATGAGAATTGATTAACTTATAATGAAGTCCAAAAGAAAAAGTTAATTAGTTGATATTAATCACGAGTCGGTAATTTTCCAAACAAATATATTACAGACTCTCACTCTATAAAATTCAGTCTACAATTTATCAATTATACTTAATTATCACCTTAATCATTAACACACAAGATATACTTGTGAGATCATCATTGTTTATATTGTATTGTTTGCTTTTGACTCTTATAAATAAATACTGATTTACATTAAATCTATTGGTGATGATGATGATGATGAACGTTATGATTATGATTTTCGTTAGATGATCGCAACAATTTACTTGATTGTTTTGTCTTTACTTGTTTTCTCCGTGGAAAAGGTCAAATTAGGCCAATGCTTTTTAACGTCTTTACTTTTTTCCAATTCAATGGATTCCTCGGCATCACACATAATGGCCTCATTTAATTCAACAGCAAATTGATTCTTCAATAAATTAATACCATAACAATGTCGACAAGTAGCTGAACAACTAACCCGACGGGTTTTGTTTGTCTTATTCTTGGAAATTGGTATGTCTTCAGTTGATTTATCCATCATCATCATCATGTCTGAACATATACAAGACTCTGGAAGTGATTTACTCTGTAAAATCTATAAATAAATGTATTCAGGAAGAGGAAATTAGTAATTAGCATGATGACGATTAAGACACATGGAGAATCAAAAAGTTGGAGATCGTCTTTTTGTTTGTTTCATTCAACTTACCGTTTCAATAATATTATTTAGAGCTGCAAATGCATCGTCAATATCATCGTTAATGATGATCAAGTCAAATAACTTCTCGAGTCCATTGATATTTAAATCATCCTTGGCTCTTTGTAAGCGTTTGGTGATACTTTCATCAGATTCTGTTCCCCTATTTCTCAATCGTTGCTCGAGAATCTCGAGACTCGGCGGTTTAATGGCGATGAACAATGGTTTGAGATTCAATTTTTTAACACTTAGAACTCCTTTCAACTCTAAATCCAATACACAAATTTGTCCACCTTTCTGTACCTGTTCCAGAGCTTTTTTACTATTTTTTCAAGAGGAAAAGTAAAATAGGAAATGAGTTGTAATCAATTGTTACATTTACAATTCAACCTATTTTTGTTTCTCAATTTTTCTTTATCTTGTCTAATTACTGTTGATAATGGAATAGAGATAGAGAGGGTAATAATTGTTGAGAGAAATTTAGTCAATTTACCTGGTCCCATAAAGGTTACCAGAAAATTCAACGTGTTCCACAAATTCACCAGATTCGATAGCTTTTTCCATTACTGATTTTTCAACGAAATGATAATCTAAAATGAAACAAGATCACATCGTTAATAGTTTAAAATTACATGTGATTGAAGAGAATAGAGAAAAGAGGTAGAGAAGGAGAAAAATCGTAAACGTAAGAAGAAAAAAAGATAATTACCTTGGCCATCAATTTCACCTGTTCGAGGTTTCCTTGTAGTATCTGGAGCAGAAAGGAAAAGAAGATAAATTTAGATAAGAGAAAAAGGAAAAGGAAAAGGAAAAGAGAGAAAATATTCTTACGAGAAACAGCAAATGCAATTTGATCTTTATGCTCTTGCATACAACGTTTGAGGAGAGTTGATTTACCAGCACCACTTGGACCCCATATAACAATTGGTCGGATTAAAATTGGATCACTTAGATCACCATTTAGATCACCTTGTGATAAGTTAATTGAATTAGCGATGGTCACATTATTGGTATTAAGAGATGAGATTTTTTCAGTAGTCATGATTAGTAGTGGATTAGTGATTATTGTTGATTGGATGAGAAAAAGATTAACAGATCTAAATGAGCTTTTCAATTACAAATTGTTTTTCTATCCAACAAAAAGTGAGGTCAAATATCAATTCTTGATTAACACAAACAAGAAAAGTGATTAGAGAGAAAGAAGAAGAACTTTTTTCATTAAAGAGAAGAAACAAATTAACTTCAAGTTACAATGAAGACACAAATTAATTTAACGAAAGTAACTGAAGATGAACACCAAAAATAATGGTAACAATTAGACAATTTAATCATTTGATTAACCGAAATTAACTAATCCCTTAAGCAAAACCAAAGGTAAATAAACAGAAAGAAAAAAAAAATTCTGTAGGCGTGACTTAAATTCGCCGATTACACTGCCACCTGTTGTTCGAATTTTTCTCTACTCATGATAAGATGATTTCGATTAAAATTACTTGATGATTGACAATTTTCAGAATTTTGTTAAATGTTATTACTTGCCAATAGTTATTCTGATACTTTGACGAATCATTTCAACGAATGGATTGAAAAATTTCTCGTCAATCTTTTGTTGACTGAAAGAGTAAAATCTTTGCTCTCCATTTTGTCTCTGACTCGATGGAAATTGGAATTTTCAGTTGTATTATCAGAAGAAGATGAAAGTATTGACCAGTGAATTGAACGAAACAATTTAAGAAGAAATTAACTCTATTGACCGAAATTCACACTCAAAATACAAAAAAATTCGCACAAACAGAAATGGTGGTCAAAGGTTTCAAAGAATAGAAAAGTTTTTCAATGATGATGATTATAAGATTAGTCTGATTTTGTTAAGTAGATTTTCTCGATATTCCAGTTCAGTATTCTGAAAAACTTTTTCACCGAAATTCAGAATCAAAGAGTAATTCGACTATTCTGCCATCTGTTGTTCTATTTTATTTTCTCTGTTCGTGATAAATTATCATCATTTCGATGATTAGAAAATGACAATTACGATAATTTAGATTTTGCTTCTCTCTATTGTACTTTATTACTGACCAATCAATACAACTAAACAACCAATTGGTCAATCTATTTGGTTCTTTATTTGTTTTTCACATGAAATCATCTTAATCATTTGATAAATCGCTAAGTAAATCAATAAAATCATTCTTAAAAAGAGTATGTTCAGATCCATGAGTGATTAAAATTGCTGATTTCAATTTATCACTAATCTCTTTGGTAATTTTATCTCTCAATGTGTAAACCTGTTCACCTAAATTGCGACGGACTTGTAGTAATTGCATGAGATGAACCGTTAATTCAGGATGATGATATTGAAAATAATTCTCGAAAACTGGTAACAATTGTCTTCCCAGAACATCAGCTTGAACCCATTTTCTTTCACTGGTTAATTTAATAAATTGCGTTAATCTGCTCTCAAAATCTTTCTCAATGTTTGGCCCTGAAGTACAACGAGGGCAACAACAATTGAAATAATATTTATTGGCCAATGTTTCCTTGCGTTTATCGGTCGACATGGTTATATCGAGATAAGTGATTAGTATTGGTTCAAGTTGAGTATCAATATCAGTCATGGCTCGAATTTGTAATGTTGTCCCATCGAAAACGGGTACACCATTGGGTTTACAGCTATGATCAAACTGAGAAGCACCGATGAAAACACCATAACCAATTTCGGCGAATGTTGAATCCAAAACGGTAAATCCATTGATCAACAATCGACCGAAACTTGATAAGATTAAATCGGGATCAAGAAAAACACCAAGGGTCGTGTAAAGGTAACACATTTCCTCGAATATTTGAATTCGATTTCGATCCTTCAATAGATTATCCTTATGATCCATTAAGGAATTAAATGATCGAGGTGAACCATCATTAAGATTAATTGCCAAAGGTTTCGTCTTTTGCTCAGGTTTTTTGGTCAATATAAGTGATAATCGAAGTAGTAATCGTGGTGTATCCAGGTTGATTAATCGACCATTAAATTTACTCATATCGGTTGCATAAAGTAAACACTCGGACAATTTATGACCACTTGACCAATCCTCTGTTTGACATGATTTCGAGCAGTAAAATTTAACCTTACATCGTGAGCAACGCTGAAGCTTTGGACTGGTAAAATACACAAGGAAATAAACAGAAAGTAAACAATTAAAGTCAATAAACATTCATTCAATTGATTCCAACATTTAATTGTCTTGAGTTAATCATCTTTCTTACCTTAATTTGAAACATTGATCACAACGTTTTCCTCTTTCAGATAAATTCAATACATGGACAAAAGGTTTATCCTCAAGGATGACTTGACCAGCTTTATATTTGACCATAGTTATTATCTGGTTTTTCCAATCAATTGTGATTCTTTAATTGTCCATTTAAATTGTGAACAATTTATAAATCAACTGATTAAGGTAATTCAAGAATTGAAAACATGTCAGTTTGGCTTGAGTTGGGTAAGTGAACATGTGATTTATTTAAAGTGTTTGTTTGTTTACATTTGGAAAACAAGTTAACCGGTAATTTCAATTTTCTTAGAAATTGAAACTAAATCAATTATTTTTATTCACTTATTATGATCAATTAAACTTTTTTCATCTTCTTTCATTTTTCTGTGTTTATTAGTTTTTCCAATCATTGGAGTCTCGATGATTATTATTGCCTTAATTGCTTTGGCAATTCATCTGATTAGTAAAAAGATTAAATTTGAAACTGATCTTGGTGATTTGTGGTGGCAAATCAAATGGGATGATTTAGTTTTCCCTGAGAAACAAATTGGTAAACGATCAACACTTTCTCTAGGAATCAGTGAATCCTCATTCCATAAATCAGCAGCTTCGATAGCGTCACCGATTTCTTTGAACAGTTCACTTGGTACGACATTGAAAAATATCTCTGGTGTTTTAGTTGCAATGCACAAGGTAAGTGTTGATTGATTTCTATCATGATCACCATTATGATCATCATTATGATTGAATCAATAATCTGTGAACAATTAGTGAATAATTGATTGATCATAACTTTAGGGAACTCGAGTTGCGGTTAAAAATGTTGCGATGAAAAAGTTTCATATGAATAGGAAACTTTTGATGGAACTGAAATTGGTAAGGAAAGTTTGATTTATTCATTGGTTATTCTGTTAATTGTTTGATTGTTTAATTGTTCACTAAAAAGATGAGAGAAACACTTCATGAAAATATTAATCGATTTGTTGGACTTTGTATCGAGGAACCAAATCATTCCATAATAGCAGAACTTTGTATTCGAGGTAGTCTACGGGATCTCCTCGAAAATGAGTCCATGCAATTAGATTGGGTCTTCAAGTATGCGATGATTACTGATATCGCCGAGGGAATGATCTATCTTCATGGGTCACCGATACAGTTTCATGGTAATTTAAATTCATCTAATTGTCTGATCAATGAAAGATTCACAGTTAAGATAACTGATTATGGAATTCGTGAGTTTAGAAAACAAATTGATCGAATGGAAGATTTTAACCCGAGGAAATTTTTCTGGAAAGCACCAGAGCACCTTCGAGATCGTGATCCATTCAATTCAGGATCTCGAAAGGGAGATGTCTATTCTTATGGAATAATTTTACAAGAGATCATCACACGATCGGGTCCATTTGAATCGATGGAAAGATTAGGCCGAAAAAGAGCCCACATGGAACCGGACGAAATTCTCGATAGAATTAGAATGGGAATGGTTCCACCTTTTCGACCTGAAGTTTCCAGTGACGAGGCTCCCAAAGAGCTAATTACTCTTATGCATCAAGCTTGGCATGAGAATCCCGATTGTCGACCTGAATTTACGACAATTAAACCCTGGCTACGTCGAATTACAAAAGGAATTTCATCGAAAAATTTAGTTGACAATCTACTCAATCGAATGGAACAATATACCAATAATCTTGAGCGAATGGTGGAAGAGAAAACGGAATCACTTTTAGAAGAGAAGAAAAAAACGGAAGAAATTTTGTACCAATTATTACCGAAATTCGTAGCCGAAGAGCTTAAAAAAGGAGGTCAAGTTCACCCGGAAGCTTTTGACTCGGTGTCCATTTTTTTCTCGGACATAGTAGGTTTCACCTCAATCTCTGCTGAAAGTTCACCTTTACAAGTTGTCGATCTACTCAATTATCTTTACACCACATTCGATTGTGTCATTGAAAAGTACGATTGCTACAAGGTCGAAACCATTGGTGACGCTTATATGGTCGCATCTGGACTACCAGTTAGAAACGGTAAGTGGCCTGATAACTGTGTTCTTCTTGATGAATATTATTTTTTCCATGATTACAGGAGATGAACATGTTCGTGAAATTTGTCGAATGTCATTAGAACTTCGAAACAACATGAGAAACTGTGTCGTCCCTCATAGTCCATCGATTACTTTAGCCGTTCGAATCGGTGTCCATTCAGGTCCAGTTGCCGCTGGAGTTGTTGGTCTAAAGATGCCCAAATATTGTCTCTTTGGCGACACCGTTAACACCGCATCAAGAATGGAGTCTAATGGTGAACCACATAAGATTCACATCTCGAAACAAACTCGAGATATTATCGAACAACATTACAGGGAATTTATCATCGTTCCCAGAGGCGAAATCGAGATCAAAGTAAGAACTCATTTCCTCAATGTTTTCATTGTTTTCGATTCTTGAAACTTCGACCATTTATCACTCGAAATTTTAATCATCTTCATTTTCCAAACAATTTAAAAACCATTCTCACAGAATCAGCACAACAATCAATTCTCATTCATATTTTTTTTTTCAATTGATTGTTGTTCAATCAGCAATCAAGTGATTCTTCATCATTCAATCAAAATCAAAGCTCAAATTAATTCATTGTCAAGGTTTCAGAAAGTTTTTGGTCAAGTCTTAAACTTTTATCTTCAATTTAAATTTAATTTTAAATATTATCCCAAACATTTGTCGTGATTAGTTAATTGTAACAATCATAACAACCTTATTAACAATCAAAATTTTTTTGATGAATTGACAAGAAAAATATTAAATCAAACCCACTCTTGTAAATTGTTGTGATTACAATTTAATTTGATTAACATACTTTTTTTTATCAACTACAGAATATAAAATAGAATTGAATTAAATTTAATCATAAACAATTTAACAAGTGGTTTAATATAAAAAAAATCAATGAGAGACCTAAATTTGGTCATGATAATCAGAAAAGCAACAATTATGATTTAAAAAAAGATTCACTGATTAATGTATTATTTAAAATGACAATTTAATAACAATCATTGTGTCTCTTTGTAATTAAATCAACAGGTCAAGTTAATTAAGGAGTAACAATGATAAACAATTAACTTGCCCATTGAATGGATAAAGGATCTCCAAGCATTTGATTTGAATGATTAACAAACAATTTCCGTCGGATGTTAATTGTTATTCCTAATTGTGATCAACTGAGATGATTAATTGAACTTTTTTTGCTATTTCTTTGTATTTTTTTTCAGGGCAAAGGAATCATGAAAACCTATTGGTTAGAGGGCGAGGCCATTGATCCAAATCCAAAGATTACAAAAAGATGATCAATCTTACAATTGATTTCTAATCAATTAATACAAAAGAGTAACAATAAACGAGGAAAAAGTGATTAGCTTTAAGTTTTAATCATGATAATTTAAAGAGTGACGAAAACTGATCACAAAAGTTTTAATCAAATCGCGAAATAAAAAAACTTATCATTTATCATAATGAAATTATGATTTATATTTAAATGATAATCAGTTGACTACATGTGCAATAGTTAAGTAGCAATCAGAATCATGTTAATCATCATGATTACCTACAATTGCTGATGTAATTTGAATGATGATAATGATTATAAGGGAGAGAGAGAGAGAGAGCATGATAATAGGTTCTTCATGAATTCTAAAATGAAATGGACGAAAAAACAGAATTTAATGAAAGTAGAGAATGGACAATGATGACCATCATCTTCATCTTCATCCTTATCATCATCTTAATCTTCATCAAGTTACCTTTAAACACCATAATTGGGTTCGTATGATGATAAAGGTAAGATGAAGAGAGGAAAAGTTTTAAAAGATTACTATTAATGGAAAACAAGAATGAAACTGAATCACTCAGATGATGAAAGAGAGAGAGAGAGAGAGAGAGACAAATGTCATTGGCTTTGTGGATTCAGTTGACCGTGGTTGCCCTAAGGGCAAACAGTCAATGATAACTTCAAACAATTTGTACTCGTTTACAATTAAATGATTGTCCTGTTAACATTATCATCATTATCTTCATTACAATTAGTAGCATCTTCCTCATCCATGCGACTTAATCATTAAATACTATTAATAGTGTTGCACTAATTTCATACAAAAAAAAACCATTTAAATTGTTCATTTTAATTGTTACGAATTGAGTTAATTGTTGTAACTCCCACACAAACTTTTTAGATTGATAAAGCACAACTATTATATCAATATTCCTATGACAGTTTAATTGTTGTTCTTAAATTAAACTTTAATTTACTTTTCATTTTTTTTCTGATTTAATTTGTTGATTGATTTTTTTTTGGTTGATAATGTAATTAATATAATAAAAGTGAATACTCATCATTAAAGTATTGGTACAAAAGTTTAGGGAAACGTTAATACAATTATTTTGGTTTCGTTGGGTTGATTGTAGTAACAAAAATGACCTTAAATAATAGTAATAATTAAATATATATAATTGTGTATAAAAGTTTTACAGTTTGATTGCACATTATGATTAATGTTTTGTTGCATTTTAGATTGTGATTTGATTATATTGAGAATCATTCACAATTGTGAACATGATTTATAAATTTAACACTTTTAATCACGTGTTTAAAATTATCATGATGATTTACAATTAATATTAATGATTAGTGGATTAAGAAGATTCAACAGACATTTAATCACTTGGAAATGTGATAATAATCAAAGTTTTCAACATCATATTAACAATGAGAAAATATCATGTTATTAATATTTTGTTTGGATGGATAATTATGATTGAAGAAAAAAAGTTATGATGATGATAATGATGATGGCGATATTTGATGATTTACAATTAAGCGTCACTTGTTGATTCTTTGTGTTGATTTGGAATAGATTGTGATTGACTTTGCACATTAGTCGTACCGGTAATAGGATTAAATTTTTTAAGTTCACTTCGAATCGCTTGAATGATATTCTGGGTTTGCTCGGAAATATGAACTTGAATTAATTGAGGAACCGAGCAATCAACCTCATCAACACCGGATCTCATTAATGGATTCTCATAATCACCGATCATCTCTTCCTTGGTGGTAACATAGGTTATCCTGGAACCTGCATGTTGCTTTTGTTGATTAGAATGATGAGGATGAGTAACATCGTGAGAAGAACTGTTTGAGGAAATTTCAGCAATCTCATCTAATTCTCCGATTGGAATAACCTTTTCTTTATTTAATTCAAGGCGAGATTGTGATCCATGATTCGCAAAACTAGAGTAAGAACGACGAGGCCGATATTCAGCTGTTCGCAGTTTAAGTGAGCTTGTCGGTGAATCGAAAGATAAATATTCAAACTCATGGTTTGAATCAATGGTTCCAGAAGTAGCTGAACATCCCCCGGAAATGTTCAGACCAACAGCACTTCCTCCATGGCTTCCAAGAAATGATCTTTTCGATCCTGGACCAGAAACTTTTCGCCAATTAACTAAACTCTCTTTGGTGGTAAGTTTACTAACGGGTTTCGCTATTGAGCCTCTCATCTTTAACCGAGTATTACCTAATTCAGGTGGACGCAGGACACCCGATGACGAACTTGGAGATGAGCTTCGCAAACGTCTATTTTTACGCCAAACAATCAGAGTAAGAAGTGTACAGAAAATGAATAGAATGATGGACAGAAAAATCATCAAAAGAGGAAGCCATTCAAGATCTTCCAATACTGAAGCCAAGCCACTTTTCCTCTCCGACGTATTTACATAAGCTAAACAGGTAAAGAATAAGAGACAGAGATAAAGAGTGAGAAATAGATAATCATCGTTAGTAATATTTTACAATTGTAATGACAATATAATAATATTATAAACAGAAAACAAAGATAATGAATGAGAAAAGGATGAAAGTGAAAAGAAAGATGAGAAAATGGATGATAAAGTTGCATGTTGACAATAAACAAAGTAATAGGAAAATGATAATGCAAGTTAATGGTTCGGAGGATTCATGTTATGATACATGTACTACCATGAAGGTGAGTCTCGTTTCCAATGAGATTGAGTAAGAACTGAAAAAATAAAGGGTGAGCTAAATTTTGTTCACTATTATTATAATCATCATCAAGCATTATCATTTTATCATTTGTATTATTGAATCGGTATTGTGATTACTATCAACGATTCTAGAACAACTTAACCATGGACCAAGCCCATTTTTTTTATATCTACATAGGAAATGCTTTGAAAACTTTTTATCCATAACACGAAATTGTCAAAATATATGTCATTCAATTGGAAAGAAGAGAAAAAAGTTCTGTCACTGACCGGAGAGGAACAACAATTGAATCAAATTAAAGTGAATAAGGTTAATCAAGATTAACTTTTAATCATAAATTAGATGATTGTTGTTGTTTGTATGAGGTTTGATTGTTATTATGATATAATATTGATGTGAACTATTTAGACTGACCATCTCAACGAGTAACTCTTGAAAGTGAAATTAATGATTAAGACAATTAATGGTGACAATAAAGACTTACAATTAACAGGTAAAAATGAAAATTCATGTTGAGGTTCATCAGATTTTTTTTTCTTCATCATCATCATCGTGTTAATATCAAGGTTATCGTTGGTTAATGATAATAATAATGATAATGATTAACATAACAATCTAATTGATAGGCATGAGAAAGTGTACACAGAAAATTATATCTTCTTCTGAGATTATTTGATTATAATCAACATCATTTGAATTTCACTTTCACAATCATGGATAATTAATATAATCAACATTTTCTTTTGTTGATTTTTTCTTTCTCGTCCGAAAATTCAATTAAGTTAATCATGTTTATCATGCAGTTATCTTGATAATCATTTGTCAATCTTACACAAGTAATTATCAACACTAAGTGTTAACAAGTTATCACAATTAATCAATCAACAATTTTGATGAGTAAATTGTTGCAAAACAATTCAAATAGAATCAACAGAAATGATTAATTGATTGAATTTGAATATCTCTCTCTCTCTCTCTCTCTCTCTCTCTTGATTATTCTGATTTAGTTCAAGGTTATGTTTAAATACAACAAACATTAATAATAGATAACTTAATTCAGAAACAATTAACTAACAAACTTGATATTAACAATAGAGGAATACAATTTATACAGTTATTTGCGAAAGCAAAAAACAATTAAGAAACAAATTGTAAACAATTAAATCTTATGGTCAATGCTAAATGATTGGTAAATATATTCAATTCTATGAATGAATTATTATCTAATTGTTTAGTTAATATGTTCATGTTCAAATCATTTCTTTATGTTAATTGTTGATTACTGAAAAAAGACTATTAAATATTAATAGTCTCAATTGTCATGACTTGATTTGTTGGAGGAAATCAAAGATGTAAACATGAGATGGTCAGTATAAAAATGACCAAATTACTGTGTAGTAAATGTTGTTCATGTAACGTGTTGACCTCGATTAACGGTAATTTTTGGGAAAATGATGATCAAGATAAACATCAAGTGTACACCGTTCTCATCATTTTGATTCTTCAACATAATATTCTGGATTAACCAATTACCACAATTAAGAGTAATTAAAACTAAACTTTATAATGGTCTAAGGTTACAGATGCATGATTAGCAAAAAGATGATGATGATGATGCAAGAAAATAATATGAGAGAGAAAGAAAACAAAAAGAAAGTGTAAAGGATGATAAAGATAAGAGGATGATGTGAGCAGTTTTTTTTATCTTGATGACAGAATGAAAATATTATGAAAACTACACGGATCCGGAAGTTTAAACTATGTACTCATGATTATCACTATTAAAAACATATCTGTTTGTTAGAAAGGAAACTGGAAACTAATACTAATGTACCATTGAAATGAAAAACAATGAAAATAACGGTAAAAGTTAATAAGAACTTCCGGATTCTTGTGGACACCACATCACTAAAAAACGAAATGGAATCATCATCGAACGTGTCAGACATTTAATTGTATCATTTACCTTCGGCTTTAATCGTTCCATTATAACCCAAGATCGTGGACATTTCTTCAGGTGATATATGACTTAGTAGTGTTTGTAAATCTTGAGCAACAAGTTTATGATTGTCCTGTTCAATTTGATAGATTAAGTGGAAATCGTTGGTTGAATTGTTCCAGAATAGATTCCATAACTGAATTGGCCATTTAATTAATGAAATTAAGAAGGTGAAAGTTTTTCCATGAGATTTGTGAATCCATATCATGGGAAGGAAAGGTGGATGACATCATAATCATATCATTATTTTACATCATCATGGAAAAATATTCCAAAGTAATCAGTTGGAAAAGTATATTAATGATGAAAAATTCATGGAATGAAAAAAAAGATAAGATATTAATATTGATAGTGTAATAACAATAAATGATAATGATGGGTAGAAAAGGTATATAATGATGATGATTAATACTAATCACGGAAAAAAATTCAAGACAATTTGTTAATTTCTTTTCTTTGGTGGGCTTGAGGACTAAATTTAAATTAACAATCAAGAATGATCATAAATAGTATATGTTAATGATATCAAATGTTAGTAATTAGCTAATTGTTGACCTGAAGATGATTAAAAAAGGAATTAATATTTTACTCGTTTTCTTTCATCATCTTTTTTTCTTATCATTATCATGATTGTTTAGGATGCAATTTATCATCATCTTGATTTTCATTGTGAAACTTTTCAATAGAGACCAACAAAATGATGATGATGATGAAAAATTGCTAAATTATCAACATTAGATTGTTACCTTAACATGTACATCTTTCTTAATACCATCCGGACGAATCCTTAATCCTTTGAGTTGATTACGATAAGCTAAATTAAATAAATCAGCTAAACGAGTTTCAAAAATGGTTGTTAGATTATCCAAACTTAATGGCGATTCGTCATCATATCGCTTTAAAACTGGAGAGTAAAAAATGAAAAGAGTAAAAAAAATTAGTTGTCAACAATTAGAATGATAATTTAAAGTGATTACAAAGTTGATACAAAACAATTATGTTTGCACAATCAGAATATCACAATAATTAAGATAATGATAATTAAGAGAAAGGGTTGATAGGATGTTGATGATTTAATCACAATAAACTTTTCCAAGTAGACAAGGGAAAGAAGGGAAAAGTTCAGACTCATCAAATAAGAAGACTGAATGAGAAAAAAAATTTAATAAAATTTTCCACAATTAAACAGTTGATTTTTTTTTCTTCATTAAAGCAATTAGAAAATGATACAATCAACAATCAACAGAATCTAATCAAGTACCATCCGTTTTAACTTCATGCTTAGATAATCAATCGTCACTAAATGGTTGTAATTAAATTGTAAACAAATAATCAAATAAATCAACTTTATAGCGAACATAATTTTCAACAGATTATAAAGGATTGTAAATATAATTCATTGATTAACATTTAATTATAAGTTTCATGATGATTATTGGGGGAAAATCAGAGGACAAAAAACTGATCATAATTAAAAGATGATCAATTTTCTGATCTGATTCAATAATGAGATTGAAACATTGTTATCATGTTGATATTAATTTATTGCTCTATCGTAATGATTATCAGTCAATTTGGGCTTGACCAAAGTTCACAATTAACTTTAATCGTGACATTTCGTGTGATCGTAATCAGTTATGATTATAACGTTTTTTTTTAATATTTAATCAGATTATGATTTTCACTCTCTCTCTCTCTCAGTTGATCTCTTTACCTTTACCTTTTGATCTCATCTCTCTCTCTCATTTCATGACTGAAACTCATTAGGATAATATCTGAATCAAAGGTACATCATTGTTAATTCATTCATTGACTTAATACACAACATAATCATCACCATTATCATTATCACCACCTTAAATCCAATTATCAGCATCACCACAATAATAATGATCACTTTTATATATATTAACTATTAACTACATGTCATTATCACTCATCATCACCAAGATGAATGGTGAAGAATCAAAACCTCAAAATGATGACGATAAGTAATAATATAATCTTTACCTTGATTGTTTCATTAAATAAATTTGGACAAAGTTAATGATCAATTGTAATCATTGGTCATCATAACAATCATCAAACCATGAAAAAAATCTTGACCGGATATGTTCAGACTACAATAGTATCAATATTATGAATTAAAACTCTTTCAGCTTCCTGGTTTATTGTCAACCTATCCCATCATCATCATCTTCTTCTTCTCCATCATTTCTCTTCATCTTTTTTATCACCACTCTCTCTCTCTCTCTCTTTATTAGTACCCACGATTGTCATCAAGGGTAAATCATTATCGTAATCATAGCTACTATTATTAGATTACAATTCTATCAGAAAATTCAAATTTTCATCCATGTGATAATTATCATCTTCCATGATAACCTCCTGTTATCATGTTGAAAATGATGAATAGATGATGATGATCGAGGAAAAGGTGAGAAGAAAATAATGATTATTATCATGAAATAGAAAAAAGTTGCAAATTAAATTCTGACATAACCTCGGAATATTGAAGTTCATCAATTGTTACTAATGATAGAGACTTCAAAAAATATTGATATTGTGAAAAAAAACAAGGTGATTTGATAATAACTTTGCTGATGAACCGTTGATTTGTTCATAATCAATTTAAAGACTTTTACATATTAACGGAAAGAGTTTTTTTATGATCAAGTTTTAGAGACCGAAAACATGGAAACATTGAAAACGCTACTAGTGATCTGGAAAATTGTGATACGAAGGCAATTACATGGAGAGAGAGAGAGGGTAAAGTGGAGGTGGTTGAAAAGCGGAGGGAGGGTAGAGCCATCTTCATCTTAAATGGTTCCTTAATTTGGTATAAACCGTGAAAGCGGAACCAAACTGGTAAACATTATTAATACAATCATCATCATCACCACCATCATCTCCGTCATCTTAATCATCTTTACTTTTTTTCATCACTATTAGTCTAAGAGTTGCTGTTAAGTAGCATCAGCTGTAGTATTAATAGCAGCAGTGAGATGTACACACAAGGTAAAGTTTTCATTAACAGAAAATGTCACTGATCTGTGTTGGAGTAATAATCATAATCAAGGTAATGTAATTATACTTAATTTTTTTAACAAAAAGGTAATCAGCAAGAATTATGATTTACCAGCAGTAAATCAGGTTTTCTGGTGGTGATGATCAATATTCATAGTACATAAGCTACTCTGCCTCTCTAGACCAGTGTTTAGCTTAATCCTTACTTCAAATTATTGACAATTAACCAATTAACCAATGTGTAACCCTTGAGGAGTTGTTTAGTTAACTTGATTGACAGTTTTGAAGATAAAGATGATTGATAAAAACAATAGTAAAATCTCAATGCACTGGATACAAATGATGCTCAGAGTTAATTGAGGATAAAAAAAAGACAAATATTGTGATAATCAATTCAAAAAATGATTTGAAATTTATTCACAATTTGTGAATGGGAAAAATAAAGAAAAGAGTTTAACAAATAAAATACAATTAACATTAAGATCTGAATGAATGATAAAAGTGATTTAAATTAGTTTGCATTGCTGTTGATTTGTAAACACCAACAATGAGAAACAATCATTCAGTTGACAACATTTATCAAGGAAAAATAATAAAAATTAATAATCATGAATATTAATAGATTATTATAATTGGGTGAATGATCAATCAAACAATTTAACTTTTTATTTTCTCCTTTGTTTAATAGATAAATGAGTTAAAAAGTTATCAAGCAAATTCTGGAAATCAAATAAACTTAACATCTAAACAATGAATGAGTGTGTTCATGATAATTGAAAATGATGAACGAAATGATAACAAAATGGCAAAGGAAATATGATTTATATGCAAAGTTGAATATTGAAAAAAAACAGAGAATTAACAAAATAAGTTCATCTCACAAATTCAAGGTTAATATGATTTCCTGTTGAAATCATTTCCATTTCTGTGTTTCCTCATGAAATTTAACTTCAATTCAGTTGATTATTAGTTGGTTCAAATATTATTCAGTACAAATAATGAAAAGTTATCTAATAAAAGTCTATTTCCATTAATAGAAATAATAATAAATATAGTTTATTAAGATAGATTATGATGAAAGTAAAATAGGAAGAGAATCAGGAAGAAAAAGTTAAGGTAAATGAGATGATAAAATTGAAACAATGATTACAAAAGGTAAACATATACACAATTAATATCACATATATGGAAGTCAATGTGTATCGAGAAACGGTAATCAAATTGTTATTTGTAATTATTTGGCTAATCATTTTAATTGTAAATTAATTACACTTGGTGGCAAGGTTAAGGTGGATGCAAGGTTATCAATTTGAAGAGAAATTTCATCATCATTAAATTGATCATAAATTAGCGATTCGATTCTATGGGTTTACTTCGTGAAGATTAAAACAAAAACAAAATTAACTAACGATCGTACACACATCAAGTGAGAGAGTGAGTGTGAGTGAGAGACAAAAACACTAGAAGGACACTTTGTCTACACCCAAGGGCATTGTTATGTGGTCATCGACGTGGAAACATTTGCCAAGGTACATTAATACGGGAAGGGGAGAGAGAGAAAATATTTAATTGCTCCCGATCTCTTTTTTTGGCTAATCGTCATCATCATCATCATCACCATCATCGTCAACATAACCATTTTCATCACATTTAAAATTAAATCAACAATTCCTTAGTTGTATCATAATGTTAATGATGTTTATAATAATAGTAGACCAGTATTCTAATACATGTTGGTATTAAGGAGAGAGAGAGAGAGAGATGAGAAAAAAAAGTAGCACTTGATGAGTGCAAATGATTTAAGGTCTAAGCAGTTACCCAGGCAAAACCTACTCAAGTAGTCACAGTGATGGTGGTGATGGAGATGGAAAGATAAAAAATAAGGAGAAATGATGAAAATGAAGGTGATAACTAAGAAGCTGAATGCAAGATAAGTGTGTGAGATGAGAGGCGAAACAAATTAGGGAAAAATCCCCTCTCACAGAATTTAACTCAATAATCTCCCCTGAAAATTTCTTTCGTTAACAATATGTTTAGGAATAGATTTGATTGTTGTTGTTGTCGTTGTTCATGGTGGTTTAACTTGATGATTGACTTAAATGTGGCAATGGATGATCATTATAAAAGAAGAAGAAAAATCAAGCAAAATGTAATAATAACTCGTCAGTTTTTCATAACATTTTGTGGAAAATTTTTTTTTTAAAATTATCTTTTTTTTCTTCTCTCTCATTCAGGATACCATGGGAAATGAAATAATCTTTTTCTAAATTGATATGTATTCTTACCTGAACGAACGAGAAAACCTGATTCTGGTGTTGGTTGAATGAACCGATTTTCTCTGGGATCACATTTTGTTGTATTTGATGTTGCTGCTTCTGGGATTCCATGGTGATTCTGAGAATCTCCCTCATGGTGATTATTGTTATCAGTTTCATTGTTATTGTTATAATAAATATTATCGATTGGAGTGAAGGTAAAGTCTGTGGTTGGTGAATCTGTTGTCGGATCACTTGGTATAAAACTGATTGTACCAGAAAGTGCAGGGAAAAATGAGGAAGATGTTGGGCTCATATTATGGCTTAATGAAGTTTCATTAATTATCTCACTAGAATCTTTTATCGGATTGGCTAAAGATGATGAAAAGTCAATTAAAGTTGTCGGTTTTTCAATTTTGTCAAAAGTTACATTGTCATAATTAATGGTGGTGATGGTTGTAATATAACCATTAGATAATCTGTTTGGTGTTTTTACTACTGTTGGCCTCACACGGTAAATTAATGAAGATCTGGAAGGTTGATGACCATTAGGATGCTGTTGATTAGCCGGTATATCGGGAGTAACCGTGTGACTAGCATGCAAAGTATCACTGTGATTAACAATGGATGAGAATGATGATATTAAGGATGGAGCAACAAAGTTTACAACGGGAGATGAATTAACTGGACTAGATGATGATGATGATGATGATGGATAAATTGAAGAAACTAACTGAATATCATCAGTAATAAATTCAATAATTGGTGTTGACTGTACACTTGAGCTTAATGATGGTGTAGGTTCCACCATAATCTTTGATGATAATAATTCATCAGCACTTGGTAAATGTGAAAGTATATTTTTACTATGTATAGATGATGATAACTGGTCTAATGATGGCAGTGAGCTTGTTGGAATAATGAAACGGCTTATATGAGGTGCTGGCCAACGGATTCTTATGTCCCCTGTTTCTGGCCCATCTTCACCTATGAAACGGCTTATATGAGGTGTCGCCTCGACTTGTGGTGAAGTTTTGGTTGGATTAATGGATTTTGATGATTTTGGCGTTTTAATTGAGTCAGTTGTTGACGAAATTGATGAAACCAAAAGTGTGAACTCTTTTGATGAAGATGGCCCATCATAAGGGTCAAAGTTAATTGGTGCTGGCCAACGGCTTCTTGTGTCCCCTGTCTCTGGCCCATTTTCACCTTGAAATGACCATCAGGATAAAAGAAACAAAAAACAAAGACAAAAACAAATAATGTTATCGTTACAGTTGATAAAAAATGATTACAGTCAACTACCTAAAATTGTCCACTTTTTGTACATGAAATTTTCAGGGCGCGAAGATTGAAAGTAACTGGAATTGGTTAATAATTTAAACCAAAAAAATATTTAATTTAATTTGTATCAAAAAATTGATCATGATTAATCAAAGGATCAGGCTCATTTAGATTAAGTTGATTCATAAATTCAACATGATTAGGCAAATCATTAATATACAAGGATAAATTACTTAAATCATTAATTACATTATCAACATTTTCTTCAACAATTAAATCAACAGATTCACCATTTAGACCCGATTTTTTCCAACAATTAACAATTGTTTCAATTGTGACTTCACTCCAACTTTTACAAGCCCACTTAATTGCTGAATTTAATTTAATTTCTTTTTTGATTTGATTGATTTTCTTGCCGCTTTTAAATTCATTGTAAACATGGTTGATTAAATGTGAAGCAAATTTCGATTTAAATGATTTGATTATACCACAATCGAGTGGTTGTAAATGACTAGTAGTATTTGGTGGTAGATATTCAAATTTGATTCTTGGATAATCAGATTGATTAACATTATGACCATTAAAATTATCAAGAATCAAAAGAATATTAGAATTTTTTTCTTCGAGTGTTGAATGTAATTTAATCAACCATGTTTGAAATAACCGAGATGTTACCCAAGCGGATGATGATGAATCATAATCATATTTATAATTGTTCAAATCTTTATCTCTTGACCATCTAGGATTTTTAGCACTTCCGACTATCAAAGGTAATTGTTTATGACCTGAATTTGAGCAGCATAACATCAACGTTACTCTCTCTTTATTCAATTTACCTCCAAAATGGCTAGTTTTTGATATAAAATAAGATTTAGATGGCAACAATTTATAAAATAATGATGTTTCATCAAGATTGTAAATTTGTTCATCACAATAGAGTCTCATTAATGGTTGGATAGTTAATCTGTATTGATTTATCACATTTAAATCAACATCATTTGATTCACCTGAAAGTTTACCAAATTTTAAATTATTTCTTGAACAAAATTTACTCAGCCACTGATCACTGCACCTTAGGTTAAATCTTCCTTGATTTTCAGCAATTAATTTTCCTTCTTTTTTAATTAACCAACCACCTATGGGAAATCCCTCATCTCGATACTCTTTCAGGACCTTAATTAGTTCATCATCATGATCTTTCACTTTCTTATTAATTCCAACACTAAAAATAAAAAAATTAGAATAAATTTCTCACAATTAAATGTCTTTTCTGAACTTACTGTTTAAATTTGTTCTTGTTTTTATTTGTTTTTCTGATATTTTTCTCGTTATTTCGATACCTTTTAATTGTTCTTTCTGATAACTTATATTTACACAAAACATAATTTAAACCAAATTTATCATATTCATTTAGAAGGTTAATTTTTTCACTAATTTTTAATTGTCTGTTTATCATTTTGCTAACATTTAAAGAAAATTTAACTAAATTAAATTCGACGATAATGTTTTTTTCTAATTTAACAAGATGGAGCCACGATCGATCGGACAATTTTAGGTAGGACAAAATTAGGTAGTTGACTGTAATAGAATCAATAATAGATTGACAAATTAATCAGACAAAAAGATACAAGTACTTACAGGAATGATTAGTTTCAACTTTTAAGGCATCAGTAATTAGCAATTGAGGTAACCACTGATTAGTTGTTGAGAAGGAGAAATGAAGATTATCAAATTAGTGGTAGACAAAAAAAAGAAAATTAAGAAAAGAGAAGACATTAATGGCGGATTAATAATAAGGTGAAAAAATGGAAAGTTTGAAAAGAGAGAAGAAGAGAACAAAAGTATAATCAATAGAATAGAAAAAAAAAGTAAAGACAAAAGAGAAAAAAAAATAGAAGAGAATAGAACAAAAAGAAATGAAAAAAAAAGATGGACGATGAGAGGGAAAAAAAGAAAACACATTTATAGAATTAGAATAATTTAGAATAATTGATTAATTAGACTTACTGATGTGATGGAGACAATTAGAAAGATGATTTTGAATTGGATTAAATCAATATCCATAATGTGGATTAACGTTGAGGATCATCAACAAATGATGAAAATCATCAAGAGAAAGTTAAAAATGGAGGAAAAGTTAATCGATGATTAAAATGATCACAATTTAACCAAAGATGATTGCGAACATGGTGAAGTGAAAGAGAACAATTGAAAATAAGAAGAGGTCATTTCCATGATGATGAGAATTAAAGTAGAATAGAATCTCGAAGGCAACCGTTTAATGTCAACACAAGAAGAGAAATTAAATAGATTGAATAGAACATAACTGAGAGACTTTTTCCAATCAAAAACATAACAGTGAGAGAGAAAGAAACGAGTGAGAGAGAATACAAACAAAAAAGAGAATTAGAAATAAGTTGTCATAGAAATTTCTCTTTTGATATCATTACATGAATAATAATGGAAGAAGTTGATGATATTCACAGAACATAAAAATAGGAAGAGAATTGGAATTTTCAGTTATATGAGCGGAAGAAGATGAAAGTATTGACCAGTAAGATGAATAATGGATAATGATGACGATGGAATAGAATAGAAATTTTATTAATTTCAATCACCAAAAGAGAAGAAGAAGAAGAGAATAGAAAACAAAAGTGAAAAAGAGAAAAGAATATTTAATTTTCGGGATAAAAAGGCGTTTTTTTCTCTTCTTTTCTTGATCACAGAAAAGCGAAGATGATGAGGATAAATTTCGTGATGTTTGAGGAAAAAAAGAGAAACTGTAATCACGATGGTTTAAAGGTGAATGAAATGTTTTGATGATGATGATGAGAGATGATTAAAGATTATGATGAGAAATATATTAGGTTAATATCAGGGTGAGTCTTTGTAATCACAAGAAGATTAAAATTCAGGTAAGACACAGAAACAAACAAAAGATTAAGATGTAAGTTAATCGATGATTGTGATGGAGAAAAAAAAAGAAATTGATTGTTGATGTTGATTGTTGGCCTAATGGAGAAAGAGTGGGAGAGATGGTAAGTAGAATGAGAGAGAGAGAGAGAGAGAGAGAGAGAGAGAGAGATGATGATGATGATGAGGTTCTTCCAGCAACTAACACTTACAAATGAATATCAAGTGAGCGGTTTATAAGGTTAGAAGGGAGGAGAAGAAAAAAAAGAGAGAAAATTTATCTTCTCTCTCTCGAAATCATTGATACTTTAGAAACACACACACATGAAATTCATTCATCTCTTGTTAATGTAAACCAACTGAATGAAATGATGGAAACTCTTTTTGGAACCGGAATCTGTTTTTCTGATTCCATCATCAATTCATCTTCTTTTCATCATCATCATCATGGGCTGGTCATCGATAGATACACAGGTAACATTAGTAAAGAAATGAGATCATTTTTTTCAAAGTTTTTTTCTTTCTATTCCAAAGATAACTGATCTTTTCTTTTGTTTATTTTTCTTTTTTTCAACGAAATGACCACTGGTCAGAATCAACTGTTTCTCTCTTTCTTTCTTTCTCTCTTTTAATGACAACTCTTTCATCCGTTGGTCAATTTATGGACAATCAGTTGATACTGTTACTCTTGAAGGGATAAATATAATGATGAGAAGTTAATTGGACTTATGATGATGATGATGACCAACAAATGGACAACTGTTTATGTTATCACTTGATTGTTGATTCTTGTTCATGATTAGTTTTGACAATGAAATCATTTTTTTTATTTTCAACAATAATTGTCAAGGAAACTTAGTAGATCCGGTTGATTAACGTCAATACTTTTACAAAAGTAAATGATTTAGTAATTGTTACATTGCATTAACTACTTTTTTTCCGTTGATTGGGTTGGGATAATAATTAGCAATTTATTTAATCACATTGTTGCATCAGCAATTGATTCTGTGATTGTTTATCCTGTTTTCTTGATGATATAATAATAAATTCAATTATCCTAATCATTGGTAATTTTTTCTAATCACTGTTGATCAAATTGCTTTGCAACATCCTGAGATTTATTGATTACATACTATTAATCTACTAAATCAGTCATCTGATTGTTCACCTAATTGTTTCCAAATTGTTCTCAACTTGTTTTCTAATTCAAGTTATATTTGATTAACTTACTCTAAGATTCAAACATGGTTTCAATTGGATGATGAAAGATGAACATTGAAAATACTAATTACAATCAACCACTTTAATCATAATCATTTAACCAGAAATATTAAATTGCTTCAAATTAGACAAACAAGTGGTATCTCTCGTCACAATTAACAACTAATCTAATTTTGTTTTAATCACAATTTTGATTGATTTTTACAAATTCACTCAACAAATACAATAAAAGCAATTTAATCATCTTGACCAATTCAATTTGATTCTATTCCTTTTTTATATTTGTCTTTCAATTGGTTGTCAACGTTAATTGTTTCTTTTCAATTGATTTGATTTCATCTAAATCTTCAATTGTTAATTACACTTACAATTAATTTTCGTGAGATCAACAAGTGACATCTGTTGACGAAAATATCAACTAATCGATGTTTTGTTTTGATTTTTGTTTTGATGAAATTTAAAATTTTCAATTGTGTTTTCTCAGTGTATTGGCTTTTGTTAAATTGTTTAATCTAATTGATTAATCTGTTGATTAATTTCTTTTAAAATTCAGGTACCATGGATGCAAATACTTTAAGTGCTAAAATAATCAAAGCTGAAATGCTTGGTGACATGGATCGAGTAGAAGAGTTGAAGAAACAACTTGACCAATTAACCAAACAATTGCCAGAATCATTTAAATCTACGAACAATCAACGAGGTAGAGATAATCATAATCCAAATTATCATCATCAACATCATCATCGTAATCATAATCGTCCAAAAGATTCAGGGAATACAAATGAATTGAACAAGTTAAATGCTAAGATAATAAAAGCTGAGTTAATGGGTAATCAGGATCTTATCCAAGAATTGAAATCTCAACTTGAAAAGTTAAAGAAATCATCTGATGTTCAACAATCAAATCAACCATCTAAATCTGATCAACAGGTAAATCAAAATTCTCCGGACAATTTGAATAAACTGACCGCTCAATTGATGAAAGCTGAAATGATGGGTGATCTTCAACGAGTGGCAGAATTAAGGAAACAATTAGGATTCAATGAAGATGATAATAGTGATCACGATGAAGATTTAATCGTAACCCAAGGATCTCAATTGGGACCCACAAATGAGCCCACCAGAAACGCTAAACTAAATCAAATCGCCAAGAAAATGTCTTCAGATAGATTAGGTTTAAAACAAATGGTAATTGAATCAACTGATAGTTAAATTTGTCTCCATCTAATTTGTTTTGTATCAATTTTTGCTTTCAGTTTGTTAGTGCCAAAAGAGGGGACGTTGAAGACGAAGCTAAATTGTTCATCGCCTCATCATCTAAATTAATCAACATGGACGATGAATATGAAGATGTTGTTCGGAAAGGAAACAAGAAACGTAAACAAGAAGATAGAGAAGATCGTCCAAAGATAATTCCCGATGAGCCCGAAGAAATTGAATGTGGACATTGCGTTCAAAAAGTTCCAAGACGTTTAGTTATCGATAAAAAGTCAACCGTTTATCTTTGTTTACCTCCTCATGAACCTTTCGTTGATGGTCATTGTTATATTCGTAGTGTAAATCATGTAAGATGTTCAGTTGAAGCAGAGGAAGATTGTATCACCCAAATTGCTGAATTACGTCAACAATTATGCCTCCAGGCTAAAGCTCAAAAAAAGAGTGTGGTTTTCATTGAGATGTACCTGAAGAAAGGGCGAAATAAACATTTCCAGATTGAATGTTTTCCTATTAAGAAAAAGTATTTATCTGATTGTAAAATGTATTTCAAGGTAAGTTTATTATCAACTCGAATTTAATTGTTGAAAGTTTATATTTACATTAACTTCTAATCATTTAATTAGAAAGCGATTCTTGAATGTGAAATGGAATGGTCAATGAACAAGAAACTGGTCGAGATTAAAGATAAGTGTATTACTAAATCAGTAAGTATTGTGCAATTTGATGTGTTGTCACAATCAACTAATTGTTCAATTGTGATTTTCTATCAGATTCCAAAAGGACTTTCATATTTTTGGGTCTCTTTTGGTCCAACAAATGATAGTTTTGGACACGTTATTGAGGAGGAACAATATTTTCCTAAACACTTCGGTTATGTAAGTTGATTCAACTAATTTTTCCCTATCAATCAATTGATTTTTGATTTTCTTCATAACTAATTTACTATTTTTAAATTATTCCAGGAAGTTATCTCTGGATTACTTGACATCGACCGGTTCAAATACACAAAACCAAGACCCGAATCATATGAGCAACAAGTGGAAAGAGCAAATAAATTCCGAGCCATTTGGAATCAATCAACAATAGATGAACAATCAACCGATTCCGAAATAATGAAAACATGAAACTGTATTAATTTTAATAATTGTATAAAACCATAACAAATTTCTTCGAATCTAAAACGGTAAATCCATTGATCAACAATCCACCGAAACTTGATAGGATTATTTGGAATCAAGAAAACACGTCCTGCAAAGATAACTCATCTCGCGAATATGTAAATTCAATTTCGATCCTTCAATAGATTATCCTTATAATCCATTAAGGAATCACATGATCGAGGTGAACCGTCAATAACCATCATTATATTTATCCCTCCAAGAGTAACAGTATCAACTGATTGTCCATAAATTGACCAACGGATGGAAGAGTTTTCATTAAAAGAAAGAAAGAATGCGAGAGAGAGAGAGAGAGAGAAACAGTTGATTCTGACCAGTGGTCATTTCGTTAAAAAAAAGAAAAATAAACAAAAGAAAAGATCAGTTATCTTTGGAATAGAAAGAAAAAAACTTTGAAAAAAATGATCTCATTTCTCTACTAATGTTACCTGTGCATCTATTGATGGCCAGCCCATGATGATGATGAAAAGAAGATGAATTGATGATGGAATCAGAAAAACAGATTCCGGTTCCAAAAAGAGTTTCCATCATTTCATTCAGTTGATTAAGTGTGTTTTTCTCAATGATTATTACGATATCGATAGAAAAAGATTGAGGAAATAGTGATGAATAAGAACCATGGAAGGAATAAGAAATACAATTTGAACAAAGTAAAAGGCCTCAGGCTGTTAATGAAAACATCTCCTTCGAATATCATCATGGAGATGACCTTATCTTCAATAGATAATAAATATCAATAACTGTTCTCCATTAATTGATATTTTTAATCACCAATTTAATCTTCTTGTTGACGATCTTCAACGTTAATCTATTATAATACATGATGGATATTGATTAAATCCAATTGAAATCCAATTCCCAACGCTAAAACAAACAAACCTCTACAGATAAATACCCAAATCTTATCTCGATCAAATTATTTTCGAGTGATTGAAGCTCTCAATTAAGTAGTAACAATCAACCTAGAGGTCATGATAATTTACTTTATTATTAATTGTCAACGTTCAGTTTATAACTTCAATTAGAAATTAAAGAGTGTCAATCATCAATTCTTTTCAATGGACTTCAAAATCAACTTTCTTTTCGCAATTTATTTCATATCGATCTGTCTGTCCACCGCAATTAACTCAGATGATCCTGATTTACACCGATCAACCGTTGAAATAATTGAATCAAGAGGTTTCATTGCTCAAGTTCATCAAGTGATTACCAAGGACAATTATCATCTAACTGCTCATCGAATCGTTAATCCATTATGTTCAAAAGGCGAACCCGTTTTACTTCAACATGGTTTACTTTCATCTTCAATTGACTTTGTTATTAATTCACCTGGAGGTGATTTAAACAATTTACTAATCGGTAATCGAAGCATCAATTTAAAGAAAGTTAGCCCATTTAAATATCGATCATTGGTTCGTAAGCAAAGGTCAAATTCAACAATCGGTAATAACATTGGCTTCGTATTGTCATCACTTTGCTACGATGTTTGGATGTCAAATTCACGAGGAAACATTTACTCATTTAATCATCAACAATTTAATTTGAGTGATAAAAAATTTTGGAAATTTTCGTTTGATGAAATGGCTCAATATGATTTACCGGCTTATATTGATTACATATTAGAGACAACAGGTTACAGTGAGTAATTGAATTATTAATATTATGATAACGAGTGAATATCAAAGATTAATTATCGTTAATTGTTAACCAGGTAAATTAAGTTACATTGGTTTCTCCCAAGGAACAACCCAAATGTTTGCCTTTTATCAACAAACACTTCCTATTCATCGGTGGTCAAGCCATTTATCGCAATGGCCCCAGTGGCCTCAGTAACACATATCAAGTCGCCGCTGGTTAAAGCCGCTTCGGAAACATCATTGGTAAAGGATTACCTAAGGTAAGGTTAATTGCGCTGATGATTGTTTGTTGATTGTTTTCATTTGCTTCATTTAGATCTCAAGTTGGTCCATTTGTTATATCTGATTCAACTTTCCAATTCTTGGCGAAAACATTTTGTCACAATAAATTAGATGTCACTTGCCTCAATATCCTCTTTATATTAACTGGTTATGATGCTAAGGAAATGAATCAAACTAGATTACAAGTTTACTTTGAACATACACCGGCGGGAACGTCCAATTGGGCGATCGCTCATTACTTGCAAATGGTCACTTCGGGTAAATTTTGTAAAATGGATTATGGTAAACACGCTAATCTGATTAAATATGGCCAGGTAAGTTTTTCTAAATTGTTCTCATCTGATTAAGCTAATGTTCTGAGATATTTTCAGCCTATTCCCCCGGAATATCCTCTTGAAATGATCAATTCTAAGGATATTATTCTCATGTCCGGATTAAACGATTGGTTAGCAGATCAAGAAGATATTCAACTGTTGAAAAGTCGATTAAAAGGTAAGTTAATTGTTATTCTATTCGAAGAGATAATCTATTTCACTTTCTTTGACTCTTTCAGTTCCAATTAAAGACGATTACGTAGTCCCTCTTGATCATTGGAATCACATTGATTTTGTTTGGGGCAAAGATTTGGGACAATTAGTCAATTCACGAATAGTTGACATTCTCAATCAATATTGGCCTTCATAGAATCACAGTGGCAACAATTTATTTTAATCTCAATAAAATTCATGATAAATTTTCTAAAGAAAATCAAAACTTTATGTTCTGTACATGGAATTTTTTTAAGAAAGGAAAGAAAGTTTTTACTCTTTGCTCACGAGTGAGTCCCGAAGTCTTTATTGATTATTTAATCATTCACCTTTTCTGACAACTGTGAAAATCAATCAATCAAAAATTAACTCAAAATTTGACCAGAACAAAATTAGATTAGTTGTTAATTTCGACAAGAGATGTCACTTGTTGATCTAAATTTAAACAATTTAATTTTTCTGGTTAAATGATTACGAGCAAAGTGATTGATTGCAATTAGTATTTTCACCGTCCATCTTTGTCCATTTAATTCAATCATAATCTCATTTATCATGCAGCCTTTGAGTAAATAATGTTATTGGAGAAACCGAATCAAATTCAATTCAAGTGAGAAAAATTTATTCGAGAAAAACAATTGTCATGATATTAGATGATTAGCAACTCTTGTAGTGGAACTTGTTTAGATTTGATTATTAAAAACATGATTAATGATCAATAAATTGTAGAAATTGTGACGTTTAAAAAAAACAATGAAATTGATTCATACATTTGATTCGGTTAAAGTCTAATTTCAAGGTATTATTATGATTAACCAAATGATTTTGGTTAAATGTTGATGAAGATTATTGGAAAATCAAATTGAGAAGTTGATGTTGATTGTTTTAATTACATGAAAGGAGCCTCCTCAATACGATGATAAGCTTTATCTTCGGCAATACGTTTCTCATTAAAATATTCTGGATAATTAAGGAAAGGTGAACACTCCGAATGAAGTAAACGTGTCTCATTGAGCCAAGGCCTTGACAAAACAGTAATTTTGCATCGTTTAATTGTCTAAAAATATTTCAAGAGATTGGAAAGAGATGAAAAATTGTAATTAGCATTGTTTAAAATGTAAACATCTTAGGACTTACAGATTTTTGATCAAGCGAACATTGTTCAAGTTTATCTGATTCCACTTCGTTTTTACGACAAGTTGTCTTTCCTATGTCCATGGTAATGTTATATTTAACTCCAGAAACTACTTGTGATAAAGCTTCATGAATATGGATCAAGTTTTCATAATGAGCATCATTTGAACGATCATTAAGAGTTTTGGTAGCAAATTTTGCGTTTTCCTTAACACTTTCATGGTTTACATCTTTGGGTGACCATCCACCAACCAATCGTCCAACTTCAAGATCACAATGAAAGAGAAATGAGAATAAGAGAAACAAGAAAAAAACAAAGAATAATTATCAAAAACAAAATCACAATCAGGCTCATATTATCACTATAACCCTAAAGCCTAAAGCGAATCAAAATAAACACAATGACTTCAACTATTTAAATCCATTGAAATCTTACCTTTATCGATACGAGATGAAACCAAATAGGCAAAGGTAATCAGAAGAAACAGATTCCTGATCAACAAAATCATCTTTCAATTAGAAACAATGAGAAAAAAGAAAATTAATTAAAATAATTGAGAGAAGAAACAAAAAAAAGAAACTGTGAGAATGTAAACAAACCGAATCTCCAAATTTAGAAAAGAACAGAAAACAATTGTTTCCATTAGATGGCGACACTGTTTTCTCTCATTTTCGATTATCAGAAATTGTGACAAATTGTAAGCGACAATTAAGATTCTTTTCTTGCTACGATAACTCCAATTTTCTACTTCTAACTTGGTTCAATTTTGTTTTACTTTTTTCTTTAAATTTAAGACTTTGAAAACGATCATTCTTATGAAAGAGAGAAAGAGAAATGAAATGATATCAATGACAATGATTATCTTTCGGGTATTGGGTTACCTTACAGAATTACGCCTCTGTAATTTGGTTAGTAAGAAATTGACTTGCAATCTCAGGCTAACATGTTATTCACAATTACCTTGGTTGTCATTATCATCCAGATGATCATGTTCATCTTCAATCTTGTTTCTCTCTCATTTCATCTCATATCTGTTCATCTCTCACTCCCAATCCAATAACTACTTATTTCATTTCTCTCTTTTTTTTCGTATAAATACTGTTTACCTTCATCTCTCTTCCTTGCTCATGATGATTATTTCTTTCCCATAACAATCATCATCCAAATTGTATATTTCCACTTTTACTCTAATCAACCCACTTGCCTTTCTAACTTTTTCGAGGTAAATAATGGTAACAACAATGATTAACTCAAGCCTGTTATCATTTTCCATGGAGAGATGAAGAAAAGAAGATCAAGTGAAAAAGGGTAAGAGGAAAACGATTTTTTGATGAAATATCATGAAAAGGAGAAAAAGTTCACAATTTAATACAGATATTAATTATCTTCAAGTTTCAAGTTAGTGAAAGATTTACGGTTGCAATTGAAACTGTTTCTCTCTTTCCAATTCTAATACATTTTCTTCAAAGAAATAATGTCTAATCATATGATCCTTATATACTTTTTTTCTTATTCCTCTTCTCTCACAGATTAATCTTACATTTGAAAAGAGAATAAAAAACTGGGAGTTCTTTCGCCCATTGGAATATCCTTTTACCGTTGTATCTTTTTCTCTCTTTCTAGGTTTAACCACCATTTCTTCTTCTTTCTTTCTCTCTCATCTATTCCCAGTTCTGATTAAATGATGATGAAGATCAGAGAGAAGATACTGAGAGAGAGAGAGAGAGAGAGAGAGAGAGAGAGAGAGAGAGAGAGAGAGAGAGAATAGAGTGAAACAATCTCAATTGAAGAATGATGAAGACACACCGAAATGGAGATAAAGTTTAACTAAATTGTTTGCCCAAATGATTGTGTTCTGTTTTGATTGGAGAAAGCTCATTGATTTAATGATGAACGAAACATTTAAGCAGAATAAGAAACAAATAAGAAATTGGTATAAGGAAATCCAAAATCACTTTGGATTCAAGATTAGAGAGAGAAGGAGAGGGAGAGGGAATAAGCTGAATTTCTATGGTGAAAACCGTCAAGCTAAAAAGAAAAGAGGAAATAAGAAAGAAAATAAATCAAAATAGAATCAAGACGAAAGATAGAAGGTGAAAAAAGCCAAAGGATTGTAAAAGTGACCAATGTTTATCTCACTTCTCATCACCATCGCCATTATCATTATCCCTTTTTCCATTCTCATCTCAACTGATTCTTACCTTCCCAAAGAAGTGGTTGGAATGTATAAGAATCTCTCGTCAGGGCATAAAAATGTACCAGAAATCCGCTACAAAAGTGAAATGATTAGCTCGGTTTGTTTGATAATTTTTAATCTTTTAAATAAATGAGAAAAAATTTGCAAAAAAATTTTCACATCCAAATGTAATCTTCTCCGACTTTGAGAGGCCACTGTTTAGCAAGGCTCTTTGGAAAAGTTCCAAATCAGAACATAACAAACTTTTATATTTTTTTCTATTGAAACGCGAAGAGAGTAGTTGCACTTTCTTTCACGCGAGTGGAATCAGAATCTTGTACTCACTCTGTCCTGGAAAGTTTCAAGACATCTCGTCAAAAGACTGAGGGTACGAAAGTCATCATGGCTAATAAAGGGACAACCTAATACTGTGGTGGCAAGAGCTTCCCGGTTTGTAAGGCTATTAGTTATGGGCGATATTTGAAAAGATTTTCATCGACGATAACGATATTTATATTTTTTATCATCAATAAATTCAATTTTTAGCGACAGAGAAAAAGACAGTATTTAATGTAAGAGAAAGAGAAAATGCGGGGAAAATCGGCGAAAAATCTGAAAAAATCTCATGTGTTGAAAAGAAAGTGAAAAGGAAAGAGAAATATTTACCAATATTTTTTATATCGATGATAAATTAGCACAAAAATAGCGATGATATTTATCGATACCGTTAATATCGCCTATCATTAGGCTCTGAAAATCGGAAGCGGGAAAACTAGTTCCTTTTGCAGCTACTGGTAATGGACTCAAAATTATCAATAATCTTTTCATCAATTCGCATATTGAATCTTCAGAAAAGGGATATTCAAAATTTGCCAATTGTCACAGTAGAGGATAGAGATAATGATAATGCTGCTCAATGAATTAACATCAACACTAAAAAGATAACTGGGAATGAGAAAAGGAAAAATGATATTTTCCATTTCTTTTTAGATAATTTTTTCTTCCATATTCATCATCATCGCCAACATCACCACTGCCACTTCCGTGTTTATCATTGTGTTCATGGTAAGATTCCTATTCATTTGATTGGCCATGAAGATGAAACAAGAAGAGGAAAAGCTTTTAAAATCCTGATAATAATAAGGATTACGGAAGATTAATCACTTCCGCTTTGAGTTTGGTTCGTTGAAGCTTGAAATGATCACTAAGACTTGGACCAAATTCAAACAGTTATCATCATTTTCATCTTCATTTTCAATGAAAAGTGAAAACATTTTTCTCAATCAATGTAATTTTAACCAGAAAATTGAATTAACTTTCAAAAGACTTCAATCTATTCCTCTTCCTTTTCCTATTCAATTTCTAATATACACTAACCTTATATTGTATCAGCTCTTCAGCTTAAGAGTTATCATAGATAATCAACTAATCTATTATTGATTGTATTTAGTTGATTCATTGTACAAATTGTTGTTTCTTGTTTTGATATTCTTTCTACAAATAACATGTATAACAATTTATATCAAATCAAATTAAATCACAACTTTGAGCCATAATCAACTTGAAAAATAAAAGTTACAGTTCTAAATCCTTCAATTTCATTTCAAACAATCAATTTATAACTGTAACAATCAATCTCGTCAATTTCTTACTTAACAAACTAAACTTTTTTCTTAATTACATACTAATAATAATAACAACCTGTTGTAATCATCAAATTGTAATCGAAATGCTCACAATTAATCAAACTAATTGGAATCATTTCCATAAGAAAAATAATAATATTATAATCTGTATTTAAAAAATTTCATCCAAGAAAAGATTATCTCTCAACACTTTTTGTTTATTTTGATAAAAATACAGAATCAGCTGATGATTGTTTACCTAAACTATCAACGTATTTAAAGGTAATAATGATCATGATGATTTTCCTTAATAACATAATAATCTACCAGCAATCAGCCTTCATCACTAATTTAATCCCTATTGATTAACATCCTTATAATAGTGACTATCAACATGATAAGACAGTCATTTGAAAAAATCAGCAAATTAAGTTTAATTGTTGCTAATTATCAAAATTATTTCCAACAAAGAGTAGAGCAAAAAACTACCAACTAATTAACAATAATTGTTAAGATAAACAAAATCCAAATTTTAGAAAACCAATTGATAAATCAGCTGATTTTTTCTTAACTAAACTTATAACAATATTTATGTTTTCTTTTATTTTTGAATAAAAGAAATGAACATTTTGATATCAAGGTCATTTTATGGTCGCCTCGTTTCTGGCTCATTATTGGTTGCAAATTTGGTTCTGGTCATCTATTGACCTTGCTAATAAAATATGACAATTGAATATTGTCCAAATCCTCAGAACTTGAGTCTGGGCTCTAAATACCCAAAGAAAAATGATTTTTTTTGCAAAAAATCTCACAATTTACTCGTTAGAAACTTAAGTTAGTCAAATGTGCTGTAATTTGATTGTTCTTGAGTCTCAAGTATCAAGATGGTGATTTAATTAAATTGAGATGGTGACAATCAAGAGTTTCAAAACAAAGAAAAAGCAACAACATTAACAATCAAGGAAACAATCAACTGATGATTAAAACTCTGGTCCAAGATAATTGTGTGATTAAATTGATGATAAAGATGAAGATGATTTTATGATGAATTTAATAAAATAATGGGTTAAGTTGCTTTTCAAAATTGGTTACATGGAAGATGAAGATGAAAGAGTTGAGTGACTTAAGGAAAATCTAAAATCTCTCTTAGCATCATCATCATTCATTGAATTTATCAAACATTAAAATGATCACAACAAAAGGGTTTTCTGGTTAAGCGAGAAAATTGTTTTTCTTATTCTTTTTTTTCCATGAGAGATAATTTTTCATGAGAATTTCAATTGAATAAGTTTCAAAGTTTCAAAATTTCATGGAACAGGAAGAAGAATTGAAAAAGGTGTCGTTAAAGATGACAAAGATAACAAAATCATCTTCAACCATACCAGTAACCAGAGAAACAGAGCAATTTTCACCATAAACGATGATGATAATTCCAATGATGATGATTTGTCTTATCATCTTCATATCATGATAATCATGTTCGGTTTGACTGGATGAGATAAACTGTCTATTAATATCAAGAATTTTCTTCGCTTCTCCCATAAGATAATGATGATAAATCCTGATGATTATGATGATAACAATTTACTGATTGATGAAACTTCATTCATGTTATGATAACTTTTTTTTTCTTCTTTCACTTTCAACATTTTTCATCAATTTTCACTTGGAAGATGAAAAGAAAGTTGAGATTCATTCATCTTTCTTTTCATCTTCCTTTTTCGGTCACAATATCATCGTCATCGTCATCATCATGGAAATTCATCTTCTTCAGAATTGTTTAAGATAGAAAATAATATTAATATTATGATGGATATTATTTCTTACGATTAGAATGAAACAAACCAGGAGATACAGTTTTTCCGCCTTTGGGTGATGATGATATTAATGCTGCTCAAGGTGATGACAATGATGATGTTGAGACAGAATCAACTTAATCTTTGATAAAATAGTTCATTAGCATTAGATTATCATTAAGAGTAGGAGTGGAAACAATAACAAGAACTTAAATTAACTTTGAGTAGAGTGGAAAGAGAGAGAAATTAAAATGATTATTAATGATAATAATGATGATAAGTTGATTAACATGAATATTAATCAGCTTGGTTGTAGCAAAAAGATAATTAATATTATCATGATTAACATTCGCTGAGTGATTGTAGAAAATCAGCTTAAATTGTTGTTTTCGTAGGAGAAAAAAATTACAAGAAACAATCAAAGCTTCATCGTTAACGTGATTTGTTGATTGTAATGAAGATAATCAATAATTAAGTCTGATACATTTATACTCTGTTATAATCATTTCATTCACATTGAAATATTATCTCATTCAGATTCTGAGTTATCTTAACTTTTTGAATCAGTTATTAAGTTTAATACGATTAGCATCATCATCTTCATCGTTATCTTTATTATCTGTGTGATTATTGATGATAATAATAGAGAAACTCTCTCTCTCTCTCTCTTAACTCTAATGAATACAAGGAATTTCGCTCACACAAGAGTTTCAAGTGACCTTTGGAGGTTTTTTCGGGAAATGACAACAATGAACTTGAAATTTGAAATTTGAAAGGTATAAATTCACTGATCAAGCCTGACCTTCATTTGACTTTTGATTTTTCAGATATTAAATGAAATGTCTTAGTCGATAAGAAAACTCCTGTATATTAGAACCATTGAATTATCTTCGTCTGAATCAGAATGAGGAAGTGAAAAGAAAAATAAGATTGAGTAAAAAACCGAGTTAAAGGATATAATGGATTTCATGTAGCTCATCGTAATTTCTCCTCCTCATCATCATCATGATTATCATCCTGGATCATCCGTATGCTCATCATTTCTCACGTTCACTCAATTACTCGTCTAGCAGAGATGATGAAGATGATGATAAGAAGAAGCAAAATGAGAAAGTAAGATTCACGATTAAAGTAATGGTTTTCACCCCAATCATTATTAGATTGCTAATTAATTAGTCTAACCAGTTATTTGGATGAAAATAATACTTTGATTCATTTTACCTTGATTTCTGTTCTTGTTTTATCTTATGATGAGAGAAAATAAAACAAAGTTCTGTTTCCATACACAACCATATATATTTTTCACCATCTTCTTCCCATTTTATCATCTTCATCATTATATCAACAATATGATTCAGCGCAGTTGAAATTTCATTCTCATTCGGATTCTAGTTTTATCCTCATTTCTTATCATCATCTCACTCCCAAAGTTCCAACTCCAAGCTGAGTTTGTGTCTTTCAGTTGAAATCGTAATTCAGAACAAGAAAAACGATAAAAGTGATAAGAGAATCTTTTTCTCTTCCTTCTCAAAACTAAATCAGTTCTGTGCTTACCTTTTATTTCCCATCCTAAGTGATTATTTAAAAAGTTAATCAATGTCTCCACAATCAACAGAAAATCAATCGATTCCAAGAAAGTGCAGAGAAAGAAAAAAATTCTAGAAATAGAATCAAAACTTCAAAAGTTACTCGAAAACTTTTTTTTTCTATTTGTTTCCAATCCTTTTATCAATTGAATTGGAAACAAAAATAGAGAAAAAAAAATCCAATTGAATTGAGTTTGATTAACATACTTATTAAGATGTAGGAAGAAACTAATATAACAAAATGAATTGTAAACTAATCACAATTCAACAGTCAGGATAATGTTTGGCAACAATCAAATTGATTTGCTACAAACAACTCGCATGATAATGATTATATTAAATGGTCAGTTAAGTGATGTTTTCTGTTGTCTCTTAATCCATCAATTCCCACCCAGAATTCACTCCTTATCCTCCTTGTTATCATTATCCTCGTCTTCCTATCAACATTTAACCAACCATTTATTGTCGTGACTTTTTAACAACAAGCAATAACAATCAGTGATAATCCAACTGAATATAATGTTATTAACTACAACACCAGTCAACTTATCATCAAATGGATATTCAATCATTCATTAAGTTAATCATCATGTTATCATTAGTAGTTGAATTAACAATGTATAAAAATTGTGCCAAGTTTTCATCTCTCAATGTATTTGATTGTAGTTAATTATCACAATTAGGATGCTAAAGTTTCAAGTGACCCCGAAGGTTATAAATATGAAGTCTATTGAAAAAAAGGTGATAAACTCATCACCCTTATCAACATCATTATCATGTTATCATTATCAAAATGATGAAATCCCTTGTTGGTTAGATAACAAGGGAAACGGAAATGATGAATGGAGTTGTTTCAATGTCTCTTTTAATTCTAACTCATTCTGCTCGAGGCGATCATCGCCATTTTCATCATTTTCATCATCATCATCATCTTCATTTAGAAATACTTATCAACATAATTGTAAATCAGCTTCACGTTCAATCATCATTCAAATTTTATCAGTTTTAATTGTGATTATCTCTTTCAATCCAATGTGCCAAAGTGTTTATGGTTTATCATCACCATCAACTCAGCCTGGAACTTCATTAAATTTCAACAAACAATCGGAAAGACGATTCAGCTCCAGAATTGTTACAACCAAATACGGTGCTCTGAGGGGTTTCATCGTGGACTTACCGGAAGGTTAATCTTCAGCCAGTCGAGGTTTTCTTAGGCAAGTACATATCTCAATATCAAGGTCATTCCGATAGTTAGGATGAGATTTCATGGTCGATTCCAATCCAACCATGATCATGAATGCTCTGTAAATCATGATTTGGTTACATGAGAAATTGAAGGTTTACTTTAGCAAGAAAAAGAAAGATGGTAAAAAAAGCTTTCGTCTCTTAATGTGCAATTTAAAAAGCTCCTTCTCATCATCATCTGATCCTCAAGTGTGATAATCAAATTAAAATTCACTTGGAATTCAGAATTGATCAAATCTGAAGTCTAAAATTAGCTAAAACTATTTAGTATCTGAAAAAAAATCTACAACAAGAAGCAACCTCATGAGGATATGGCTCAGTGAGCTCCAAATTGAAGGAGTGAGTTTCATGAGGAACCACCAGAAAAGGTTTATGATTAACATTATCCTAATCATCATCTAAGTCATTATCGATTAACTTGATGAGCCTGGAAGAGGAAATGTTGATAATCATCGTTGATGATGATCACTAATGAGAAACATTCAACATAACATTAACTTTTTCAAGTGAAATTTTCTGAGTACATGAAATAGTCTCACTGACTTTATTTGGAAAATAATTTTCCAATAATCATTCATGATTTCATGAAACAAATCACACACCAAATATCATCAAATATCATCGACCAATGTTATTATCATGAAATCTAATTTCTTGGTCAAACCTTTAATATGAATAGTTGATAATATGATAAATGATTGATAAACATTTGATTCATTGTGATGGAACCATGGAAATAGGAAGAGATAAAAATTGAATTCCCTGAATGAATATCTAACTCCCTGATTGGGAAAAATCAATGATTAAGTGTTGAGGATAATCAAAAAGTTACATAAATTTTTACACACATAATCAGTCTCGGAAGTGATTAAAATCATCTACCCTTCCCTTCCTGTTATCATCATGAAAATGAACCTGATCAATATCGTAGAATTGCAAAATTAATAATACAGAAATAGTAATTGATCAGAATAGTGTATAAGAAGAAAAAAAGTTTATTCATGATGATGAGGAGATAAATTCATGATGTATTCAGATAAAAGTTCAACGGGTTGAGAATTTACAAATTACTCTAAGAGTTCAATTTCAAATCGATTCTGAATTCAAATGATGATGATGATGAAGATAATGTTCTGAATAGAAGAAAAAATATTTTCTTCAATTTTTGTTACATTTTTTTCTCATTTCAGTTTTTTTTGCTTCTCAATCATGAATCAAGATCTCAACAGAATTTAAATTAGATTCAAGGTGAAAATCTCGATTACAGTTATAAAAAAAAGGTTAATCAGTTAAATTCATGATGAAATTAAAAATTTCTCACCTGAAAAGATTAAAAAAGATAATTGTAACTAAATTGCTCGTTAACAATTAAGCAAAAACAGTTGTAATTTATTCATTGACACCCATTTACATTAATCTATGATAATTAACCTGTTAATTTTTGCAATGATTTGTTTCATTCTGAGTAAACAATTTAATTCAGTTTAGTACAACAATTAACAGTAATCAATTATTTATCCTTGTCTTGAAACTTATTAGATTCACGGTTGATCAAAAAGTTAATCAAAAGCGACTGAATTGTATTAAGATTCAACTCTTTGATTAGCATTTCTAATTAAACTCATGAGTTAATCATGATAATCAAATTTATCGTTAATATTTAGATGCAATTTTTTTACTTCTCATCATGATGATAATGTTTCAGGTTAATCAGATTTAATTTGCATACACAAATTGTCTCGTTTTATTTATATTATACACAAACTTATTCTTGCCTGTGAATGCTTATCATGTATCGGTAATTGTTGACTTATAGTGAATTAAATTAGTCACAGTTATTTGATTCCAAGGTTTCATATTTAAGATAAGATTATCATTATAATTCTGAATGATTCTGGCGATGATGATAATTATTATTGACATGAAATATATAAGATATTGAATTTCATTTGATTGCGTTTTCTTTTCCGCTCAATTGAAACAGGTACTCCATATGCCAGTCCACCGGTGGGTAAGCTAAGGTTTATGCCTCCAGTTACACCGGCTCATTGGAATGGTGTTAAAAGTGCCCATTCACCTGGTCCAGTGTGTCCACAAAATTTACCCAACATTTCAAACACCACGGAAGCTTTGAAAACAATGACCACTGGTCGCCTTCGGACACTCAAACGTCTCATTCCACTTTTGCTCAATCAAAGTGAAGATTGTCTTTATCTTAATATTTTTACACCTTATCCATGTAAGTTAATACTATGTTATCACTTATTCAATTCCTTAAATCAATTTGAAGATCAAGATAATTCCTTACAAGTAACCCTTATGACCTTACATTAGAGTCAAATGAGGGTCGGTCAACTTTCCATAGACCAAATCTGAACCTTTTCGAACGAGTATTTTTGAATAATAGCGAAATTAAATTTGAAAAAGTGTCCCAATTGTCTTGTATTACATAGACTATTATCATCGTCTTCCAAATTGAGTGTAAATTCAGTTACGATAATGTTTAAACCAGGAAACCGGAGGTGATAACAATATTATCCTCCACCCACTTCCTTCAGTGATTCATGACATTGTACATTATTATCTTCTTATTGACTCAGTTATCTCATGAGAATTCAATTAATACAATGTTTTTCACTCTAAATATTGTGTATATGTGAATACATGTACTGTATGTATGAATAGTTTGATTGAAACTTTTGTCTATCTGAAACAAAAATAGACAAACAAAAAGCTTATGGTAAAAATTGTATCTCAACCTTAGTTTTTTTTTCATCATTTAGGATACGAAAATTGAGTTAATTAAAAAACGGGCAAAATTAACGGATATTAAATTTTTTAGATGATTACATTGACTCTTGATTGACAAAACATAATCAATTTGTTAATACAATATGTAATCAAGATGATTCATTCAATTTCGCTGAGTAATTGATATTGTCTCTTGTATTCTCGGTAAATTTATCATGTAAATATACAACCTGATTAAGGTCACTTGAGTTTACCTTATGCAAAGTAATATACATATCATCATCATGTCATCTTTATCATCATCTCAAGGGTCTTAAATAAATGCAACATTTATTATGAACCCGGAAAAGCAACTTGCTGCGATCAAAATCTATCGAAAACCATCAATATAAACTATTATCTATTCCATGATTATCATCATCATGAACCTTACATATATGAGAGATAATATTATGATGGAAACATGATGATATATTTTGTCGATCTGTTGTTGTTCAAATGAGTTCGAACTTTTCTGATAGAAAGAGTGAAAAGTTGTGTGAAAAAGTTTCCAATCCATTGAACATATCGATAGAGAAAACTTGGAAAGATGAATTTGGATGGAAACTTTTTTCTTCTCGACCAATATAATTACATCCATGAACGATTAGTTGATCGTCATTATCCCTGATAATTGATAATATTTATATATATTATGATGGCGATCAATTGGTAATCGAAGTCAACAAATCCAAATCTAGCAAACTAATGATTTCATTGAAAAAGTTTCAAGCAGAGTTGATGAATCATTTTCATCCCATCGGTTGATAATCGTAACCAATGATTGAAAAAAGATTCAGATTCTGTATCATCATGTATCCATCATCATGGATAAGCAATAGTGGACTGAATAATTTTCATTCATCATCAACATGAATCATTAAGATTGTTTAGCTTTAAAAATGGAGACATTTTTTTACGATTTGAGTTTTTTTCCTCAATGCTCACCCGAAGCTTTTAAGACTTTTTTTTCTTACATCTTTCATCATCATCTTGTCTTTTTCTTTCTTTTCTTCTGTTGATTCTGAATGTCATCAAGATCATCATTATCCTCCTTCAGCATTCAGATTCCTATCATGATTAAACGAGCAGAGGGAAGTAAAAGAAAACTGTGATTGATGAATAGTCTCTATCCATTATTTGATATTTGCTTTTACATAGAATGGGAAAAGTTTTTCTCCCTCAACTGTTCAGAATAATCAGATGAAGATGAGAAAAGAGATTCAATTGGAAAGTTAGTGAGTTGATCGAGAATTGGAAGGAGAAAAATGAAATAAATATTCTCTCTCTTTCTCTTTCTCTCTTGTTCTCTCATATTCTTTCCTTCATTTTGATACTTCGAACTTTACTTGTGAGTTATTATTGAAAAGTTCGTTGGGAAATTTGTTTCTTTTTGAGAGATAATTGGTAAAGTTCTGAAAGAGAACAAGTTAAGCTTGATATCGATTCTGTTCACCTTGTACTCTTCCTTAAGGTCTGTCCAACTGTCACTTGATATGAAGGTGCAAGGAGCGAGAAAATTATATTGGCACATGAAGGGAAGTGAAAAATATCATCGGATTACTTAGAATGTGGACAAGTTCAGCTTCGATTGTGAAAAGAATAAAAAAAATTTCGATGAAACCAATTCTCTTTCATGGATTTTACTCTATTAGTGATACCTTATCATTGTCAAGTTTCATCTTGATAAAAATTCGGGTAACTATCAGTTTCAAGTTTTGTAAATTGTTCTGATCCTTTTACGAGATAGAAACTTAACTTAACCTTAAAACTGCCTCGAAACTTTTTTGGTCGAGAAAAAATAGAAATTCGAAGATATTTTTCTACAATCTATTACATACGATTAAGAATAAAACATTCCCAGAAAATTTCTGTTCTTTTCTCATGGTAAACTGTTCAGAAGGTGAACTTGAAATCAGATTTTCGAACACATTTTCCAATTCAGTTAACATGAGTGAATAAATCGATGGATAAATACAACTGTTCCGGTTTTTTGTCCTGAACTGTCCAAAAAATGGACATGATGCCTGAAAAATCAGAAGAAAAGCAAAAAATTCATAGAAAAGTTTTTCTTTTTCTCTTTTTTCTTAAGGTATCCCTCTTTTATCATGACCACACCCCCTGAAGATGTTCATTCATCTTTTGTGATTATTATTGTTATTCAGGGAAATTCATCAACTTTTTTCGTAAGTAAGAATTTCCCTGTATAATAGTTATTATCATCTGGTGTCAAAATTTCCCATCTTCACCATCCCAGCTCAGAATCATGACGATTTTCACCATAACAACTCAAAAACTAATATTTCATGTTTTTCATGTTCATTTCATGGTGATAAAAATGAAGAATCAATAAAAACGCCAAAGATGAGAGCAGAAATAGGCAACTAATATTACTACTTATCACCTCCTGTTACAAACTCTTCCTCATGAAGATGAACAATTTCATGTTTCTATTTTTCTCACCATGAAAACTTTATTCTCTTTCACTATCTTTCATGAATCATCTAAATGAGAAGAGAAAAAAATATCGGGATTAAACTGAACTTCTCATGGAAGTGATTGAGAAATAAGGTCATTCCCATTCTTCATAAGTATTTCATCATTTATACTCATGGAGATGTTGATAACCTTTCATCATCACTATTTTATTTTTTCGCTATTTATCATGAGGATTCAATGAATTCTATTTCCATTATTTGTACGAAATTTTTTTCCTTCGATTTTCACTTCTTTCAGTTATCGTCTTGTGTTTCAGGTTCTTGAGTGAAAGTCCAACGATTTTATTTCCCTCTCTTTTCAGAACTCTTTTTCTCATTTCCAACCATTCATGTGGTTTTCTCATAACTCTGATTATCTTTCTATCGTTACCCTGTTATATAACATGAAGATGATTATGATAATCATTCAGATACTTTTTTCCTCCATCATGATGGTCAAGGAATAAGATTTTTTTCCTTACTCTCTCAAACTAACCAATCTCTTTGCCTTGACCTTTCGTACACTTGGTGTTGATAACCTTGTCCTGGTGAGTTTACCCCACCCTCTCATGATAAACTTATACAAGATCGGAATTGATCACTCTCATTATTTTGTCATCATCTTCATCATCTTTTGTTGACCAACAATTGGTAACAATGTAATGAATCAGAAGGGACCATAAAAAGCAAACTTCATCTTCTCTCATTATTTTTACCTCTCTCTCTCTCAAACTTTATCACTATTGTCTGATGATAATATCCTTCAAGAATCTTTATCATCATCATGTTGTGAGTGACAAGAAGTATCATGAAGATGGAAAAATTTTCTCTTTTCTTTTTCTTTTGACATAAACTGAAAGTAAGAAATTAATTTCTCTGACTAAAATTTTCCAAGTATAACATGAATTCTTACATGAAACTCAGATAATAAGCTGAGCAATTTCAATCATGATCCTTTTTCCCTTTCAAGATCAGTTTTCCAACGATAATTCAATCAAAACACAACAAAATATTTGACCAGATCATCAGCTGAACTTTCATAACAAAGGAATAGCGATAAGAATCCACTATCAACATTTTTCATGTGAAACATTTTTCATTTGCTTGTTTTCAATTCTGTTTATCCATATTTGATATTAATAATAACGAAACTTGTTGGCATTTTTATCAGATGAAATTTATCAATTGAGTTTTCCAACGATTCTCATGATAAACATGAAAGGTTTGGAATATTTTCTCTCCTTCATCTCAGTTATCAATATCTATTCTCATCCTTGATCAAATTAATTTCATTCTTGATGATGCTTATGATGAGAATGAAACAAGATAAAGATGATGATGAGACTTAAACTGAGAGAGAGAGAGAGAGAGAGAGATAAAGAAAGAGAAAGTGACATCAATCACTGAACTTTCAAAGATATTACATTTCTGACAGAACGGAAGAAAACTGATGAGAAGTAAAAGAAAGGGAATGTTCCTCCTTTCAGGATAAAGAGAAGAAGGAAAAAAATTCGGAAAAAGAAAACAAAAAATACGAACCTTTCGTTCAGTACAATTATATTAATTCTCAGTTGAGAGTTAATCTTACTTTGAATCAGAATTCTGTTTACTTTGAGGTAAATACGTTGAACTTTTGATGAAAATGATGTTTAAACGATGTTGATTCAGTTTTCTTTTTGCTGTACCAAAAAATAAAGGTAAATTTATATTCATGAAAATGACGTTAGTTCATTAAATTAATCCTACCTGGAGATGGTTGAAGCTTAAAATGAATGGATGATAAACTATTTCGAAGTAGGAAAAGGAAATGGTTTTTATAAATTTAAGATTCGGAATCTATTATAATCAACTCAGAAGTGAATTACCTACTCAGGTAATAATAAGTTAACTTGTTTTTTGAAATTCTTGATCTTATTTCGTAACAAGAATAATTAATATTACGGAGCGAACTGAATGTTGATACAAAGTATTA